ACCGTGTGTTTTCCCCCTCCGCCCCACAGACTTGCCATGGAGAAACATAAACATGTTCGGGACAGGTTGTTAAAAGGAAAGATATTATACACCAGGGAGCCCTGGCAGAGCGAATCCTTTCTTTCGGGAAGCCAGATACCACAGCTGAACTTTCCGCTCGAAAACATGTGACAGCACGCTCTCGGCTGCAAGGGTTCTGCTCCAGTCGGCCTCCCTCCCAGCCCACCTCGGCCTCTCCAAGACATTTAGAGCACTGTGGTAACACTTTAAACAGTCATGGCAGCCCCCAAAGAATTCTGGGAACTGTAGTGTCAAGGGTGCTGAGAGGAATTTGAAAACCTGGCTATCTGCCTCACCCACTACAATTCCCGGGGTGATTTAACAACCCACCATTTTTCACAGGGCGCTCTGGGAATTTTGTAGCTATGTTAGGCGTCTCCTAACAACTCTCAGCACCCATAAAAACTACAGTCATACCTCATATTACTTTTGCTTCAGGTTGCGCGTTTTCAGATTGCATCCCGCGGCGACCCGGAAGTACCGGAAAGAGTTACTTCTGGGTTTCGCCACTTGTGCATACGCAGACGCGCAAAATGACGTCACGCGCATGCGCAGAAGCAGCAAATCACAACCCGTGCACGCACAGACACGGGTTGCGTTCTGCTCATGTTGCGAATGGGCCTCCGGAACGGATTCCGTTCGCAACCAGAGGTACCACTGTATAGCTCCCATAATTCTTTCATTATTATTATTTTTTTAAAAGAGGGAGAAACATCGCCTTCTTCCCCCACTATCGATAATTCTATAAACATGCAGGCATTGCAATAGTGGTGCTAAGCCCATTTCGACCAAAACAAGTCAATTAGTTCAAGTCCAAAAATGCTAACAGAATAAGACAGGAGGGGCTGTTGCACAAACATCCCCTTTCTCCCAGAAGAGGAAATGGAGGCTTAACGGACGGCCTTGAGAGCGTGCGCTGAGGGTGCCCACCTGTTCCACAGCACTGCAGAGAATGCCTCCCACTCTTTTCCCATTCTGCCAGTTCCCACCAGTCCAGGCCCCATGACCAAAGAACCATCCTGGCTGGGACAATGGGCTCTTGGCGTCAGGGTTGACTTGACCGGGTCAGCCATGAACAGATGCTTTGCCAACGAGCTTGTGGCATCAGCTGGGGAGTGAAATCAGAATTGGTTTCAGTAAGGCTGCAACTGCAGGCTAATCCGGCCTTCCCGGGTCATCCTGGGGACTAGTAGGACAGAGAGGTTCTGGCTGTTATAATAATAACAATAACAACTCATTATTCAGGGACTAAAACCGTCTTGAGCAGTGCTGGCTAACGTTATGAGCTGCAGGTGTCTTGAACTACAACCCCCATCAGCCCCCAGCGGCTCTCACAGGAAGAACTCGAACTCGGATTACGGTTTCTACCCAAACCTTAATACAGTGGTACCTCGGGTTACAAATGCTTCAGGTTACAAACGTTTCAGGTTACAGACTCCGCTAACCCAGAAATAATACCTTGGGTTAAGAACTTTGCTTCAGGATGAGAACAGAAATCGCGCGCTGGCGGTGTGGCGGCAGCTGGAGGCCCCATTAGCTAAAGTGGTGCTTCAGGTTAAGAACAGTTTCAGGTTAAGAACGGACCTCCTGAATGAATTAAGTTCTTAACCAGAGGTACCACTGTAATAATAAAAACAATAAGAATTTATACCCCGTCCATCTGGCTGGGTTTCCCAGATCTGTTCTGTTCTGGGTGGTTCCCAACAAAATATTCAAAACATGATAAAACATCAAACATTAAAAAATCCCTATACAAGGCTGCCTTCAGATGTCTTCTAAATGTCACATAGTTGTTTATTTCTTTGACATGTGGTGGGAGGGCGTTCCACAGGGCGGGTGCCACCACTGAGAAGGCCCTCTGCCTGGTTCCCTGTAACCTCATTTCTCACAGTGAGGGAACCACCAGAAGGCCCTTGGAGATGGACCTCAGTGTCTGGGCTGAACTATGGGGGTGGAGACAAGGAACTGCTCCATTCCAGATTCCTTATTGTTTTGAAGGGGCCTTTCAGCATGTTGTGGAAGCGGGTGGGATTAAAAAAAACGTTGTATGAGGCTGGTGGCTCCGATCTGCAAGCAGGACAAAGAAATAGTTTGTGAGGGCAATACCAGGGACGTGATGGCTTGCAAGACTGGCTCAACCTCTGTGTTGAATTTCAAGGGAATTTCAAGAGAAATTTACTGTATTTACGCGAATCTAATGCACCATCGAATCTAATGCACACTTCAATTTTCAAAACCTTGAAGCCAAAAAAGTATTTGCTGGCGAATGTAAATGTGCCGTCAAATCTAATGCACACCCTAATTTTCATGACGTTATTTGGCCATAAAAGGTGTGTATTACATTTGAGTAAATATACTAGAAGGGGCTTCCCCCTTATGGAATTTTCGGAAGAGACACCCAAAATAAAAAGGCCCTAGGTTGACACCAAGTGGCTAATATATGTTACGACATCAAATTAATGTGTTTCCTCCATGCGTGCAAAAGTAATTTACATTCTCCCTAACAGCCATTCTCTTTCCTTCTTTCCCCCAAAAAAGTCTTGGTCCACTTCTAAATGACCTTCTTATTGAACATTCATCCTGGTTTATTTGTTGGCTATTTACATGAGCATTCATTGCGGTATGCTTGTGGGAAGGTTAGATAAGGAAAGTTCTTCTCGCACATTTTCCACTGGGGCATCTCTGGCGCTTTCCTTACCGCAAAAGAATAAAATTAAAAATTCCAGCCACCCGGGAAAGTACCGTATTTTTTGCTCTATAAGACTCACTTTTTCCCTCCTAAAAAGTAAGGGGAAATGTGTGTGCGTCTTATGGAGCGAATGCAGGCTGCGCAGCTATCACAGAAGCCAGAACAGCAAGAGGGATTGCTGCTTTCACTGCGCAGTGATCCCTCTTGCTGTTCTGGCTTCTGAGATTCAGAATATCTTTTTCTTGTTTTCCTCCTCCAAAAACTAGGTGCGTCTTGTGTTCTGGTGCGTCTTATAGAGCGAAAAATACGGTAGATCTGTTGTGCAAGACCTCCCAATCAATTATACCGTATTTTTCGCTCTATAACACGCACCTGACCATAACACGCACATAGTTTTTAGAGGAGGAAAATCCGTAGGCATGCCACCCGTAGGCATTCCCTCCATAACACGCACAGACATTTCCCCTTACTTTCTAGGAGGAAAAAAGTGAGTGTTATGGTGCAAAAAATACGGTAATTACGCAAGCTGAATCTGCTGGGTACGGGATCCCACTCAAAAAATAGCGACTGACTGGTAGGTCCTACAGAGAACCTAGATGGCAACCCCTGGTACTATGCAGACAACGCAAGATCACATCACACAGCACAAAAGACAATTTGCGCTAATAGCACAGCACAGGGTGGCATATTCAGGGACAAGGAGACAGCTGCACAAGTGCCTAGGATCTCAACACATTTCGAGAATGTCCCTTTATTAAACTTCTCAGGGGAGTTGAAAGAGAAGTCGTCCCCTAGCAGTTTGAAGTGGAAGGAAAGTCCCTTGACAAGGAGAATTTCGCAAAATGCATCGTGGACACACACTCGCACAGCTGTCTTATTATTGCTTCTTTGTTTCTGGCTTAAAAGGCTGTTTCCCAATTCTATAATTCTGCATTTAAATCAGGGATAGGCAATGCGGTGGACTCCAGATGTCTTGGGATGCAATTCCTATCAGCCTCGTCTGCACACACACCCCAAATCCTGGCTACACCCAAGTCCTTGATTTACATACCTATATCAATTAGCTGTATCTATTAGTTGTCTATATCCAAAATGGTGGCTCTGACCTTCAACATCCTATGTGGCTTAGGACCAAAATACCTCAAGGAGTGTTGACTTCCCCAGACTCTGAGATCATTTTCTGAGTCCCTTATTCGGGTCTGGACAGCATCTGAAATAAGGCATTATTTCTTTGGAATTCTCTACCTAGGGAGCTTGCAATGCTCCTATGCTGCTGTTTTGTTGCAAAAACTGTATGTACATACTTTCATTTTTAATGGAGTACAAGTATCTGCAAATAAAACAATCATCTAGAACAGGGGTAGTGTTATGTACTGAGTTGAATAGGGTCCAAAATGCAGCAGTCTGATTGGTCCTAGAACAATAGGATTCAGAATGCAGCAGTCTGATTGGTTGGCAGGAACCACCCAATCATGCTCCAGATAGAAGTGAATCCACAACCTGATTGGCTTACAGTAGAATTCCGGAATTAGCCAATCACGTGCAGCCCATTGTGTAAATAATGTATATAAAGCAGATACTTTGAGGGGACTTTCATTCATTCCTCCTCACCACTATGAGCTGAATAAAGAGCATGAAATCACTTTGCGACTCAGAGTATATTTCAGGTAGGCAACCTAAGGCCTGTGGGCCAGATGTGGCCCAATTGCCTTCTCAATCTGGCCCGCCAACTGTCTGGGAATCAGCGTGTTTTTACATGAGTAGAATGTGTCCTTTTATTTAAAACGCATCTCTGGATTATTTGTGGGGCCTGCCTGGTGTTTTTACATGAGTAGAATGTGTCCTTTTATTTAAAGGAGCGTCTCCACCTCCATCGTTCTGCCCGGACACTGAGGTCCAGCGCCGAGAGCCTTCTGGCGGTTCCCTCACTGCGAGAAGCCAAGTTACAGGGAACCAGGCAGAGGGCCTTCTCGGTAGTGGCACCCGCCCTGTGGAATGCCCTCCCACCAGATGTCAAAAAGAAAAATAACTACCAAACTTTTAGAAGACATCTGAAGGCAGCCCTGTTTAGGGAAGCTTTTAATGTTTAATAGGTTATCGTATTTTAGTGTTTTGTTGGAAGCCGCCCAGAGTGGCTGGGGAAACCCAGCCAGATGGGCGGGGTATGAATGAATGAATGAATGAATGAATAAATCATCTCTGGGTTATTTGTGAGGCATAGGAATTTGTTCATATTTTTTTTTCAAAATATAGTCCAGCCCCCCACATGGTCTGAGGGACGGTGGACCGGCCCATGGCTGAAAAAGGTTGCTGACCCCTGATCTAGAAAGAGAGAGAAGACTGATGACATTTGGACTTAAATGCAGCACCAGAAGTTAACAATTGAGTCCTTGATGCAGGAGCACATCACTGAACGCAATCACACTGTGAGTTTAGGAAGATAAGAAAGCTAACGTCATTGGAGGAAAGTTGCTAGTGCTCACCAACTAAAGGCAGAAATACAAAGAGCCGTGTCTGCTCTTATTAGCAGGAGAGACGCATGAAATAGGGAGGAAATTACTGTATTTTTTGCTCTATAAGACTCACTTTTTCCCTCCTAAAAAGCAAGGGGAAATGTGTGTGCATCTCATGGAGCAAATGCAGGCTGCGCAGCTATCCCAGAAGCCAGAACAGCAAGAGGGATTGCTGCTTTCACTGTGCAGTGATCCCTCTTGTTGTTCTGGCTTCTGAGATTCAGAATATTTTTTTTCTTGTTTTCCTCCTCCAAAAACTAGGTGCGTCTTATGGTCTGGTGCGTCTTATAGAGCGAAAAATATGGTAGGTCCACAATCAGTTTAATGATGGTCGGTACAGGTTAAAGGACAGCCTAGGAAATTTGGGGGTTCCCCCTCTCTCTCGCCTCTTTCCCATGCAAACCTATCAGCCTCCAGACAAGCAGAATTGCATTCCCACACTTTCAGCAAAGACTGTGGATTTCAACCACAAGAAGAGGTTTCAATGCCAAGGCTGTGAGGAGGACACAAAGGTACTTCTTCAGAGGGGAGAAACGTGGGGAAGAGGTTCAGACCAGGACTTTTAGCCATTTGAGTATGTACAATAAAAGCCCATGCCCAGATGAGCCTCATTTTGTTGTTGTTGTTGTTAAGAATCTCCCTGAAGCAATGTTAAAACAATATCAAAATTCAGAGTGGGTGCAGCTGGCCTTGCCCAGATCTGGGACAAAGGAAATGAAGGCTCAAGAGAAACTGAGTTACTCAAGTAATGAAAGAATAACAGGGGGGTGGGGGGTGGGAGCCTTACAAACAAAAGGCAGCAAAAAATGCAGAGGGGATGGAACAGTTGGTTGCTAAGCGAAGCAGCCAATCAGGGAGTCTCATTTCAAAGCCCCCTGGTGTATGTATGTGTGTGTGGTGGAATTTAAGAGAGCCCCTTCCCATTTTAGCCAAGGAGCTGTGAAGCCAGCTTGAGGACTGGGCTTTGCAAGTCAAACTGGAGGCAACAGTAGCAGTTCTGGCAAAGCCATCCCATGCACGCCATCAATGGGCCAGTCAGTCCTAAATCCATCTGATAATAATAATAATAATTTATTATTTATACCCCGCCCATCTGGCTGGGTTTCCCCAGCCACTCTGATACAGTGCAGAGCTTTATTAATAAAAATATATATTTACTGATAAAATAAACAAATGGATTACTGCATCAGTGTGGCATAGTGGTTAGAGTGCTGGACTAGGCCCTGGGAGACCAGGGTTCAAATCTCCTCTCAGCCATGTAGCTCACTTTGGGAACTTGAGCCAGTCACCATCTCTCAGCCTACCTCACAGGGTTGTTGTGAGAATAAAATTGGGGTTGTTGTTGTTGTTGTTGTTTTGTTGTTGTTGTTGTTGTTGTTATTGCAGGCTAGCGAATCTACTTTGGCCACCTCATGAGAAGAGAAGACTCCCTGGAAAAGACCCTGATGTTGGGAAAGATGGAGGGCACAAGGAGAAGGGGACGACAGAGGACGAGATGGTTGGACAGTGTTCTTGAAGCTACCAGCATGAGTTTGACCAAACTGCGGGAGGCAGTGGAAGACAGGAGTGCCTGGCATGCTCTGGTCCATGGGGTCACGAAGAGTCGGACACGACTAAACAACTAAACAACAACAGCGAATTTACTGAATCAGATGATTCAGATATACAGGATACACGCGTGGCTGGGCGAATTATAAACGTTGGGTCAGAGGTAAAAGAAATTAAGGAAGTGCCCATTAATAGCATTGAAGGCAATTAATAGCATTGAAGGCAATTAATAGCACCCATTCCGCAAGGTTCAGAGGTTTTTGCTGCAAAAGACCTGCCACAGCTGGTCTGCCACGCAAGTCCACGCGGCAGCGAGTCCACTTCAAACACGGATTCCGACTAAACATCAGGAAGAGCACAGTGAAAAAGATTTCCCGGGAGGGCGATAGCCTCTCCTTCCTCTGAGGTTTTCAAGCAGAGGTTGGGTGGCCACGTGTCGTGCGCGATCTCGTTGAGATTCCTGCATTGCAGGGGGTCGGTCTAGATGACTCTCGGACCCCTGCACAGTTCTCTGCTTCTGCGGTGCGCACTCCTTCGCAGTGAACGCGCTTCGGGCACGCGCCCCTACTCCAATGCGGGGAAAGAGGCCATGCGGACGCAGCAGCTCCGCCCACCCCCCGCCCCCCACCTCGATTCCGGGATCTGGCAGCCAATGAGAGCGGAGTAGATTCAATTTGGGCATGCTAAGAGAATCCCCAGCATGCTTTGCAGCCCCAGCCGTGGAGGCGGAGCAGGAGGCTGCACTTTCGGCGCTTCGATCTCCGGCGGGCTTGGCCAGGTGTGTATTTTAGCAAAGGAGGGAATCCATTACCATCCTTGCGCGGGACACTTGCCACGGATCGGGTGATGCGCCGGGCGGGCGGGCGCGCAGTTGGGGATGGTGGGGGCCTGGGGCGCCTCCTAGGAATCTTGTTAGGCTAACTTTAAGCCCCCTTAATTCAGCGCATCGGGCAGGTAAGGTTCCCACCACCGGGATGGATCTGCGAGGTTGCTGCGTAAGCCCCAAATGCGCAAGGCGCAGCTGGTTTTCCCTGTTGGGATCTCGCCACCTCTTACTGTTTAGCAGCGCTCCTGCTCCTTTAGCAGTTATACGGAGAGAGAGAGAGAAATGCCGTGTCAGTAGATGGAGGGATCGGAAAATTTCACGAGGACTCGCTGCTTGGCTCTTTTTTAAACGCGCGCCTCCAGGGCTGGTTTGGGCCCACGAGCGCCACGGCGCAGACCTGCCTAGGTAACTTGAGCCTTGCGGATGTGCGCTTGCCTCTTCCGCCCTGCCTAGCCCAGTGGGGAGAGCACGTGCTTTTTTTGAAGCACGCGAAAGGTCCCAGGTAAGAGCAGCGCTCCAGGTAAGGGCTAGGAAAGATACCTGTTCTGCAACCTTGGAGAGTTTCAGACAGTTAAAGGTAACATCAGCGTTCCCCAACATGGTGTCGGGCTGGGAGGAGAGATGATAGCCAATCTTCAAATACCCAAAGGGCTGCCACATGGAAAATGGAGGAAGATTATTTTCTCCTGCTCTGGAAGGTAGGACCCAAACCAGTGGATTCAAATGACTTGACAGTAAGAGCTGTATCTCTCTTTAGGGACGCTTTTAATATTTAACAGACTACTGCATTTCAATATTTTGCTGGAAGCCGCCCAGAGTGGCTGGGGAAACCCAGCCAGATGGGTGGCGTATAAATAAATTATTATTATTATTATTATTATTATTATTATTGACAGTGGAACAGACTCCCTCAGGAGGTGGTGGGCTCTCCTCCCTTCCAAGTTTATGATGCTGTGATCTCCCATCCAGCTAGCAGAACCAATGGTTGAGGGTTATGGGAGTTGCAAACAGCATCTGGGAGGCACCAGGTTGGGAAAAGCTGGTGTAGACCACTTCGTGTGGCTCAAAAGAGCTTTGGCCTTCTTGACATTCCAAGTTGCCTCATTTTCTGGAAAGGTAATTTTGTGGCGTGAAGGTTTATCTGCTGGCTTATCATATTCGAGGGCTGGGTAGGTGCCACCACACTAAAGGCCTTGTTCCTATATCGCATGGAATGGACTTCCTGATAAGAGGGGGCTGGTCTGCTGTCCCTCAGACCTTGTGGGGGGCTGGACTATATTGGGGGGAGGGGATGAACAAATTCCTATACCCCACAAATAACCCAGAGATGCATTTTAAATAAAAGGAAACATTCCACTCATGTAAAAATCCGCGGGCCGGATTTAGAAGGCGATTGGATGACATCAGATGTGGGGCAAGTGGGTGTGGCTTTTGGGCAGAAATCTCATGGGCCAGAGGTTCCCTACTGCTGACTTAAAGCTTGGTTGGACATCCCCTCACATTGCTCCTGGAGGATGTGCTGATTTTCTGCGGCTGGCCTCTCTCTCTACCCAGTTATTTAGGGTGTTTAGGAACATGATGTGAAGTCACAGCAGTTCAGCCAGCTCTGGGGAGAGGGTGGGTACCTCCCGAGAGGGGACAACTACATTTTCAGCTTCCTGATGACTTGAGAAATTTGTGTGTGTGAACCCTCCCACAAAGGCGTGCCTGTACTCTCCCATGTGTTGGCACGTAAGAACTGGAGGCAGATTAATTGGGATGGAGGCTATTTTGTACAGGGCTGGCTACCACTCTGGGCTGTTCCTGGATCCTCTGTTCCTACAGTTTTCTGTGCTGGATGCCAAATATTTGAATTCTGTCGTGCATTTTGTTTCGGTCGTTTAAAGCAATGTTTCCCAACTGTGGGTCTCCAGTTGTTTTTGGACTACAACTCCCATCATCCCTAGCTAGCAAGACCAGTGGTCAGGAATGATGGGAGTTGTAGTCTCAAAACAGCTGGAGAACCAAGGTTGGTTTAAGGCAGGCATCCCCAAACTCGGCCCTCCAGATGTTTTTGGGACTACAATTCACCACTGGTCCTGTTGGCTAGGGATCATGGGAGTTGTAGTCCAAAAACAGCTGGAGGTCTGAGTTTGGGGATGCCTGGTTTAAGGTGTTCCTAGCCTGCCTTTTGACTTTTTTTTTAAAAAAAGAAAAGAGGCTTTTATGTTGGGACTGGCTGCCATGATATGCGGTCTCTCTCCATTTACAGAATTTTATTTTCCCGGGATTTTTACCTTCTGCACCCTGCATCCCTCACATTTGTTGGAGAAGATTGCTCTCTGTTGTTTTCTATATTGAATTGGTTGGTTTTATATATATTTTTTTAAATCCTTCAGGAGGAAGGGCAGGATATTAAATAAACAAAGGTTCTTGTTTGTACTGCTATGGAACTTGTAGCAAAACAGGACGGTGAGGGTTATAGTAAAAATGAAATGTGCTCTCTACCTGGCCCTTGGAGCTTCCCCCAGGCCACTCTTCTCACTTGCCTTGCCCTATAACCAGAGTGTTTGCCTAGCTGGAATATGTCCTTGCACTCTGCAACTGCCTCTTTCTCCTCTGCATGGAGGATAGAGGTTGTGTGTGTATATAAATGAGCTTAAGGTACAAAGGTAATATTTACACTGGTTGCTGCACATGCTTTTGCCTCTGCCTCCCCCACTACTCAGGTGAAGCAGAAGGGAATGTGGCGCTCAGGCTAAGAAATGTTCATCACACCTGGAGATAGGGGTAGCTCTCCTGTTTGCAAGAGTTTGGTGTGCATGTAGTTCTTTTATTTCCTATATAACGAATGAATGACACTTGTCCCCTGCTTTGTCCATAGGTGCTGGTGGTGTCAGCAGACCGGGAACTGGCAAAAATGACGTGTTGCAAGTAATTTCAAGTTGGAGGAATGCAAATCCCAGAAAATGTGCAGAATCGGACATGTTCCATCTGCGCTGCTGTCTTGCAAGATCCGCTTGCAACAACCACCATCCCACACTATGGAGTTTGCACTCATACATTAGCATTACCTTCCACAGGGTAGATTTCATTTAAATCAAATCTATTTAAATGATTAATCATGATTTAAATCACTAGACAGTAAGACTTGACTTAAATCTTTTCTTTTCTTTTTAACAGAAAGTCCCGTTCTTGCTGGTATAATCCCAATATTTACAACCAGATGAAGGTTTCATTTTTGGAATAAAAAATTTTCAGAGTAGTTTTTTAAAGTTATATAAAAAATTGCTGATTTGGTTATACTATTATAAATGCATAGATAGATAACTTATTAAACCCCACAATAATTTCATAATTAACTGTTTATATTTGGACAACTTTTCTGCTGTACTTTATTGGAAGGAGAAAAATCATTTCCTTAATAACAATTTACTTAACTAAAACAATAACATAGCATATGTATCCATGTTTCTTAACTGATGCAATTAAACAATTAAAAACCAACAACAACATAGAGTTTTAGCACACATGAAAAACACATGAATAGCCTTCGGACTATAATGTAACTTATACAGAAAAATATATTTAGAAAGCTTTTTTCCTCCAAAGGCATATTATTTTAAAAATCTAATTTAAATTTTAAAAATTATTTTTTATCCACCCTGCCTTCCCAATTAAAAGTGTATTTTTGAACGTGTTTTTCTCTCAACATAAGCACATTTCTCAACATATTTTCTCCAGATATGCAATCTGATAACATTTCTTTCAGTTGAGAACGGCATCAAAATCCAGTGGATAGCTAAAGTCCAATCCGGTCATGAGTCAAGGAGGTGTGAAACAGGTCAGTGCATATCAGAATCCCTCCTCTGCTGCATCATTTGGGGGAAGACTTCTGGAAAGCTGTATTAGCTGCATTCATCTATGTACCTTTGCAAACAATCCTCAATAAAGCTGCATTGTTCATCTAGCAATACTGTACATAATTGTGTTTTTATTGAGGGTTTCTAGCAATCTCTTCTCCTTTAGCCCTTTCCTTGGATAACACCAATAATAGTTGAAGCTGTTGTAGGAAACCAATAATTTTTGAAACCTATGAGAGTGTTACTGAATTTTGAAGGCGACCCGGCATATTGGCTGTTACTGGATTTAAGCCAATTTATATATCTAGAGCATTTTTATTCTGCTTTACAACCAGAAAGGTGCCAGAGTGACTTGCATACATGCAGTCAATGGAAACAGTCCCTTTCTACAGGCACGCAGACCAAAAGAGACAACATACAAGGAAATGGGGAGGGAGGAGGAAACAAACTTCCGACACCTAAGTCTCCAATATCTCAGAAGGAGTGCAATATCTATTGCAATGCATACCCTTCCTCCATTCACACTTCAACTTGGGTCTTTCAGCTCCAGCCCTCCTCATTTGCTGATTGGAGACAATACTGAAATTCTGGATATTACTGGGTCGAGGCGGGTCAGTTTGCAGGTGTCAACTTTGCCTATACAGTGGTACCTCGGGTTACAGACACTTCAGGTTACAGACTCCGCTAACCCAGAAATAGTAACTCAGGTTAAGAACTTTGCTGCAGGATGAGAACAGAAATTGTGCATCGGCAGCAGGAGGCCCCATTATCTAAAGTGGTGCTTCAGGTTAAGAACAGTTTCAGGTTAAGAACAGACCTCCGGAACGAATTAAGTACTTAACCCGAGGTACCGCTGTATATTTTTTCATTTAGACTAGAAAGAATTATTATTGCTACTGTGTTAGTTCATCTAAGAATTTCAGGGCAATATGCATAGTGCTAAAAACACTATTAAACCTGTAGAAATAATTACAATGAAAACAGCACAGCAGCAGCCTTTTCATTAAAAACAGTCTGTTTCCAAAAACCTGTTGGAACAAGGGCTTCACCTGTTGGTAGAAGGGCAGCAGGGAGGAAGACAGTCTGGTTTCTGTAGGGTGGGAGGTTCCAAGTCTGGAAGGAGCCACTGAGAAGAGGCTGCCCTGTGTAAATGTCTCACTAGAAGAAAGTTAGACAAATATGTGTTTCTTCAATCGCTTAAAATGTCCAATCATCCAGAAGTGCAACTGGGGGAACTCTGGGATTGCACCTGTAGCTGACCCAGGTTGTGAGTGAAATTTGGCTGGAGTTTCAGGGTGCCGAGATTAAAAAGTCTAGTAAAGGGCAATATGGTTTTGGGTCCTTACTGCCATCAAGGACTCCTGAAGTACATATCGCTCCTTCCTTGTGTACAAAATAAAAACTGACAACAGGGGCAAAGCAACTGCTTATATACATTTCTGAAGTCCTGGGCCCCTCCCACTCCCAACGTGATTGGCTGTCTAAACTTCCAAGCTGCCAATCATGACTCAGAGTTTAAAGGCCAGTGGCAGAGGCCCAAATCCTGAAATGTTCTGTGATTGGATATCATGTATTGAATTAGAACATGGGGGGGGGCCTCAGAATCCTTAGTCCAGACTCAAGCTCAGGCAAACAGAGACCACTGAATACGTAACACAAAATATCTCTTTAAAAAGCAATATTATTTAGTAATTAATTCTGCCTAAAAGCTGGCGCATGGCAGGGCTGTATCTGCAATGTAAAAACCCCATGTCCCCTTAGTTAATTTTATTAATTAACAGAGACAGGTGAATGCCAACCATGTCACACCATGACACTGTTCTCTGATCGGCTTGCAGACAACAGAAGGGTTACATTTTAATTATAAAAGCATGGCACCATACAACAGTAAACAAATCCCAGCATAAAAATTCAGCGCCCACCCTCAAAAAAAGCAGCAGCAGACTCAAAACAGGCTGAGAGCTGCATAAGGACATTCAAAGTACACAGATGACCTAAATTTCAGCTGATTTCAGAAGTTAAGCATTTTAAACCCTGGGGGGAAAGAAGTGCCTCTTTGCTATTGCAAAAGACTATCTCATATGGCTACAGCAAAGGTCACTTTCCTCCACCTCTAAGGTGTGGCTCCTTTAAGCAACAAGAGAGAAGCAAAAGGAGGAACTAGAGAAAAGAAAGCGAAACTGGACTCTGCAATCTGTCAGCAGAGATGGCCGAGGGTTTTCAGCAAGATCTGACTTGTTCCGTCTGCCTCGACGTGTTTACTGAGCCGGTGCTGCTTCGATGTGGGCACTGCTTCTGCCAGGAATGCATCACCTCCTCCTGGGACAGCCAAGGGGGAGCTCCTAGCTGCCCTGACTGCCGGGCCCCCTGTCCTGACAGACATTTCACACCCAGCCACTTGCTGAGAAACTTGGCCCAAAAGGCAAGAGAGGATCAAGAGGTTAAGGAGAAAGCGCAGGAAGACCCAGAAAATCACGAAGAGACAGGCAGAAGCAGCCCAGGTGCTGATCAGGGGTTGCTCTGCGCACAACACGGTCTCACTTTGCAGCTCTTCTGCCTCACAGATGAGGACCCCGTTTGTCTTTGCTGTGTGGATTCGCCTGCCCACGCCGGACACAAGTTCGGCTCCTTGAAAGACGCTGCTGAGCCCTACAAGGTGAGACTGTGAAGGTGGGGGGTGCTTTAAGTAAAGTGAGGCAATTGCCCTCCAACAGCTGATTCAGGCAGTGTTGTGAAAGGGAAGGTAACTCCTCGTTATTTGTTGTTGTTGTTAAAGATTTTCTTGGTTTACAAAAGTACAGTGGTACCTCGGGTTACATACGCTTCAGGTTACAGACTCCACTAACCCAGAAATACTGCTTCAGGTTAAGAACTTTGCTTCAGGATGAGAACAGAAATCGTGCTCCGACAGCGCGGCAGCAGCTAGAGGCCCCATTAGCTAAAGTGGTGCTTCAGGTTAAGAACAGCTTCAGGTTAAGAACGGACCTCTGGAACGAATTAAGTATAGAATCATAGAATCTTAGAGTTGGAAGAGACCACAAGGGCCATCGAGTCCAACCCCCTGCCAAGCAGGAAACACCATCAGAGCACTCCTGACATATGGTTGTCAAGCCTCTGCTTAAAGACCTCCAAAGAAGGAGACTCCACCACACTCCTTGGCAGCAAATTCCACTGTCAAACAGCTCTTACTGTCAGAAAGTTCTTCCTAATGTTTAGGTGGAATCTTCTTTCTTGTAGTTTGGATCCATTGCTCCGTGTCCGCTTCTCTGGAGCAGCAGAAAACAACCTTTCTCCCTCCTCTATGTGACATTCTTTTCTGTATTTGAACATGGCTATCATATCACCCCTTAACCTCCTCTTCTCCAGGCTAAACATGCCCAGCTCCCTTAGCCGTTCCTCATAAGGCATCGTTTCCAGGCCTTTGACCATTTTGGTTGCCCTCCTCTGGACACGTTCCAGTTTGTCAGTGTCCTTCTTGAACTGTGGTGCCCAGAACTGGACACAGTACTCCAGGTGAGGTCTGACCAGAGCAGAATACAGTGGCACTATTACTTCCCTTGATCTAGATGCTATACTCCTATTGATGCAGCCCAGAATTGCATTGGCTTTTTTAGCTGCCGCGTCACACTGTTGGCTCATGTCAAGTTTGTGGTCAACCAAGACTCCTAGATCCTTTTCACATGTACTGCTCTCAAGCCAGGTGTCCCACATCTTGTATTTGTGCCTCTCATTTTTTTTGCCCAAGTGCAATACTTTACATTTCTCCCTGTTAAAATTCATCTTGTTTGTTTTTGCCCAGTTCTCTAATCTGTCAAGGTCATTTTGAAGTGTGATCCTGTCCTCAGGGGTGTTAGCCACCCCTCCCAGTTTGGTGTCATCTGCAAATTTGATCAGGATGCCCTTGAGTCCATCATCCAAGTCGTTGATAAAGATGTTGAATAAGACCGGGCCCGAGACAGAACCCTGTGGCACCCCACTAGTCACTCTTCTCCAGGATGAAGAGGAACCATTGATGAGCACCCTTTGGGTTCGGTCAGTCAGCCAGTTACAAATCCACTGAGTGGTAGCATAGTCAAGACCGCATTTTACCAGCTTCTTTACAAGAATATCATGGGGCACCTTGTCAAATGCCTTGCTGAAATCAAGGTAGGCTACATCTACTGTGTTCCCTTCATCTACCAGGCTTGTAATTCTGTCAAAAAACGAGATCAGGTTAGTACTTAACCCGAGGTACCACTGTATGTGGGGTTTTGTGTCAGCGTCGCTTGTGCAGGTTCTTTGCTGCTCACTTGTGTTCCTTTGGTGGTGAGAGAGCTTGGGGCTGGCCTAGCGTGTGGTTGTTCGTTTGTGGTTGGCTGTGGTGATCTTTATTTTCATGTGTGAGCGGGGTGGGTGGGTGTTTTGGATCAGGTTAGCCATATTGATTTGTAGGCTGTTGGTGGATTTTGTCTTGTTGGGCTGTGTATGTGATAAAGGGGAGCCATACCGGGGTGAAGGCGTCTTCATCTATTTCTCCCCCTGTCAGTTTCAGTTTATTGGTTAATTTTTCTAGTAGGGCTGTTTCCCATACTATTTGGTACCATTGGTCCATGCTTACCCGTGACAGCTCTCTCTAGTGTCTGGCTATGATGTTTCTGGCTGCTGAAAGGAGGTGGGTTATGAGTTCTTTGTGGTGTAAATGGGCATCTTGTTATTTGTTATTAAATAATAACAAACCCTCCATGTGTCCCTATTTCCCAGGGACAGTCTCGTATTTGCGGAAGCCGTCCCGGTTTCCAATTTGATCCTGGAATGTCCCACTTTTCCTTAGAACGTCCCTATTTTCATGGGAGAAATGTTGGAGGGTATGGAGTTATGTGACCCCCCGCCGAGCCAAGGAGATAAGTAGCTGGACAACCTTTAGAAGACATCTGAAGGCAGCCCTGCATGGGGAAGTTTCAGATAAGGGCAATCAACATGTTTAAGGGGATGGAGGAACGTCTCTGTTAGAAATGGTTACAACACTTAGGGCTGTTTAGTTCAGAAAAGAAAAGTTAAGGAGGTGGCTTTTTATTTATTTGCAGTATTTATAACCTGCTCTTCATTGAATATCTGCAATCCTGGAACGCAGAACAAAAATAATAAAAGGAAATAGAGAAAAACAACGCTGGGGGACATGGCAGGTTCCCTGACCTGCCTAATTTCACAAACTCTTCTTCCTCCCCTAGCGGAAGCTCGACAAGGTTCTGGGTTGCCTGGAAACCAGAATTAAACAACAAGAGCAACAGGAAGGATGTCAAGAAGAAAACATACGTTCCTTGAGAGTAAGAGGAAATAATTCCTAGCTTCTTCTTCTTCTTCTTCTTCTTCTTCTTCTTCTTCTTCTTCTTCTTCTTCTTCTTTTCTTCTCCCGGGCTCCCTTTGAATCAGCAAAGTGGGAGGGGAGCAGCTTACACTCGTGTAACCAGCTCCTCTCCCACCTTCCTGCTTCAAAGCAATCACAGAAGAGGGAAGGAAGGGGACCCTGGATCCTCAGCTTGCGGCTGCAGCGGATTCCCTCCTCCTGGGCTCCCTTTGAAGCAGCAAAGTGGGAGGGGAGCAGCTTACACTCGTGTAAGCAGCTCCTCTCCCACTTTCCTGCTTCAAAGTGGAGGGAATCCACTGCAGTTGCGAGCAGAGGATCCATGGCTCCGCTTCCTTCCCTCGAAGCAGGGTGCGGGGGTGCAGGAGGGAAAGAGGGCAGGAAATAGATGCCGGGCAGGAAGACACAACTACACTTTGCCCACTGGAAAGTCCACCTCAGCCTCCCCAGATTTCCAATGAGATGGCCAGGCTAATCTCGATGGCCAGGCTCAGCATTATTAACTGGACTTAGATAAGCCATGGTTCCCCTTCCTACCATCCTCTGAGGCTTGATTTAAAGCAGCAAAGCGGACAGGAGCCGCCCGCTTTGCTGCTTTAAATAGTTTAGTGCAACATTTGATTCAGAATATTTTTTTGTGTGTTTTCCTCCTCTAAAAACTAGGTGCGCCCTATGGAGCAAAAAATACGGTAACATTCTTGTTGCTGTAGTAGCATACATAAATAAATTTCTGTACAATTTAGGTAGTTCTGTCCCTATAATTCCCCAAAGAAAAGCTTCTGAGTTGTTGTTGTTTTAAAAAGTTATTTTGAACATCCTTTTCAATTCATTATATATCATTTTCCAGCCCAGCTGCTCATCATTTTAAGTACCCAAAATGCAATGTCCCTGCCTATAGACCAGGCATCCCCAACCCTCGGCCCTCCAGATGTTTTGTTTTGTTTTTTTATAAGACATTTATTAAAATTTAAACATTACAAAGAAAAGAAAAGAGGAACAAAGGAGAAATACAAGCAATAAACAATTACAAAACCTCAAAAAACAAAAATAAATACAGTAATACAAAACATCAACAATACAAAAAAGGAAAGAAGGGGGGGAAAGCATTTAAAACCCCCCCAAAAAAACAAAAATAAAAAGGACCCCGTATTTTCATATCCTTGTCTTTCATTTGCTTATTTCCTCGACTTCCTCACACCTCCTTTTTTGTATTCTAGTTCAATTAATTATTCCAGCAAGTCCTTTCCCTCTTTCTCAAATTTAGTTCCATAATTAATCTTAACGCAATTTAGCCTTAAATTTACACCTTTACCCCATGTCAATCTATTCATACTTAGTTCTTTATAGTATTTCTACTAAAGTCATATAGCTTCTTTCCAGCATCCTTCTAACATTCATTAATTTTAGAATATTTCTGTAAATATACTTTAAATTTTTTCCAATCTTCTTCCACCGACTCTTCTCCCTTGTCTTGGATTCTGCCAGTCATTTCCGCCAATTCCATGTAATCCATCAGCTTCATCTGCCATTCTTCCCTGGTAGGTAGATCTTGTGTCTTCCAGTGCTTTGCGATAAGTATTCTTGCTGCTGTTGTGGCATACATGAAAAAAACTCTGTCCTTCTTTGGCACCAATTGGCCCACCATGCCCAGGAGAAAGGCCTCTGGTTTCTTTAAAAGGGTATATTTAAATACCTTTTTCATTTCATTATAGATCATCTCCCAGAAAGCCTTAATCTTTGGGCATGTCCACCAAAGGTGAAAGAATGTACCTTCAGTTTCATTACATTTCCAACATTTATTATCGGGCAAATGATAAATTTTTGCAAGCTTGACTGGTGTTATGTACCACCTGTAAATCATTTTCATTAAATTCTCTTTTAAGGCATTGCATGCCGTAAACTTCATGCCAGTGGTCCATAACTGTTCCCAGTCAGCCATCATAATATTATGTCCAACATCCTGTGCCCATTTAATCATAGCAGATTTCACCATTTCATCCTGAGTATTCCATTTCAACAGCAAGTTATACATTCTTGACAAATTCTTAACTTTAGGGTCTAACAATTCTGTTTCCAGCTTTGATTTTTCCACCTGAAAACCTAGTTTTTTATCCTGATTATATGCCTCCATTATTTGATAATAATGGAGCCAATCTCGCACTCTGTTTTTAATTTTTCAAAGCTCTGTAATTTTAATCTGTCACCCTCTTGTTCCAAAATTTCCCAATACTTCGGCCATTTGGCCTCCATATTGAGTTTTTCTGGGCCTTTGCCTCCATAGGTGACAGCCATCTTGGGGTTTTATTTTCTAACAAATCCTTATATCTTATCCAGACATTAAACAGTGCTTTTCTTACAATATGGTTTTTGAACGCTTTGTGTGCTTTGACCTTATCATACCACAAATATGCATGCCAACCAAATACATTATTGAAACCTTCCAAATCCAAAACATCCGTATTTTCAAGAAGCATCCATTCTCTCAGCCAGCAGAAAGCGGCTGATTCATAGTAAAGTTTTAAGTCTGGCAGGGCAAATCCACCTCTTTCTTTAGCATCAGTTAAAATCTTAAATTTTATACGAGGCTTCTTGCCCTGCCAAACAAATCTGGAAATATCTCTCTGCCACTTCTTGAAACAGTCCATTTTGTCTAAAATTTGCAATGATTGAAACAGAAATAACATTCTTGGCAATCTCTCCTTTGCTGGAGGAATAGGAACCAGGGATGCTGTCGGTGAAAGATCTTGCTCCAAGTATGAGGTTGGGATAATCCCTTCTGACTCCTTGAAGTGTTATGATTCTAGAGCAGGCTTCCTCAACCTCGGCCCTCCAGATGTTTTGGACTACAATTCTCATCATCCCTGACCACTGGTCCTGTTAGCTAGGGATCATGGGAGTTGTAGGCCAAAACATCTGGAGGGCCGCAGGTTGGGGATGCCTGCTATAGACCTACTAAATCTTCTTGCCGGGACTGTATAAAACTGAAAAATTCATTTTACATCGGGTTTACTTCAAAATGGCAGGTACCCACTATGGGTGGGAGCTGAGCTTGGCTCCCAGCTGAAGGATGGCACCATCGCCTGCCACTGAAAAGCATGTATGGACCTAGCAAGGAGATCATTAAATGGGGATGTGGCCAAGTTGGGCTTGTGAGAGGGCCTGGATTAGCAACAACCCCTCATTTTTATAAGGTACCGTATTTTTCGCTCTATAAGACACACTTTTCCCCTCCTAAAAAGTAAGGGGAAATGTGTGTGTGTCTTACGGAGCGAATTCAGGCTGCGCAGCTATCGCTGAAGCTAGGAGAGCAAGAGGGATCGGTGAGCAGCAATGCTGCTTGCTGTCCTGGCTTCTGGCTTAGCCCCGCGCAGCCTCTTCCGGGCAGGGGGAGCCTTCATCCCGCTGCCTGGGAGAGGCTGTGCGCAGCTATCCCATAAGCCAGGACAGCAAGTGGCTTTCCCAGAAGCCAGATCCCTCTTGTTGTTCTGGCTTCTGGGATTCATAATATTTATTTTCTTGTTTTCCTCCTCCAAAAACTAGGTGCGTCTTATGGTCTGGTGCGTCTTATAGAGCAAAAAATACAGTATATTTTGATTCATTTGTTTCTTCTCACTGAACGGGTCACTGGGTTCTCACTTCCGCCACCACAAAAACCTCCCAGTGGAACTTCTTTCCATTGCAGAACTCAGCTGAGTCCCTTCGCAAGACGATTGAAGACGAGTTCACTGAGCTGCAGCGATTCCTGAGCCAGAGGAAAGATGCAGTACTGGCCCAGCTAGATGAGGATGAAAACGCCGCGCGCATGAACATGATGGCACATCTCTGGGAGATTCGGGAGGGCCTGTCTGCAGCCAGAGAGATGATGAGCCAGGGAAAGGCCAAAATGGAACAGACGGATTTAGCTGCCTTCCTCATGGTGAGGCCAAAACCTTGGCACCTCTTTGGTGTAACCATTGCTGAGGGTTTCCCAGAAAATTTTGGACTGGACAGTTGTTGGTTTCCAATTGAAATTTATTTTGACGTGTCAGCAAAGTGATCTAAATTGGTGCGTTTACTTTGCTAAAAGCTTTTGATGCTGCCTTCGTTGTTAGTAACAAACTTTTGTTGTTGTTTAGTCGTGTCCGACTCTTCGTGACCCCGTGGACCAGAGCAGGCCAGGCACTCCTGTCTTCCACTGCCTCCCACCCGCAGTTTGGTCAGACTCATGTTGGTAGCTTTGAGAACACTGTCCAACCATCTCGTCCTCCATCGTCCCCTTCTCCTTGTGCCCTCCATCTTTCCCAACATCAGGGTCTTTTCCAGGGAGTCTTCTCTTCTCATGAGGTGGCCAAAGTACTGGAGCCTCAGCTTCAGAATCTTTCCTTCCAGTGAGCACTCAGGGCTGATTTGCTTAAGAATGGAGAGGTTTGATCTTCTTGCAGTCCATGGGACTCTCAAGAGTCTCCTCCAGCACCATTATTCAAAAGCATCAATTCTTCGGCGATCAGCCTTCTTTATGGTCCAGCTCTCACTTCCATACATCACTACTGGGAAAACCATAGCTTTTACTATACGGACCTTTGTTGGCAAGGTGCTGTCTCTGCTTTTACGAAATGGCAAATTTTCCACAGAAAGATAACATGCTGGAAGGTGGGCTGCCCCACATCACTATCTATAACCAATCACACAGAATAGGTTAAGGATTCAGAATGAGGAGAGGGCCAAGACTCTTCGGAGCAAGGACTGGCATTTAGGTAGGTGGAGACAACGCAGGAGGAGTGATGCCCCTTGTGGTCCCTTCCAACTATACAAGTCTATGATTCTAGGACCCCAAAAGCCAGTGTGGGAACAATTAACCCTATAAAACTTGCAGCCAAGCTAGCTCCTCAGCCTGAGCAACTTGTGTGACTTGGTACCAGGCCAAAACCCAATTTCCAGCCCTGTCCCCTTCATACATACTGCTAGTGCTGCAGGAGCTGCTTCTCTGGAGCAGCATGAGCTTGAGTTGCTTCTTCTTCTTCTTTGATGATCACTCGTAGCCAAGTAAGATTGTCTTCCATGAACACGGTTTTAACAATCAGTCCATAAGTGATTGTGGAGGCCAATTCTGGATCCACACATCCTTCCACACTGGGGACATAGGTTTCCTGGCAGGAGTTGATCTCAGTGAGGGTTTGCCAAGCATGCCTTAGCACGTTTCTCCCTTTTGCCCTGAGTTTGAGCGTCTTCAAAATCCACAACACCTTGGGTAAAGGGCTGTTCTCCAATTGGAGCGCTTGCAGGCCAGTGTTCCCCAGTTGTTGGTGTTTATATTTGAGTTGCACCAGTATGCTGGGTTCAGTAGTGATGTATGAAAGTGAGAGCCGGACCATAAAGAAGGCTGATCGTCAAAGAATTGATGCTTTTGAATTATGGTGCTGGAGGAGACTCTTGAGAGTCCCATGGACTGCAAGAAGTTCAAACCTATCCATTCTGAAGGAAATCAGCCCTGAGTGCTCACTGGAAGGACAGATCCTGAAGCTGAGGCTCCAATACTTTGGCCACCTCATAAGAAGAGAAGACTCCCTGGAAAAGACCCTGATGTTGGGAAAGATTGAGGGCACAAGGAGAAGGGGACGACAGAGGACGAGATGGTTGGACAGTGTTCTTGAAGCTACCAGCATGAGTCTGACCAAACTGCGGGAGGCAGTGGAAGACAGGAGTGCCTGGCGTACTCTGGTCCAGGGGGTCACGAAGAGTCGGACACGACTAAATGACTAAACAACAACAACAACAGTATGCTGGGAGCCCTCCGCCTAGGTGTTCGTCTTCCCAGGTGAAATATTAATCGCTAGATGAGGAAATCTTACCATTGGCTCTACCCTCATCATTCTTGTCCATGGGATTCCGCAACATCCTATGATTGTGTGTGAAGCTGACTTGGAGAAAAACTGTTTCCGTGTCAATCTCGTCTCCTCTGTGAGGGGGAAGTCGTCTCTCTGTGTCTTATCTAATCAGGTTATTGGAAAGGCTTGAGTGCCTTTAGTCTTTGGGAAGGCAAGGGGGTATGGTTGGTTAGGGTTGTGGGCTGAAAGGAGACCCCTTAGAAAACACAGAAGAATTAGCAACAGGATAGCCAGCATTCCACGATTCAGTGGGAGGACAGTGGGACCTAATGGCTTTGAGGAAGGCAAGATTAGGGTGGATGACGGAGTGTATCAGGATTCTGTTATTTTCCAGGATATGAAAGGAGAGATTCAAGCTTCCTAACCATCTCACCTTCTTTCTCCCTCCCCAGGGTGTCCAGGAGCTCCTGAAGAAGTGAGTATGGTGTCTTTCCGCTAGTTTCATATGTGAGAGAGCGGATGGCCACTTGCTGTAACTAGTATTCTGCTCCTCTTCCCACTAGGCTCCCTGCTGAAAAGGAGGCTGAGGGCGTAGGAAACCAGGCTGACCACTCTGCTGTTTGCAGGGAACTCTGCCTGGGCAAGTTCAAGGGTCCACTGCAATACCTAGCATGGAATAAGATGAGATCCATCGTCAGAACAGGTAACTGAAAGGAAGTTCAGGAATGATTAAGAGTAATGTCAGATCAGATGAAAGAAAACCATTCTTCGTACCACATGTGATTAACGCATGGAATTCTATGGCAGAAGATGTGGCAATGGTTGCTTGCAAAGAGAATTAGACAGATTAGTGGCACGTCTGTTGACTTGCCATGGCAAGTGGAACAAAATGTTGCATTGTGGTGTGCTGCTGTTCAGAGTCCCAGACACTCACTTCCAGGCAGAGGGCCTTCTCGGAAGTGGCACCCGCCCTGTGGAATGCCCTCCCATCAGATGTCAAGGAACTAAACAACTATCTGACTTTTAGAAGACATCTGAAGGCAGCCCTGTTTAGGGAAGTTTTTAATGGTTGGTGTTTTATCGCTTTATTATTAATAATAATATTCTGTTGGGAGCTGTCCAGAGTGACTGGGAAACCAGCCAGATGGGCAGGGTATTAATAATAATAATAATAATAATAATAATAATAATAATGGGTGGAGGAAATGGAAAACTGCAGGTGGGGTGACAAGACAACAACAAAAACAACAACAGATTATTATTATTATTATTATTATTATTATTATTATTATTATCCTGTCACCCCACCTGCAGTTTTCCATTCTCCCCACCCCAAACAGTTAATGTACATTCTGCGGCCACTATGAACATTCAGTCCTCATTGGGACTCCCTTAGGTTTCTTCCCTGAAAATTTTTCTATACTTCTGGCGTTCTCCCGAGGCCGCTGATATTTCCTTCTGGTGTGGGGGTTGTGTATTTTGGTTACATGCCACTTACATCCTGTACACCAGATAATCAGAATAAAGGACATGATAGTGAAGTGGAACTTCTACATGTGGAGGCAGGGTGCTGCTGGGGACCAGTCTCTAGGAACCAATGACGGGAGAGGAAGTTTCATGCTCCGAGCCTGCTTGTGGTTTGGGCTACTGTTGAAGACAGGATGCTGAAGAAGGCGGGCCTTTGGTCTGATCCAGCAGAACTCCTTCTTGCATCTCTGTGTCCTTAGGTGCATGGTGGCAGAGCTTGCATTCTGCAAGGATGACTTTGTTATGTACAGCTGTGTTTACAAGCGGCAACCATTCATGTATAATGTGGGGAAAGGCGCTGTGACATTGTCAGGCTATGGTTTAAACCTGCCTGATGACTCCAGAAACACCATCCATAGACTGCCAAGGCTGTTCCTATCAGCACATCTCCATTCTGGTTTCTGTTTCTTGATTATGTTTATTTGTGTTTGGAACTGGCTTCTATATAGGAAGAGAAGATACTTTGCCATTTCTTGAAAAGCTTCCGTCTAAGCAGGGATCAGGGACGCAGGTGGTGCTGTGGGTTAAACCACAGAGCCTAGGACTTGCTGATCAGAAGATCGGCGGTTCGAATCTCCGCAACGGGGTGAGCTCCCGTTGCTCGATCCCTGCTCCTGCCAACCTAGCAGTTTGAAAGCATGTCAAAGTACAAGTAGATAAATAGGTACCGCTCCGGCGGGAAGGTAAACGGCATTTCCATGCCCTGCTCTGGTTCGCCAGAAGCAGCTTAGTCATGCCGGCTCCCTCGGCCAATAAAGCGAGATGAGCGCCGCAACCCCAGAGTCGATCACGACTTGACCTAATGGTCTGGGGTCCCTTTACCTTTAAGCAGGGATCACACTCTTTGCTTCACTATATTTCCTAGCCTGACATGAGGGCTAGGAGCTTGCATTTTAACATGTTAAACACCAGATTTCATTTCACTTTTAATTTGTATTTCTATAGTACGATATGCAAGGCGGCTTACGAGCTGAAGAAAACAACAAAGACCGCACACCTTATAACAATCTAATCCAATACAATGGCTCTCACCTTACGTTTTTAATGTAAGATGAGAGCCAAAGAAAATCACCCACGTCCACTTGTTTCTTTCCCTTTTGGTAACCTAGGATGGAGCTAAGGTAGGATGCCCCAATTTTATTGAACTCGTTCTTTTCCTTTGCTTATCAGAAGTAGAACCAATCACCCTGGACTGCGGCACTGCTCATCCCAAATACACTTTCTTACTGCAAAACTATCGTGTGGCGTTTGGACTGTTTAAGAATCCCTTGAACTATCCAGCGATATTTCAGGACTCTCCCGTTGTGCTGGCGAAAGAGGGGTTCCATTCAGGAAGACACTACTGGGAGGTTGAGGTGCAAAACAAGGGAGATTGGTTGATTGGCGTAGCCTTGGAGTCCATCCCAAGGCAAAAAGGCAAGGATCCCACTTCTCTGACGGACAAGATCTGGTGTCTGGAGCCAACAGAGGAGGATAGCGAGCCTCAAAATGGATCGTCATGGTGGAAGGTTGGCGTGTACCTGGACTATGAGGGAGGCCAAGTTTCTTTCTATGATGTAGCAGCCGGGTCTCACCTCTGCACACACACGGCCCGTTTCAGCGAAAATGTCTACCCTTTCTTCCAACCTACGCCAGCTGCTTTCTGGCAAAAACGCACCATTAGCTTGAAAACTTCTCACAGTTAGGACATTAAAGCAATTCTTAAGAGGGTATTATTATAAAAAGGAAAGGTAGGTGTGTTTGCCCATTAGATAAAAGTCCAAAGTCCATACTAAGGCAGTGCTTTTATCAGGCCAGCCAAGATGCAAACTCCATGACTTCATCATCAGCCAACCTCCCTCCCACCTCGCCTTATTTGCTATCAAACCTGATGAATAGTTCTGGGAAACTTGAAGGCTTGCTCGCTATTTCGTGACGTTTTAGCTGATCTATAAAAGGCATTGCCCTAATGTGGATTTTGGAATGATGTTCTTAAGTGCGCCACAATTCTCCAAGCGTTTGAGAAGTGTGTGCCCCTGGGAAACGGGAAGGGAGTGTGGCTCTCAACATTAGACTTTTCCCCAAAATGCCCCTGCCATGAAGGCAAACGATTACCACCCCCTTCCTTATCGCAGGTGAGGAGCTGTAACTTGCTCCATTCACCCAGTAAATTAATGACACAGGGACTTCCAGGTTCTTAGCTCAATTGGGCATAACGTAAGAGCTCTACTAGATTAGCAATCTGATAGATCACTTAAAAAAAAAAAATCAAGTAGCGGGCAGGAGATATGTATGTGCGCAACACAGGCTGGGATTCTGGGAGGAAGGTAAATAAGGCCAAATGTCATTTGCACTGAAAGAAAAGGTTTCCACCGGGTGCGATGGGAGCTCTAGCTATTCTTCCAGACCAACAAACAGCAGGCATGGAGGCCCCGATCCAGAATGAAGCAAAGGAGCGAAAAGCCCTTCTAATTCCCACAACCAACAGGGATCTATGATCTGGGTTAGGGCCTGCTGTTTACTTTTTTAAAAAAGCCCTTCATACAATTGGTAACTGTCTGAAGCAGGCAAAGCCAACACAGCATATTTGCCAGACTACAACTCCCATCATCCCTGACCACGCTAGCTAGCTGGGGTTGATGGGAGCTGGGAGTCTAACAATCTCTGGAGGGCACAAGGGCAAAACTAGTTCTTGTAAAAAAGTGTTCTCGCCATGCTTGAGGCTGCAAAGCACAGCACTTGCTCTCCTATCCACTTGAATCTCCCTTTGTGTAGAGATTTCCAAAAGGGATACATGACAAATCTGAAGAAACATGAATCGTGTAGGCTGTTTATGTTGGCCAGATTCAACATGTTTCCCTCGGTGGTAGTGAGAGGAAGATACTTAGCTATCCCAGAATCAGAGCGTCTCTGCAAATGCAGAAAACAGGAACCCGATACTCTAGAGCATATATTCTTTTCCTGTGATTTTGGTAGTTATGCCAGAAAACAATTATTTGAGGCCCTAAAAGTTAATAGACAGATCTTTACACAACCAACTGTTCAGGACCTGCTGGCGGACAGCGATGATCAAATTACTTTAATAGTGGCTGAATTTCTAAGTGCTGTCCATGAAGAAAGAATGGGCCATGATAAAGAGACTTAGTGGTTTTTAATGGTAGGTGAGGTTGTTGTGTTGTTGTATTATATTATCTATGTACATCGATTTACTTCTTGGAGTTAAGAATAGGACTGGGATAAATTGTGTTCGCTGAGCCCGTATTTTATACAGTCTGTATATGATGTTTGTTTGTTAGTGTGTGATGTGCTATGCCTAATAAAGGATTTAAATCATAATCAACTAGTTCTTGTATGCTCTGCCCTTTAGGCACATTTGCTTACATTGTTTTTGTCTGCCATTGTTTTCTTACTTACTACATCCAAAAAGTATCAAAGAAAGACAGTTCAAGACAGTTTGAAAGCACATTAACTTGTGTTTGTATTGTGACTGGATTTATTATCAATTGGGATGTTCTTAACTGAAAATTAATAAAAATTATTTACAGTGGCACCTCGGGTTAAGTACTTAATTCATTCCGGAGGTCCGTTCTTAACCTGAAACTGTTCTTAACCTGAAGCACCACTTTAGCTAATGGGGCCTCCTCCTGCTGCTGCCCCACGATTTCTGTTCTCATCCTGAAGCAAAGTTCTTTTTTTAAAAAAGTTTTTTTTATTAAAAATTAAAATAAATATTATCCAAAAACATTATCATCCTTGTCCCCCCCCCATTTTTTCTGCCCCCCCCCCCGGCAAAACCCCACCACCACCACCCCGACTTCCCTCAGTTCCAGTCTTTGGTTTCTCTGAGACTGCTGTTTTCTGCATGTTACAAAGTTGTATAGATCCTCAAACTATTTAGCTGATTATTATCAATAAAAAGTTCTTAAGCAAAGTTATTAACCTGAGGTACTATTTCTGGGTTAGCGGAGTCTGTAACCTGAAGCGGATGTAACCTGAGGTACCACTGTATAACAAAAAACTTGAACCTGCTGAGGCAGAACTGCAGAAAGCCCTGCATGAAAACTGTTTGGCTTCCATATACAGTTTGGTATAAATAAATTATTATTATTATTATTATTATTATTAATAATAATAATAATAATAATATATTTTCCCCCCCTTGGCACAGCCACAGGAAATATGCACACCCTCCCTTTCTCGCAGATACACAATTCCAAAAGATCCAGGTTGCTTTTTATACCCATTTTATTGACAGTGGTAAAAAAACAAAACACAAAAGAGTTATTTACAAGCTTAAGGCAACGTCGCCATGTAACGGGCTGCGCTTTGGTCTCAACGCCGCATCTTGGCTGGGGTTGCTGGTTCTGCAGCCGCCCTCTTCCTCCTCGTCCTGGTCGGGGGAGTGGCAACGGAGGGGGGGCTCATCCCGTTCAGCCGGTGGGCGTCCACATCCAGCTTCTGCTGCAATATACCTGTCAGGATGAACTCTGCGTTGGCAATGGGGAGTCTGGCGTCCTGAGCTGCTTTGCAGCGGGGCAGGTCTTGGGGACAGGAAATCACAACGCACTTGTCCTTAAGCAAATAAATAAAAGAGGTTGAGGGTCAGGTCTCGCTCTCAGAAAAAGGAACCTTTTATCATATGTGGTGGGAATGTAAGAAAATAAAGAACTTTTGGGAAATGATATATAATGAGATGAAAAAGATCTTGAAATATAAATTAAAAAAAAAAACAGAACCATTTCTACTTGGTATTCTATGTCAGGATATTAATAGGCAAGATGTTAAATATGCAACAACAGTGGTAAGAGTATTGTTAGCCCAGAAATGGAAGCAAGAAGAAACTCCGATGAAAGAAGAATGGCAGACGAAATTAATGGACTATGCAGAATTGGACAAAATGACAGGAAGGATTTGAAACCTGCAGGAACAGAGATTTACAGAAGATTGGAAGAAGTATACGAACTATTTGAAGAGCAATTGTAATCAACAAAATACATTAGTAGGACTACAAGAAGTTTTGTAGGGAGAAATATATGAAGTGCTACAAAGTAGATAAAGAATAAAGATATTGGTTATGAGTTTTAAATGTAACAGGGAAAATAAGAAATGTATACTAAGAGATTAGACTGGAAAATTTCCAGACTGGACTGACAGAAGTCAAAATATTGAATAAGATGTAAAAATATGTTTAATTACTGTTGAAAATGGTATGTTAAAAAAACTAATAAAAATGTATATAAAAAAGAGAGAGTCGGGTCTCGCTCTCAGGTATTCCTTTTGCCTCAGCGTTTCTGCCAGCACCCCACAGGATGCCATGTAAACAGGCATAGTTCACCTTGTAGGCTCGAGGCATTCTGGGTAAGAACTTCCCGCCGCCGCACTGCACAATGTTCCTCATGTCCTCCAGCTCCAAGTTGACGTTAGGCGTAACGTGGATCTCGTAGCCCTGGAAGGGAAAAGAGACAGGTCTGTTTTGTTTCAAAGGGGCACGGGAATCCGAAGATTAGCGAGGAAGGGTTGACTCAGAATTGGATTATGCCTGCGACTCAAGATGGAAGCTTATACCATAGAAAATTTTTATAATAATAATAATAATTTATTACGGCCGTAGGCCCATACAGATAAAAACAAGACATAAATAACAGCCTGTGCACATGGGAAAAAAACAGCCGCTAAAACACTACTATAACAATAAGCTACTATAAGATGGAATGGCATACTACGCCTTAATTAGCTTGTGGTGCTCCTTGGCAACGCTTTTGGGTAAGGACAGCGACCAGGAACCTAGCCACTTTCAGGGTCGTATGGGCATCCTTATCCTGCAAGATTTGGGCAAGGTGGAATTTTGGTGGAGTACCCTCTAATTTCTGTATGATTGATCCCAACAAGTTTGCCCGTGGCACCTTAAATAAGGGGCAAGTGAACATAATGTGCCATAGAAATGATACCATAGAAATGATATATAATGAATTGAAAAAGATGTTTTAAATAATGTTTGTAAAAACAAACAAAGAAACAAACCCAGAAGCCTTTCTTTTGGGAATTATAGGGACAGAACTACCTAAATTGTATAGAAATTTATTCATGTATGTTACTACAGCAGCAAGAATGTTACTTGCTCCAAATTGGAAAGAAGCAGAAGTCCCAGAAAAGGAAGAATGGGTACAAAAACTCATGGAATATGCAGAAATGGTGAAACTGACCAGAAGAATAAGAATTTCAAGATAACAAGCTTTTTATAAAAGAATGGAAATGGTTTATTGAATATTGACAGAATTGCAAACAGATAAAAACATTGGCAGGATTAATGGAATAACCTGCAGTTTTATAAGAGTATATATCTACAGTAGATAAAGAAATGAGTACATTAAATGAATTTGGATTGGAGAAGATAGGAAAAAATGAATTTAAGGAATCGCAGAACGAGGGGGAAGGGAGTCAAATTTTGAAATGTTAAATTGATTGTAAAACTAATGAAATGTATAAATTTGAAAATATAAAGAAAAAAGAAAGAAAGCTGACACCATGATGAAATGTGTTAGTCTTTAAAGGGATTAGCAAGGCTCTAGCTTGTTTCTCCTGCAACAGACCAATACGGCTGCTCCTCTGAAAGTTGGAATGCATTTTCTGAGCCTTCGTGCTGTATCTTGCCTCCCACCGTTACCTCAGGGGCGGTTTAGCATTACATCTCCTCTTCCTAATACTATAACAACTCCTCTGTGGGGAGGAAATTCCACCACTCAGGGCCTGCTGCAGAGAATACCTTCTCCCAAAACTTTTCAAGGGCAGTGGAACTACCAAAGGGGATCTTGCCCCCCAACCTCCCAAGGAACTGTAGGGAAGCGGTGTCAGGGTGCCAACTTGATGTGGCCTTACAACCCACAAGAAGTGGGCAGGTTATCAGTTTCCTCCTTTTTTTTTGTATATACAGTAGTACCTCAGGTTAAGAACTTAATTTGTTCTGGAGGTCCATTCTTAACCTGAGGTACCACTTTAGTTAATGGGGCCTCCTGCTGCCGCCGCCACGCAATTTCTGTTCTCATCCTGAAGCAAAGTTCTTAACCCGAGGTACTATTTCTGGGTTAGCGGAGTCTGTAACCTGAAGTGTCTGTAACCCGAGGTACCACTGTAATTTTTAGTAAAATTTTCTGTTTTAACCTTTAAAGTACTCATTTTTACATCCTTAAGATATCAATGACTTGCCCTCTTCTCCTTCCATGGTTCATTTTACATATCATAAATCCCTACATATTTTGCAGAAACTATACCATTCAGTATTCCGTTATAACATCCATCATAACTTATTTAGACTGTTGAATTTATCCTAATGCTGCCAGCATTTTCAGCTGTACACAGTTATTTCCCATACAGTGGTACCTCGGGTTAAGTACTTAATTCGTTCTGGAGGTCCGTTCTTAACCTGAAACTGTTCTTAACCTGAAGCACCACTCTAGCTAATGGGGTCTCCTGCTGCCACCGCACCGCCAGGGCACGATTTCTGTTCTCATCCTGAAGCAAAGTGCTTAACCTGAGGTAATATTTCTGGGGTTAGCGGAGTCTGTAAGCTGAAAGGTCTGTAACCTGAAGCATCCGTAACCTGAGGTACCACTGTATATTGAAAACAGTTTTCCAATCTTCTCTAAACGAATGTTCTTCTTCTCTTATTCTATATGTTAAGTCTGCAAGCTGCACATATTCTGTCGGCTTAAGCTGCCACTCTTCTTTGGTTGGGACCTTAAACTTACAGGTTATCAGTTTCTTCCCGGACAGGGTTCCTGCTGCACATCGGAGAGAAAAATTCAAACCCCATTCCAACTGCTCCGGGGTTGGGGAAAATCCTCTGCCCACTTTGCTGTGCATACCTGGGCTAGGTAGTTCTGTGGGCGTAGCCCAAGGCAAAGGCTGCTAACCGTGACCTCACCTGGAGCACGCCTCCCTCTTGCCGGGCCTTCTGCAGCGACGCGGAGAGCTTGAACCGGAAGTATTCCTCCTTCTCGGGGTCGGAAACGAGGAAGCTGTTCGGGGCCAGGAAGAAGGAGTTCTGCCGGCTCTGCGAGGAGAGGAAACATGGGAAGGAGATTGCAGAATAGGCAGGGAAAACCACCACCTTCCCCTTAAAGGAGGCCGCCACACACAGTCAACTGCGGAAAGGTGTAAGGCCCTACCATGATACTAACTGCTCGTTGGTTCACCAAAGCAAGGAGAGCCCTGCTGGATCAAGCCAATGGCCCTTCTAAACGGTCTTGGCCCTGTATACCTGAAGGAGCACCTCCACCCCCATCGTTCAGCCGGATATATAAAAATGTAACAAAACATTAAACACGTCCCTATACAGGGCTGCCTTCAGACATCTTCTAAAAGTCAGATAGTTGTTTATCTCCTTGACATCTGAAGGGAGGGCGTTCCACAGGGAGGGCGCCACCACTGAGAAGGCTCTCTGCCTGGTTCCCTGTAACTTCACTTCTGGGAGTGAGGGAACCGCCAGAAGGCCCTCAGCGCTGGACCTCCATGTCTGGGCTGAACGACGGGGATGGAGATGCTCCTTCAGATCACTGCTATGGAGCCTGAACAGTCATCAAAGGCAGCAATACACAGTATTCTCTCCCAGACTATTTCCTGGAGAATGAAATGTCACTGCCCGCCCCCTCCGGACTGCAGGAGTGGTACATCCCTGCTGTAGAACAGAAGTAAGGTAAAGGTAAAGGGACCCCTGACCATTAGGTCCAGTCGTGACTGACTCTGGGGTTGCGGCGCTCATCTCTGCCTCCCTCCCAGAACCAGAGCAGTGCACGGAAACGCCGTTTACCTTCCCGCCAGAGCGGTACCTATTTATCTACTTGCATTTTGACGTGCTTTCGAACTGCTAGGTTGGCAGGAGCTGGGACCGAACAATGGGAGCTCACCCCGTCACGGGGATTCGAACCGCCGACCTTCTGATCAGCAAGTCCTAAGTTCTGTGGTTTAACCCACAGCGCCACCTGTGTCCCTCAGAACAGCAGCAATCAATGGCTATGGATATGGTTGGCCTACAGCTTCCATCATCTCTGACCACTGGGGCTGATGGGAGTTGGAGTCCACTGGCACTGGAAAGGCCCCCTGGTGGCTAACCCTGCCCCAGAGAATTCTGGGAGGGAGGCAAGTCAAGCAACTCACCTTCTCCAGCCAGCTGAGGGTCACGATGGGGATGCCCCGCGCCATCGCGCACAGGAACTTGACCGTACGCCGGATGCGGTCCGTCACCAGGTGGGTGCAATCAAAGACGGACTCTGCCAAGGAGCCGCCCAGCTCCGTCACAATGTGCTCCCCTTCTTCGCCGGTCCCCGCCATGAACAGCACCTGGGAGGGGCAGCAAGAGAAGGAAAAGGAAGTCATTGGGGGTGGGGGTGGGTGGGAATATAACCCCAACCCTCAGCATGCAGCCACTGGCAAGCCATTCAAATCCACGCTTCTCAAACCCTATAGAACAGCCCTTTTTCAACCTTGAGTCCCCCAAATACTGCCGGACTACGACTCCCATCATCCCTAGCCAGCAGGACCAGTGGTCAGGGATGATGAGAGTTGTAGTCCCACAAAATCTTGGGGAAAGGCTACTGCAAAACTTGGGCCACAACCTATGAATTCTGTTTCTGTGTCTTTGCTCAACACAAATACGTGAACATTGTGAAATTAAAAGCGCTGAAATCTGGGCTAGATTGTGCCCACACGTTTATCGTGCTGCATGGAAGAAAACTGCTCTCATAGTAACAACGCGAAACTTCATATAGCATTTTGCATGTTTCTGTACAAATACGAAATGGTCTGGACATTTCAAAGTCTTGATGTACTGTCCGTGTTATCTCTGCAAATGTCATCTTCGATTAAAAGAAACTAGTCATTATCAGAGCTCAGTACTGTTGGCTTGTCTATAAACTGTGCAATGGGTCTTCATTACTGTTTGACTGTAACAAAAACCATTCCCGTTCCTTATCTTTTAAAAAATATTTCTATGAAAGTAGTTAAGAACTTACTGGTTTTACTAAATATTGATAGCTTTCCCCTGTTTACATTCCAGTTGAGTTCAGAAGGTGGATTAAAAAGTCATATGTGAAAAAAATAAAATTAAAAAAATATGCACAAGCTACTGCTTCCATGCTGAGGGTGCCAGACCCTAAGATCCCGGAGCTCGCCCTCTCAAGGTTTTCTCCCTCCAACCCCTTCCTCCACCCCAAAACATGTGCGCAGTACCTTTGGGACAGGACTGCCCGATACCCCCGAGTTCTGGGTTCGCCTCCGGGGCTGGCTTCTTGTTCCCGCTGGCTTGCTCTCTGTGCTCTGCTTCCGGGACCTCCTTCCCGAGGGTGGAGTGGACTGCGCTGGCTCCTGGGGAGAAGGGGGGCAAGCAAAAAAATGAGGAGAGGGTTGCACCGAGGCAGAAAAGTTCACCGTCTTAGCCAATCCTTTGGTTCGCAAACCCCTCCCCGCCACCGGACATCCCACCTCCTGGTTGTCAAGGCCCAACTCTCCCTGCCTACAGGTTACCAAGGACTATCACACCGGAGCCAGGTGGATTCACACAGGAGGCAAGGCTAAGCCGGGTTTACTGCAGCCCGGCATGGGAGCTCAGCAAAGGAGCGTTTTCCCTACAGGAAAGGTGCAGGAAGGGTTCTGAAACCCACCCAGCACTCGTGCATCTGGCTTCATTTTCAGAACAGGCTGTCCAACAGGATTCTAAAAAGGCCAGATCCAATTTAACCAGTTGTCTTTAAGACCAGGCATGAGACCACCTCATCCAACAGCGTCACGAATGACCTTCTTCCTCCTGCTGCTCCCTTACCCACCTGCCCAGGTTTGGCTTCTTTCCCAGAATCCTTTGGGCTGGGCACGCTCACTGAAGAGCAGCTCGACCGCCTGCTGACCGCTCGGGTCCTCGGACGCGGGGCCTCCTGTTCTTCTGCAGGCGCGACCGCTGTCCCCTGTTTCCCTCGCCTTGTCCTCTCCCGGGGGCCAGGGCTGTCTATGGCTGTTGGCGGCCCTTCCTGAAGCCTGCTGGCGGCCCTTGTTTTCCTCTGCGAGCCCCTGGCTCGGCCTTGACGTGGGGTGGCTGCCGGTTCCCTGTTCTTGGTCTTCTTGCTGGGGCTCGGTCCTTCTTCTTCTGACTGCTCCGGCTCCTCTTCCGGCTCTCCCCTAAGTCGGGTCGGCTTCCTCTGCCGCCGCAGCCCCTGGCGCCTGGAGACAGGGACCGCCGGTTCCCTGGACTCACCCACATCAGCGGGTCCCGCACGGCCACGGGTCGGTCGCTCTGGAACGGGAGCTGGGGAAACAGTACTGCTGGCAGACCGCAGACCGCGCCTCCGCGGGACAACAACAGAGGCCGCCGGCTCCTGTTGCACCTGTAATATGAAGGGCAATTAAGGCCTACAGGAGCTATGCAGAGAAATTCAGGGAGGGAGGAATGAAGGGCTGTAGTGGCCAAGTCCAAGCCCACCTGCTCAGAATTCCTTGCTTCTCCTGCCGGAGCTGAGCTCCTGCCTTCCGACTCCACGTCAACAGGAGCTAGGGAAGAAGCAGAGTGAAAAGACTTAAGCCGAGTGGCGCAACTTCCTGTTGGGATTCCTGCTCCATGTTTGCAGTCATGAGATTGTTGTCTATCACGACGGTGTATGTTTTCATTCCACAGAGTGGGAAGTGACGGAGACAGGATGTTTTGGTATTACAGTGGTACCTCAGGTTAAGTACTTAATTCGTTCCGGAGGTCATGAAACTGTTCTTAACCTGAAGCACCACTTTAGCTAATGGGACCTCCTGCTGCAGCTGCGCCGCCGGAGCACGATTTCTGTTCTCATCCTGAAGCACTATTTCTGGGTTAGCGGAGTCTGTAACCTGAAGCGTATGTAACCCGAGGTACCACTGTACTGTGTTCCGGAAAGTGGAACTATTGTCCTTTGTTCTTTCTCTCTTTGCTGTCTGATGAGAAAGAGGAAGGAGCTAAAGCAGAATGCTCTGTGTATTATATGTAAATAAAGTACATTAGCCAAAATGCTGAGCTACTGAGTTCTGTTACGCAAACTGCAAATACTCTGCAGGATCCGTAAGTGTGCTGATGCCTCTTGGTATCAGTCGCTGTGATGTTCGGGCTGGAGAAAGCTTTTGAAGCTCCCAAACGACCAGGAGGGAGAGAACATGCCAGTCGGGCGTGTGTCTCTGCCGGGGTCCTACACTTCCTAACACTTCCACTCCAGCCACCAGGAGGCAGTGCCAGCCGGAGGAACCGCCACTCCTTTCCCGGAAGGAGATCTCTGGTTCCAAAACACGAACCCCACTAAACCCCGGCTCGACCCTCTCAGAGGATTCACATAGAGTTGAGCCTCCCAGGCCCGTTAGCTATTCCTAATTTGCAGGAACGCAAATGGAAACCCACCATTGGTTTGGCCTCTGCCACCGCCAGTTTCCCTGCTAAGCCCCGCTGGGCCTGCTGTTTGGAGACTGGACCAGCTCCTGCATGACAGACCCTTATGAAATCCTCCAGTGAACAAATAGGGGGGTTTCCCACCCCCTATGAAGGGTTGTTGCCCAAGAGGAAATGGATGGAGCCAGAGAGAACACCGCGCAGCCTTGCACAGCGCTCTTTCCCTGCGATAGCCTTTTGCTACTTCACCCCTTCCCTGACATCCACCCAACTCTCATATATACAACAAACCCCTCTTTACTCAGACTTTTGATGTACAGTGGTACCTCAGATTAAGAACTTAATTCGTTCTGGAGGTCCGTTCTTAACCTGAAACTGTTCTTAACCTGAAGCACCACTTTAGCTAATGGGGCCTCCTGCTGCTGCCGCGCGATTTCTGTTCTCATCCTGAGGTAAAGTTCTTAACCTGAGGTACTATTTCTGGGTTAGCGGAGTCTGTAAGCTGAAGCGTCTGTAAATTGAAGCATCTGTAACCCGAGGTACCACTATATTTTTAAGGAGCAACCCAATTCTGGAGATTGTATTTATTTACCCTGGTTTTGGCGTTGTTGCTTTTGATTGTCAAAGCCTGCCCTGGGACCTAAGGGCTTCTGCTGGTGGTGGTTATTTAATATACACAGAGAGGGAAAGATACACAATTCACATGCAAGGAAGCCATTCCAAGAGGAACTATCCAGAGAGCAAGACGGGTGGCGGTCTGCTGTCATGGAAAGCCAGACGACAATAAGCAGTGTCTCAACACACTTGCGATAGCCATATCTGCAATTGGGACTCTTACTCTCGGGGTTATGGGTTCGAGCCCTACGTTGGGCAAAAGATTCCCGCACTGCAGGGGGTTGGACTAGAGGACCCTCATGGTCCCTTCAAACATGACAATTCTATGATTCCATTATTAGACCTTTTTTGGATGACCAAACACTCCCCAGCCTCCAGCCATCCCTACCGCTCACCTGCCTCGTTCTGTGCCTCTAACTTCACATCACTGCTTCCACCTTCGGGGGCTGTCACACCCTCCTGTTTTGGGCTCCCAGAGACCTCGTTGGCCAATGTTGAGGGTTGACTGCTGTCAACAGAGGGAATCTGCCCTGCGTGGATCAGCTGGGCTTCCTCTTCCTGCTTGAGCTCCTGGGCAGCAGCGCCCCCCACTGGCTGAGATGCAGGCTGAGAACGGGGCAGTTGTGGAGTGTTGGTCCCTAGGAGGCTGGCTGCCTGTTGCCCCCTAGAGGCCGACCCTGAAACTACCATCTGCGTTGCCTGCTCAGACGAACGCGGCAAGATTAGTTCTGTATCTTCCTCCTCTTTGCCAAGAAAGTCCTGAGTGGGGTCTTCCAAGAGCCGCCCGGGGTCCTGGCAGAATGGCTGGGTGGCTTCCATCGTGTAAGCATCCGAGTCATCATCATTCAGAAAGGAGCTGCTCTCTACACAGAGAGAAAGAAGAGAGGCGATCCCAACACAGTGTTCCTTCTCCACTGACAAATCTAGTTATCTCCCGCTTGGACTACAGCAATGCTCTCTATGTGGGGCTACCTTTGAAGGTGACCCGGAAACTACAACTAATCCAGAATGCAGCAGCTAGACTGGTGACTGGGAGTGGCCGCCGAGACCATATAACATCGGTCTTGAAAGACCTGCATTGGCTCCCAGTACGTTTCCGAGCACAATTCAAAGTGTTGGTGCTGACCTTTAAAGCCCTAAACGGCCTCAGCCCAGTATACATGAAGGAGCGTCTCCACCCCCATTGTTCTGCCCAGACACTGAGGTCCAGCGCCGAGGGCCTTCTGGCGGTTCCCTCACTGCGAGAAGCCATGTTACAGGGAAACAGGCAGAGGGCCTTCTCGGTAGTGGCGCCCGCCCTGTGGAACGCCCTCCCACTGATGTCAAAGAGAAAAACAACTGCCAGACTTTTAGAAGACACCTGAAGGCAGCCCTGTTTAGGGAAGCTTTTAATGTTTAATAGACTATTGTATTTTAATATTCTGTTGAAAGTCGCACAGAGTATGGGCAGGGTATAAATAAATAAATAAACAAATATATTCTTATTCTTATTCTTATTATTATTATTATTAGGATGGGGGATCTTTGGCCTGCAAAATGTTACTGGCCTACAACTTCCAACAGCCTCGACCACTGACCATGCTTGTTGGGGTTGATGGGAGATGTAGTTTGGCCACATCTAATTCTCAGCCCTTGAATCCTCTCATCACGGCCTTATAGAAATAAATCTGAGGTGCTTTTTAAAGTGGCCCTTTGACTAGCGTGATGACGGGGTGGGGTGGGGAAATCGACCAAGAGTCCTGCAGCAACTGACAAAACCCAACAAATGGATAATGAAGATGATGGACTATGCGGAAATGTCAAGGCTGACTGGGAAGATCAGGCACTAAGATGATGATAAATTCAACAAAGAATGGCATAACTTTATAGAATATATTAAAGAATGCTGTAAACACTTAGAAACGTTAGCAGGATTGACATAGCACTTGTAATTTAAAAGGACAAAGGATAAAATTGAAGGGTTATCATTTAGATAAATATAATTAAATGCAGAAAAAAGGGAAGATAAATTTTGGAAGCCATGGGAGGGGTGGGGGGAAGCCTGGCGGTTCAGGGAACCCCATAAATGTATTGATATGGACTATGGTTTAATGTAAACAATTGTGTGTTTGAAAATAAGAAAGAACGAAAGAACGAAAGAAAGAAAGACCCAACAAATTTTATTACGATCTTTCATGGGCTAATGCCCAGTTTATCTGTACAAATCTCTTTACATGCATTTATACAAATATATTTTCCTGGTGGTAAAAAACTGGGCGTTGTAAGTGAAGCCAGAAGGAAATGAAATGGATAGATAGATAGATATGCAGTTAGAGACAATTCAAACAGAGATGACGAAGAGGACAAGCTAAAAAGAGTTTATGCCATGAGATTTTTAGCAAGAACTATTGCTCCCTTACACAATGCCACCCCTTCTCCCTTTGCTGCCCCACCCCTCCAAAGTTTGGATTCCCTATACCCATCAGCCCCAGCCAGCAGGGCCAATCAGAGCAGGCCCAGACATTCAGTACTGAACCCCATTGGACCAAATGGTGGATCGTGTAGCCTATAAGGATTGAGGGAAGTGGCGCAGTCTGGAAGAGTCCATCTGGACAACTGCGGGGAAGAGGCTGCCATGTGGACATAGGTCAAGATGAACTCACCTTTCGCAGCCCGGAGTCTGCATGGCAGAGAGGGAGACTGAAAGACAAACGGCTCTGCAGCCGCCTCTTCGAGAGCACAACCGGCACCTGGGTGGAGGGGGAAAGACCGGAAAGGTGTTTAACCTTTTGAAAGGCTCCATTTTTTATATATATAAAAAAATGTGGCGGACCTGTAAAAGGGTAAAAGAGTATTGGGAAATAATTTATAATGAACTGAAAAAAATGTTCAAAAGCACTTTTCAAAAAACAAAACAGAGTCCTTTTCGTTGGGGATAATTCAGATGGAAATTCCCAGGTGTCAAAAAAGGTTATTTATGTATGCCACTACGGCGGCCCGTATTTTGTTAGTTCCAAAATGGAAAACGAGCAAGGTCCCAACTAAAGAAGAATGGCAACTTAAACTGATGGAATATGCGCAGCTTGCGGACTTAACATATAGAATAAGAGAACAAGAAGAACATACGTTTAGAGAAGATTGGAAAATGTTTACTGAATATATGAGGGGAAATTGTATACACTTTAAAAAGTTGGCAGCATTAAGATAAATTCAACAGCGTAAATAAGTTTTGATGGAAGCAATAATGGTTTAGTTATATAAAACATGCAGGGATTTATGTAATGCAAAATGAACCATGGAAAGAGAAGAAGGGGTGTCACTGATATTTTAAGGTTGTTTAAATGAATATTCTAAATTGTAAAACAGAAAATTTAATAAGAATTAGAGAGAGGGAGAGGGCCCCCCTCTTTAAATCTTCAAACCTCCCCCACCACGAGTTTACACCCCGCTTTTAGGCTCTGCACTCCACCTCTTCCAACACAACAGCTATACCTCTTCCCCCACCCCAATCCTCATCCAAAAACTGACACAAATAAATCTAATGTGACATAGGGAAGCTGCTTTGTGGAGAATCGGATAATTGGTTTCCCTAGCTCAGTGCTGCCAGCACAGGCTGGCAGTGGCTCTCAAGCATCTCCATCTCTCCCAGCCACCCCCCCCCCCCAGGACTGAAACTGGGACCTTCTACATACCAAGCAGGTGTCCTGCCACTGAGTTTCAGGCCTTCCCTATGTAACACAAACCAAAGCAATGAAACGAAGATAAAAATATCATAAGAGAAAATGCTTGGGCAAATAACAAGGCTTTAACTTGGGGCTGCTGAGTGTCTGATGTACCTTCCTCTGGCGGGTGGGGGGCAGGGGGCATTTGACAGTCAATGTCCTCTCTTTTCTACGTATCCCCCCACCCCCGATACTGCAGTGCTTAGAAACGACAGTGTTGGTACTTATAAGCTAAGGCCCAAATAGCAGCCACACGCGGTCTCACATGTTATCCTCAGAGAAGCCAGATTTCTCAACCACTACCCCTGTGACAGCTGCCACGGGCTTCCCTCAGAATCCTGCAAAACTCCTTACCTGCTGTGGAGGGATCTCTCGCCTTTGCAGCCATGGGAGAGGAGGTCTCGACAGGCAAGAAACACTGTGTGTCCTGGAAAGCCAGGTCGGGCTCCTCTGGGGGATGAGAGGGGAAGAGGAGAAGAATCAACCTTGTATTTTTATTGTTAATAAATTATTATTATTATTATTATTATTATTATTATTATTATTATTATTAAAGAGTTGCAGCTGCCAAGCCCCTCTCCCTTGGCTCCAAGCAGGCATGGGAAACGTTTGGCCCACCACAGCTTGTTCAACAACCCTCAGCAGCCATGAGTAAAATGGCCAACGGCCAGGGATGCAGGAAGCTGTAGTTTGGAAACACCTGGAAGGCCATAGGTTCCCCACGCCTGGCTCAGAGCTGCTGAGGGAAAAGCAAGGATTTGAGGAAAAATATACTGCCTGAACAAACCTGCTTCCCTGTGGACACCTCTCTGGTGCCTGTAACGCAGGACAGAAATAGTCTAAATAAAATACACTGGTACCTTGGTTCTCAAACACCTTGGTACTCAAACAACCTGGAAGCCAAATACTGCAAACCCGGAAGTAAGTGTTCTGGTTTGCGAACTCTTTTCGGAAGTCGAATGTGCTCCGTTTGGAGTGTTACGCTTCTGATTTGAGTGCCGCACTTTTGTTTTGAGTGCCATACTTCCATTTTGAGTGTTATGTTGAGGTCTGTTTTTGCTATTTATTTTGCGTTTTTGAAGCTCTTTTTTGTTTTTGTGACTGTGTGGAACCCAGTTCAGCTACCAATTGATTGTGTGGCTGCAGTACTGCTTTTATTTTATGGATCAGTGGTCTCGTTAGATAGTAAAACTCATGTTAAATTGCTGTTTTAAGGGTTGTTTTTAAATAGTCTGGAACAGATTAATCCATTTTGCATTACTTTCTATGGAAAAGAGCACCTTGGTTTTGGAATGCTTTGGTTTTGGAACGGAGTTCCGGAAAGGATTAAGTTTGAGAACCAAGGTACCACTGTAAAAAGAACCTAAAGGGCACCTTGTTTGTGCAAGGCCCTGCTCAGGACAACTGCACAAGCGCAAACCTGGTACCGCATCTCAGGTGTATTCCAAGTCGAACGAGAGACCCAGCTTTTCCTATCGCTTTACTTCATACCCACCATCAGTGCTGCTGCCGTCTCCTGGGTGGAGCTCCTCTCCTTCTGCATCTGTATCTTCATCCTCTTGGCAAGGTTCACGGCCGACGTTTGCTTCCACCGTGGAGCCAGTCGACTTCTTCCCATTCAGACAGGATTTCACGGCGACCAGCTGCGTGTCTTGCTCTTCCGAGGGCTTCCTGGGCAACGGTTCAGCCTCTCCCTCCACATCCGTGTCGCTGTCTTCAGCCACAGATTCCTTGTGGGATGGAGACGTCGCTTCCGCATCTGTGTCGGCGTCCTCCCCTTCAATAGTTCTGGAGATCTTCTGAGGACCAGAAACATCTGGTTTCTCAAGAGGGATACATCCTCCACTGAGCCCAGTGGCTGTGTGGTCCTTGTTTGAGCCCACATCTGGATTTCCAGCATCCTCCTCCTCTTCCACATCTGTATCACTGTCAACAGAGAGACCAGCCAAGTGTTGACTCTCAGGTTTCCCCAAGAGCTCCTTCCCACCTAAACCGCTGGACTGTCCACTGGCAGCTTCACAACCCCTCTGGGGTTCAGCATCAGGCTCCTTTCTCTCCCCTACAGCATCAGGACCACCCCTTACACCGTTGCCCGGGTGACTGTTGCCCAGCAGCGCAGCCTCCTCAATGGAGATCTCTCCCCCGTTTGTCCCGACGGGCTTGTAGCTTGACGGACGGGGGCTGTGAGCAACGTTTGAATTCTCCAGCGCCAAGTCGGCCATTTCCACATCTGTATCGCCACCGCTGTCCCCCGCAGCCTCGTGGGTCTTCGGAATCCCAGCTGGATCCTCCACGTCGAGGGACGGGTCTTCCACATCTGTGTCGCTGTCCTCCTCGAAAGCAGGCTTTTTGGTCCTCCTTCCATGCACATCTGGGTTAGCTCCTGCCTCTTCCCCATCTCTGTCACTGCTCCCTTTCTCATTGGGCTGGCAGCAGCCCCCAGGATGCACGACACCTTTGGCCCCTTTGCAGACAACCCCCTCCTTTACGGGACAGGGATCAAGGCCTCCGGGAGATGCAGCAATTGGATTCTCCAGTCCTTCCTCTGCATCTGTGTCGCTGTCTCCATTTTCAACCAGTCGGTGCGCCTGCAAGCCGACAACCCCAGGGCTCTCTGCTCGCTCCACATCTGTGGTGCTGTCCACCGTTTGGTGGCTCTTCCGGCAGCCGGCATCTGGAGTCCCCACCACCGGCTCCTCCTCATCTGTGTCGCTGCCCACCTCTAAGTCCCAGCCACCTTCCCTCAGGCCCCCCGACTTTGGCGTTTCAGGGGTGCTGCCCGCTCTCAGCTCATCCTCCACGCCTGTATCGCTGTCCTGGTGGGAACTCACGAGGTTTGGCTCTGATGGGGGTGCCATGTCTCCCGACTTCACTCCCGTCCCTGTAATTCTTGGCTGGACAGGATGCCCCTCTTGGCTTGGTGTGCCATCCTGGCTCTCAAGGAACAGGCGCAGGGATGGACAAGGCGGTTCGCTACCAGAGGGTTCCTCATTCTCTTCATCACTGCAGGGTACAAATAACAAGCGGGGAGTGGTTTAAAGCTCACAGCAAATCGTCAGATTCCCTCTACTGTAGAACCTGGGGCTCTGACCCATTTAGTGATATCTTAGTCAGGGGTCATCAAACTTTTTCAGCAGGGGGCCGGTCCACTGTCCCTCAGACCTAGTGGGGACCAGACTGTATTTTGGGGGGGGTGAACGAATTCCTATGCCCCACAAATAACCCAGAGATGCATTTTAAATAAAAGGACACATTCTACTCATGTAAAAACACACTGATTCTCAGACCATCCGTGGGCCGGATTGAGAAGGCGATTGGGCTGGATCTGGCCCCCGGGCCTTAGTTTGCCTACCCATGTCTTAGTCAATGAATCTAACAGATTTATGTGGTGGATGAAGCTTTCTTTGGGAGCGGACGCCGAGACCATATAACACCGGTCCTGAAAGACCTACACTGGCACCCACTGAGCACAATTCAAAGTGTTGGTGCTGACCTTTAAAACCCTAAATGGCCTCGGCCCAGTATACCTGAAGGAGCGTCTCCACCCCCATCGTTCTGCCCAGACATTGAGGTCCAGCTCTGAGGGCCTTCTGGCGGTTCCCTCACTGCGAGAAGTGAGGTTACAGGGAACCAGGCAGAGGGCCTTCTCGGTAGTGGCGCCCACCCTTTGGAACACCCTCCCATTAGATGTCAAAGAAGAAAGCAACTATCTTACTTTCAGAAGACATCTGAAGGCAGCCCTGTTTAGGGAAGTTTTTAATGTTTGATGTTTCATCATTTTTTAATATCCTGTTGGAAGCCGCCCAGAGTGGGCGGGGTATACGGCAAATAATAATTTTTATTATTATTTCGGTGAACTTTATGGATGTCTACTTCCACTGTCAGAGGCAGCAAATGTGCTCCGGGGTGTCAGGAGAATATCAAAATCCCTGCAGGGCAGGTGGGGGCCCAAGGCATTTAGTGCTATTTCAAAATCCATAATATTTATCATATTGTTGCTATTACACATATAGATTGGAAGTGATGGATGATGGCGGAGGAGAGAGAGACATAATACAGGCAACTCCAACTACGCAGGGATTACGTTCAGAGGCCCTGCAAGTTTAAGTGAAATTGCATATATTTGAAACACTATTGGAAAAGCCTGCAAACCTTGTTCCGCTCATGGTCCGTTCCACCCATTTTTGTGACATTTTGGGGTTACTTCCGGGTTTGGTGTAATGCTTGCATGGGCCGTTGCGCATAATGAATGCATGTAAATGGGGGGGGGGGGTTGCCTGTACTAAAATGGCAGCGAGCAAAAATATTCCCCACTTTTAAAAATAAATAAATTGTGCTCTATTACTCTTAACACTCTTTCATATAAGGAGCATTTCAAAGGTTTAGAAATATATATGTAACTGGGAATGTGTTTTAGCACTAATTAAAAAATTAACACCACCCGCTGTTGACGCCTCCAAGGGTCTGCTAATTGAAGATATACCATCACTGGACATGGAGGCTCCATCTCCACCTATTGTCACTATGAACCACGGATCAGTCCACGGGTACGTTTAATCCTTCCCACAATGCTTGCGCACCCTATTTATTCCGCAGGGACTGCCGCATACCAGGCCTGCTTCCCTTGAGAAAAGGCAGCTAGAAAAAGGCATTACCTTTCAGGCACGACAGTAGCAGAGGGAGAGAAGAACACAGAGGAACCCAAAGCGGAGCATCTTCCAGCACCATCTTTGATAGAGGAATCTGACCCTAGTGGGGAACACAGGAAATTTAAAGAATCAGGAACAGCAGGGATGGGGAACTCCAGATTAAACAAACCTAAACAAATCGTTTGGAATCAATATGTCTCATATATATACCGTATTTTTCGCCCTATAGGACGCACTTTTCCCCCTCCAAAAATGAAGGGGAAATGTGTGTGCGTCCTATGGGGCGAATGCAGGAACAGCAGGGATGGGGAACTCCAGATTAAACAAACCTAAACAAATCGTTTGGAATCAATATGTCTCTCATATATACCGTATTTTTCGCCCTATAGGACACACTTTTCCCCCTCCAAAAATGAAGGGGAAATGTGTGTGCGTCCTATGGGGCGAATGCAGGCTTTCTCTAAAGCCTGGAGAGCGAGAGGCATCGGTGCGCACCGACCCCTCTCGCTCTCCAGGCTTCAGGAAGCTATCCGCAAGCCTTGCGTGCCCGGCGGGAGTTGCCGCCAGGCTCGCAAGGCTTGTGGATAGCAGCCTCTTCTGGGGGCTGGGGTCGGGGGAAGCTCAGGCTTTCCCCGGCCCAGCCCCGCGGCTGGGGGGGAAAATAATTTTTTTTTATTAATTTTCCCCCCCAAAATGAGGTGTGTCCTATGGGCCAATGCACCCTATAGGGCGAAAAATACAGTACACACACACACACAGTGGTACCTCTGGTTGTGGACACGATCCGTTCTGGGGTGCTGTTCACAACCCGAAAAGTCAGTAATCAGAGCGGCGCTTCTGCGCATGCGCGAACGGCACAGAACGCTTCTGCACATGCACACGCGCTCTTAACCCGAAAAAACGCAACATGAAGTGTTCACAAGAAGAGGTATTTAACTAAAGCAATAACATTATAGTATACGTATCCATTTTTGTTAACTGATGTGGTTAAACAAAAAAACAGACTTGAGTTTTAGCACACATGAAAAACTTTAAACAAATCCTTATTTCCCGATGAATAGCCTTCAGACTATAATGTAACTTAAACAGAAAACTATCTTTAGAAAGATTTTTTCCTCCAAAAGCATTTTATTTTAAAAATATGATTTAAATAAATTAAAAAATCTGATTTACATTTTTAAAAATCTTATTATATATATATATATATATACAGGCATATATATATATATATATATAAAAATCACTGATTTTTATCCACCATGCTAGGTGGGCAGTATGGCAGATTGCCCCCCGCCTTCACAACACCCACTTACCATCACTTGCTGGGAGATGTCGGCTCCTGCCTGCCCCATTCACTAATTCCTCCCCATCTTCCTCCTTGTCAGAATCCTGCACCAGGACTCCTCCAAAGCCCATCCGCTTCCCCGGTGCAGGTGTCTCCTCAATGGCCAAAGCACCAACGTCCACAATCTTCTGTGTAGGTGGCACCTCCGCAGAATCATCGAGTGACTCATCGGCGCCGTCCGGGACCAGCACAAAGTACTGGCACCCCACGTCCCCAAAGAGCAGAGCGTCTCCATCCTGAAGGCTGTATCGGACATGTGGGATTAACACCATGCGCTGTCGGCGTGTGCGGTTCAGGCTTCCCAGGTCATACAACAGGTGGGGTCCCTTGTGGGAAGGAACCTCAATCACAGCGTGAGTTTTGGAAACCGAAGCAGCGGGCAAGCAGACCTGACAGCTTTCCAGACGGCCAATGACATTCTCCCCAGGGTAGATCCAGAAATCTGAAGAATTGATTAATCAATGGAAAATATTTATATCCTGCCCTCCATCCAAAGAACTCGGGGCAGGGAGTAAAGGTAAAGGGACCCCTGACCATTAGGTCCAGTCATGACCGACTCTGGGGTTGCGGCGCTCATCTTCCTTTATTGGCCGAGGGAGCCGGCTTACAGCTTCCGGGTCATCTGGCCAGCATGACTAAGCCGCTTCTGGCGAACCAGAGCAGCGCACGGAAACGCTGTTTACTTTCCCGCTGGAGCGGTACCTATTTATCTACTTGCACTTTGACGTGCTTTCAAACTGCTAGGTTGGCAGGAGCAGGGACTGAGCAACGGGAGCTCACCCCATCGCGGGGATTCGAACCGCCGACCTTCTGATCGGCAAGTCCTAGGCTCTGTGGTTTAACCCACAGCGCCACCCGCGTCCCTGGCAGGGAGTAATAACTTCAATAAAATAACTACCCTAGGCTAATAAAATAAAAATACACATAAACTCTGGCGTATCAAAGATAGCTCAGCGGGGCATAATTTCCAGAAGCTATGTTTTCGTCACCCGACACCAAAATGGTATCAGCACCGATGCCAACCAGATTAGAAGGGGTGTGTTGTTTCGAATGACCTATTCACACAACCTCCACAATGAAGCTCTGTATAAAAACCAGGAAGCAGCCCTTAGGTAGTAGGAATCCCAGGAAGGAAACAAGTTCCCTGAAATATTAACACACCCTCCCTTGTTCTCTTCTGTACAGGGAAAGCCTTGCCTTTTATGAGTAGCATATATTCTCCATAATTACTTCCAATAAGTTGCACACTCGTCCTAGTGAATCGGGAAAGTGATTATATAATTATGCTTGAAGTCAGCCCTCAACCAACTTCCAAGTCCGTCCTTCAATATGATCAGCGCTAGACACTGCATGGAAGGAACCACAGATCTCCACAATCCAGGAGATCCACTTTGCCCACTCCATTCCTGTTTTCCACCAAACCCTGTTATTTAGGCAGTTCTTTTTATTCAATTGGTGTTAGTTCTTAGTATAGTTTTTAGCTCCCTCTTGGTTTGTTTCAATTGCTTGCAGCTGCTGTTCTGTGTATTTACCTCAATATTTTGATTATATGCTTAAGCAGGTTGCGTTGGACTATGCCAAAATGGCAAAACTGATTGGAAAGCTCCGGAACCAGGAAGATCAAAACTTTAATAAGGAATTGGGGGGGGGGGAATATAATTTATCTTGGAGACCACTGTAAGCAGTTGAAAACATTAGCAGGATTTGACATTTTCATCCCAAAAAAGTTTTTTATTTGAGTTTCTACTGAAATGAGGCTGCATTTTAATGTTGTATTTTAATCTTATTTTTAAGTTGTATTTTAATCAACTGTTTTTATACCTGGTGTTAGCCGCCCTGAGCCCTGGGGAGGGCGGGGTATAAATAAATAAAATTTATTATTATTATTACAACACTTGTAATGTAATGAGAACTATGGACATAAAGGAGTTATTAAAAACATGGATTATTGAAAAAAGATGCAGTAGAAAAGGTTTAACAACAGAAACCCATGAAGGGGAAGGTGGAAAGTCCAGAGATTCGGAGGAATCTTCTAATTGTGGATGTGCTGTGATATTATTGTAATTTTTAAAATTTGGAAAAGCAAATAAAAAATATTTTCAAAAAAATAAAAAAGTGCTTAAGCAGGTTAAGGCACCCTGACTACTTTTCTGAACAAAAAGGCAGGATAAAACTCCACCAACAAACCCACAAGTCCCTGACTTTCAAACCTCCACCTGTGTTCATCCATCTGTTCAGAGGCAAGCCTATTTATATGAACCATTAATCAGGTATAACCACACCTGAATTGTTTACATAACCAAGGGTAAATCAGACCATGATCAATGGGATTTAGCAACTCTGGCACACCCTAAAAATCACAGCCTCTCTGGCGGATGAAGGAAGGTGTAGAAATTTCCATAAAGAAACGCAAAAAGAGACAATTTAGCAAAGCCATCAACAAAGGGTTAACCCATGCAGAAACTGATACAGCTGGATGCTAAGTTCAGGTTAAAGGTAAAGGGACCCCTGACCATTAGGTCCAGTCGTGGCCGACTCTGGGGCTGCGGCGCTCATCTCCCTTTATTGGCCGAGGGACCCGGCATACAGCTTCCGGGTCATGTGGCCAGCATGACTAAGCCGCTTCTGGCGAACCAGAGCAGTGCACGGAAACGCCGTTTACCTTCCTGCCGGAGCAGTACCTATTTATCTACTTGCACTTTGACGTGCTTTCGAACTGCTAGGTTGGCAGGAGCTGGGACCGAGCAACAGGAGCTCACCCCGTCACGGGGATTCGAACTGCCGACCTTCTGATCAGCAAGTCCTAGGCTCTGTGGTTTAACCCACAGCGCCACCTGCGTTCAGGTTACTCCCAGGTTAATCAAACTCAGGTTTACAACCTTAAGCATTTGACCCTTATGTACTGTGAACTGCTATTGCTCGCTTTTTAGTCAAGATGAGCTCTAAAAGTAAGTTTACAATGACAAATTCAAAGGAAGGCAACATCAAATTAGGGATGAATGTAGAGCAGTGTGTTTTGGCCCTAGGCTACTGCCAATGTATATTGTCTCCCTGCTTATTTAACTTATATGCAGAATTCATCATGCAAAAGGCTGGGCTGGATGAATCCGAAGCCTGAATTAAGATTGCCGGAAGAAATATCAACCACCTCAGATATGCAGATGACACAACCTTGATGGCAGAAAGTGAGGAGGAATTAAAGAACCTTTTATTGAGGGTGAAAGAGGAGAGCACAAAATATGGTCTGAAGCTCAACATCAAAAAAACGAAGATCATGGCCACTGGTCCCATCACCTCCTGGCAAATAGAAGGGGAAGAAATGGAGGCAGTAAGAGATTTTACTTTCTTGGGCTCCATGATCACTGCAGATGGTGACAGCAGTCACGAAATTAAAAGATGCCTGCTTCTTGGGAGAAAAGCAATGTCAAACCTAGACAGCATCTTAAAAAGTAGAGACATCACCTTGCCTACAAAGGTCCGTATAGTAAAAGCTATGGTTTTCCCAGTAGTGATGTATGGAAGTGAGAGCTGGACCATAAAGAAAGCTGATCACCGAAGAATTGATGCTTTTGAATTATGGTGCTGGAGGAGACTCTTGAGAGTCCCATGGACTGCAAGAAGATCAAACGTATCCATTCTTAAGGAAATCAGCCCTGAGTGCTCACTGGAAGGACAGATCGTGAAGCTGAGGCTCCAATACTGTGGCCACCTCATGAGAAGAGAAGACTCCCTGGAAAAGACCCTGATGTTGGGAAAGATTGAGGGCACAGGGAGAAGGGGACGACAGAGGATGAGATGGTTGGATGGTGTTCTTGAAGCTACCAGCATGAGTTTGACCAAACTGCCGGAGGCAGTGGAGGACAGAAGTGCCTGGCGTGCTCTGGTCCATGGGGTCACGAAGAGTCGGACACGACTAAACAACAACAACAACTGCCAATGGGAGGAGCAGCAGAATTATTCACAGGCAGGTTGGGATGGGCAGATGGCAAAGATGCCAACCTATGGAAGCAGCCCCTCTGTTGTTCAAACTGGCACTCCTTCCTATGCCCCACTGCCAAGGAGTAACTTTATATTATTCACAAACCAACCCATACTGACAGTAATCAGCAAAACTCCGTTTTCTCTTGGCAGGAACTGAGCGCCCCAGGATCCAACAAGACAAGGGCTGGTTTTAATTTGCATCCCTTCTCTTTCTCTCTTCACACAGATCTTAAGATGGAAATGGCTCCTCGTACAGATCAGAGATGCAGAACCCTTCATACCCAGCCTTTGGAATACAGCGATCTATCCAATCAAACGCAGCAGAAAAGGCTTGATTGCTTCTTAGGAAAATTGCAACCGGAGGGCAGTGTCAAGAGGCACAGTCCTTACCTTTCTCGGGGCCATACTTGCTGCTCAGGAGGCGCAAGCGCCCCACGGGCTTGGGGGGCTTCCCAGAGTCGCCAGCCCCATCGGAGGAATCGTCAGGATCCCCTTCTTCATCCCAGACCAAACGCTGCGTTAGATCCATTCTGCAAGAAACAAAAGGAGCCATAACCTCGCATCGTGGCAGAGACACAGAGACACAAACACACGCCCCCTTCCCCAGATCTGTTGCACTGATCCTGACCCTGCAAAAAACCCCTCCCGACCCATTTTCTGACGCCCCCTGCCCTCGATTTTCCACCCTGCCCGCAAACCCATTTTCCCAACTTTTTTTTTTTTTGCACATTTCAATGCTGAAGCCTCACCGCCCCCCCCCATAAGCCTCACTGCAAGCAGCTTCAAGGGAACCAACCCCTAAAAGCGAACGCGGGACAAAAGTCTCTGCAAGCGACAGCCCCAGGAGTTGGGCTCCAGCGCTCACTTCTGGGCATGCAAGTCCCGCCTCTCTCGGAAGCGACTGCTTTCTATTGGTCAGCCGCGCCGCCACTTCAAAGCTCTCCTCCTCTCCATTGGGTCTGTTCACCCGTGGGAGGGAGAACGGAGAGGGTTAAACGGTTCCCCGCCTGCCCGGGAGGCAAGAAGAGAATGACCACAGAGAGGAGAAACGTCGGGCTAGAGGGCCACACGACAACCATAGAGTTTACAAAGATTTCAGCTTCCGGTTGCACTGCGGGAGCCGTGTGTGCGCGCGCCCGGATACGGAAGTGAATGTTGCACATTCAAAAATAAAGGATAAATGTTATGTTTTATCACTTTCTGTTAGGCTCGGTCTTCGCGAGGGTTTAGGGGAAGCGCAAAGGCTGTTGTGTACCCCTAAAAACCCCCCAAAATGGATCACTTTGGGATCTTCGGGGACCTACTGCCCGGGAAGCGAGCTTTCTTGCGATCCCCAGCTGCTCTGAAAAGTGTGTTGTAAACAATAAAAAATATGCCCTTTTCCCCTTATGGGGTATCCAAGAGCCCATATTGAGTCCTTACGTAGGTTCCCTATTGGTAGGAGAGAATAACAGAGGCCAACCAGAGAATATTGAGAAGCAAAGCAGCTGGTAAGCCTGATCTTTATTGATCTGTTGCAACAGGGTGCTCCCCTCACCCGCAGGAGAGGAACCCAGAAAAATGGCGCGCAAGGCCTTATAAAGACTTTTGAAATTGCCACCCTGTAGATTAAGGGGACGATAGAGGATGAGATGGTTGGACAGTGTTCTCGAAGCTACAAACATGAGCCTGACCAAACTGCAGGAGGCAGTGGAAGACAGGAGTGCCTGGCGTGCTCTGGTCCATGGGGTCATGAAGAGTCGGACACGACTAAACAGCAACAACAACAAGATCAAGACCACCCCCCAGAAACAACATACCTACATCACAGAAAAGGTGGTCTACAGCAGAAATTTGAATGTTGTTGTTTTTGCTGTCTGCCAGGTTATATAATGCCTTTTCTGATTGGCTTTCCTGGTAGTCTGTCACCAGGTGTGATATACATACGCAATACAGTGGTACCTCGGGTTACAGACGCTTCAAGGTACAGACTCCGCTAACACAGAAATAGTACCTCAGGTTAAGAACTTTGCTTCAGGATGAGAACAGAAATCGTGTGACGGCGGCGCGATGACAGCAGGAGGCCCCATTAGCTAAAGTGGTACCTCAGGTTAAGAATGGACCTCTGGAACGAATTAAGTTCGTAACCTGAGGTACCACTGTACCTGAAAGTTGAGTACACTGAGCCTGTATCAACAGAGTTCACCAGTAGCTGTGTTTACAGTTTAACAAGATCCAGACCCTGAAACTATGGTTCCAGCAGTTTCCAACAATTCTCAAACCCCAAAGGACGAGGCCACTGAGGCAAAGGTAATTTTTGTGCCAGCAGTGGACTTTGGATGGCGGCAGTTTTGAAACCACAGGAGAAAAGGGGAGTCTGAAGAAAAGGAGTGTCGTGGAGAGGTAGAGAAAGAAGGCTTGCAGGTAAAGAGTTTTGTTTCTGAGCGGGGATATTTATTTATATTTTAGTTAGCATGCAGCTTGCTAAAACAGTACGGAGTTCAATACGTTGTCACCGATCATGAAGTAAAAGCCTCTGTTGTGGAATGTTTTAACAGAACTTTAAAAGCAAAAACGTTGAGAACACAGAGGAAGTCGAAGTAAAGGATTCTCCAGCACCATCTTTGATAGAAGAATCAGATCCTAGTGGGAAATGTAGACAGAATAGACAAATGTGCTCTGGGGCACCAGGAGAACACCCAGAACACGGGGGTGGGGTGGGGATGCAGGACATTTAGCGCTATATCAAAATCCACAAAGGACAGAGGCACACAGACACAGATCCCTTCTGCAGATCTCAGCGGCACTGATCCTGACCCTGCATCGCTCCAGAAACACACACACCCAACCCATTTTCTGATGCCCCCTCCGTTTTCCACCGCACCAGCCCCATTTTCCAGGCTAACTTTCTTTTTAGGGGTGTGCAACTTTCACTGCTAGAGCCGCCACCTCCCCCACTTGCCTTTCACCACCAAAACAGAAAAGGAAAACACCGTCCTGCAAGCTGCTTCCAGGGACCCATTTCTAAATCTGAGCACGAGGCCAATCGGCTGCAAGTTGCAGCCTTTCGAATTTCGCTCTCTGCATGCGTCCCACCTCTCTTGCGAACGCTGCTTTCCATTGGTCAATCCTGCTGCCACTTTAAACACTCCTCCTTTTCCATTGGTCTGTATGGGTGAATGGAGCTGGTGGAACGGTCCCGCCTCCCCAGAGCCCTCTAGGAATTCGGAGAATGGTCACAGAGAAGGGAAAGGTCGGGTTGTACGAGAACTATAGAGTTTATAATACGGCAATTACTGGATAGATTTATACAGAGCTTTCAGTTTCCGGGTTCACTTTCGAAGCCTTTTTTTTTTTTTGGTCTCCCTTATTGGCGGAAGTTAACGTTGCCCATGCAAAAAGATAGGAAATGAAAAAGGAGGAATGTTAGATTTTATCCAAGCTGCATTTGAGTAGCAAGACACACCACACGCCACACCTGGAAGCAGCAAAAACGCGTCCTCTGAATCCAGTTCTTAAAATATAAAATAGAGTATGTCAGGGGAAAAGGCTAACTGGCGTAGACAAGCTGAACAGGGTATAAATAGATACATAATATCATTATAATAAAAATAAAAAGACGAGGTTTTTGTTTTCAAATATTTGCTTTCCTCTCTGTACTTAATTCCATGGAAATAGCAACACACACCTCTTTTCTGTGCCTCATAGTCACCATTGTTTTTATGTCTGCACCTGCGATGGGCCACCTAGGGCCAGATGTGGCTGGACTACAATAAGGTTTCCAGATTTTTTTTCAATGAATCCGGGGACACTTTTTCAACTTCAATGGATTTTGTATGGGGACTGATTTGTAAATCCGGGGACGTCTGGTAACCTTAGACTACAACCCCTGTCATCCCTAACCCACTGACCCTTGCTGGCTGGGGTTGATGTGTGTTGCTGGAGCCCAACAACAACTTCCAGAAATATCCAGTGCTTTTTTTTTTCTAAAAAAATGTTTAGGGGTACAGTACTCTCATTTTGACCCAATAAAATCACCGGGAAAGGAAATGAAGCCGCCATCGGAGGAGGTAACAAAACTGACCAATCACTGTGCTAGATTCCAACTCCTACTTCACACATTAAACGCTCGCTTCCATCTGAGACTCAGGAAACACTGCAACACGAAATGAGGCTGCCATTGAGGGTAGCAATGGAACTGATGGTTCACTGTGCTAGTTGAAGAAACTTAGAATTTTCTTCTCCTGTTAGATTCACAAAATGTTTAGGGGTATGCATACCCCTGCGTCCCCCCAGGAAAAAAAGCACTGGAAATATATAGAAAAAGGGGATTGCAGTGTGGTGGTGTTAAATTTCTATACCACCCTTCAACTGAGGATCACAGGGCAGTTTAGAATATTAAACTGATATAAAACAGATAAGAACAGCTACTAAACCTGGCTGCATACAAAGCAGAGGTGGAAAATCAGTGATTCTACAGCAGAGCTTTCCAAACTGTGTCGTGGACACATTGAATGTGTCGGCTGCAGTGTGTACAGGTGTCGTGCAAACATTTCCCACACTTTCCCCAGGGCTGGACCCATGGTCAATGGTCAGGGAATATGCAAATTGTAGTCCAGCAGCATCCGGAGGACCACAGTTCCCCCACCCCGATGCAAAGCCATCTTCCTTGGAATTGGACCATTTGTCCCTTGCCAGGCAAATTTCTCTCCTATTGTCTGCTTCCTGATCTTTTTTCAGAGTGTGGGCCGAGATGCCAAGGCTCGGCCTGGCAAACAGAGCTCCATAACTCCTCCCCTTCCCAGTGACCTGAGGACATTTAAAGATTGCCTTCCCTCCTGCCTTAAGGGTGCTTATTTTTTTAGGCTTCCCATACGTCCAGAACTCCCCAGACATATCTGGAATACAGTGGTACCTCGGGTTACAGATGCTTCAGGTTACAGATGCTTCAGGTTACAGACTCCGCTAACCCAGAAATAGTACCTCGGGTTAAGAACTTTGCTTCAGGATGAGAACAGAAATCGTGCGTTGGCAGTGGGAGGCCCCATTAGCTAAGGTGGTACCTTAGGTTAAGAACAGGTTCAGGTTAAGAACGGACCTCCAGAACGAATTAAGTTCTTAACCCGAGGTACCACTATACTGTGGTTGACAGCAGTGTCCAGACGGAAACTGTGTGTGTGTGAAATGTCCAGAAATATCCAGATGTATGGCAGCCCATGTTGGCAGTGCCATTTTTGCCGATTTCCCATAGAAATACCGGTAGCTCAAAATGGATCTTCATTGTTTGAAATATGGGAACCCTAATTTATTGAGCGCTGCTTTCTTAATGGCAGTATAAAAGTGTCCGAAAGATGGCATGCAAAAGAAATCCAGTTACGATTCAGACAGTAGTAAAAGCAAGCTGAGTAAGTAGCAAATACCAGAAGCAGCGATAGAGAATGCAGTCCCAGCTGATGAATCCTAATGGCTGTTAAAAGCCCAGACAGGATGGACATAGCCTTGTGCCTAAATTATTCAGACGCAAGTGCCAGGGATGTTAATGCAATTTGCTATTAGGCAAAGTGAGGTGGCCATCTGAGGAAGCAGATGATGTGGAGCTGGGTTTAGCAGTGAAGTGCTAGAGCACAAAGCCAGGTAGAGGTTCTTGGAGGACCACATTTGGCCTCTGGCCCTGAGGTTCCCCATTACTGGGCTAGATGATCCAGACACCTGACTTACCATAAACCAGCTTCATCCATGAGCATAGCCAGGCCTTTGTTAGGGGCGGGACAGAACCTCAGTTTGGTATGTACCGTATTTTTCGCCCTATAGGACACACTTTTTCCCCTCCAAAAATGAAGGGGAAATGTGTGTGCGTCCTATGGGGCGAATGCAGGCTTTCGCTGAAGCCTCGAGAGCGAGAGGGGTCGGTGCACACCGACCCCTCTAGCTCTCCAGGCTGCAGGAAGCTATCCGCAAGCCTGCTGAGCCCGACGGGAACTCCCGCGGGCTCCAAAGGCTTGCGGATAGCTGCCTGCAGCCCAAAGCCCGGGGAGCGTGGCACTGAGTTCCCGCCGGGTGCCGCAGGCTTGCGGACAGCTGCCCGAAGCCCGGGGTGCGCAGCGGGCTACAGCGCCGCTCTCCCCGAGCTTCGGATAGCAGCAAGCTCCGGGAGCGATGGCGAGGTTCAGCGCAACCTCGCCATCGCTTCCGGACCTGTTCTGGGGGCTGGGGCCGGGGGAAGCTCGGGCTTCCCCAGCCCCGCAAGCTCCGGGAGCGATGGTGAGGTTCAGCGCAACCTCGCCTTCGCTCTTTGGGGCTCGGGGGAAAATAATTCCCCCCCTTTATTCCCCCCCAAAAAATAAGTGCGCCCTATGGGCCGGTGTGCCCTATAGGGTGAAAAATACGGTATTTTTTATTGATTTTCATTTATTGGGGGGCAGCTGCCCCTCCCTGCCCCCCCTACACCCATGGCTTCATCTGTTCCACCTTCAGTGAATCAATTCAACATTTGGGATGTAGAGGAAGCCAGCTATTCCCATGTGAATAATGAGAACAGCAATGGAGGGGCAGGGAAGATGGAGCTAGTTGTGTGTCTCAAGGAAAGCTTCTGCAAAGGACCTACATGGGAAGGAGGAGAACAGCATGGGTGGATTAAGGCACAGCCTGGTGAAAAGTCCCATGGAGAAGGAAACAAAGGGAAACTAGAGCAGAGAGGAAGGGATGGATAAGGTCATAAGGAGAAACAAGGGAGAAAATAATTTGGGAAGAAACTTGAGTCTGGAGTTAGCCTGCCACACAGCAGGGAGAAGTGACTTTCTCCATGCAATACCACAAGAAGGGGGTATGAGAAGTTGCAGCCTGCAAGCCATATCTGGCCCACTAGCCCTCTCAAAGCAGAGACAGCACCTTGCCAACAAAGGTCCGTATAGATAAAGCCATGGTTTTCCCAGTAGTGATGTATGGAAGTGAGAGCTGGACCACAAAGAAGGCTGATCGCCGAAGAATTGAGGTTTTTGAATTCTGGTGCTGGAGGAGACTCTTGAGAGTCCCATGGACTGCAAGAAGATCAAACCTCTCCATTCTGAAGGAAATCAGCCCTGAGTGCTCACTGGAAGGACAGATCCTGAAGCTGAGGCTCCAATACTTTGGCCACCTCATGAGGCAAGAAGACTCCCTGGAAAAGACCCTGATGCTGGGAAAGATGGAGGGCACAAGGAGAAGGGGACGACAGAGGATGAGATGGTTGGACAGTGTTCTCGAAGCTACCAGCATGAGTTTGACCAAACTGCGGGAGGCAGTGGAAGACAGGAGGGCCTGGCATGCTCTGGTCCATGGGGACACGAAGAGTCGGACAGGACTAAACGACTAAACAGCAACAAGCCCTCTCAAGCTGGCCCACCAGACTCTCCCCTTCCCCACAGGCCATGACTCTCCTGTGTAGTCCTGCTCCACTAACTTACCCCGCAGTCAGTACAGAAGCCAGACACGCTGTGGAAGCACAGCTCCCGTGCCCCTTCTTTGCCGGCCAGAGTGAGATAAAAGACAGACTTGGTGTCTGAATGGTGCAGTGAGACTCTAGCCAGGGTGGGCCCGAAACATTTTGGCACCTGAGGCAGACCCCGAAACGGCCCTCCCCTCCCTGCCAGGGAGGAAAGGGTGAAGGATGATCTACAACAGAAGAAAGACAGGGAGAGATTGGCATCAGGAACCACTGCTGCCCCAGTGGATCCTGCCGCCTGAGGCAGTCGCCTCACCTTGTCTCGTGGGTGGGCTGGCCCTGAATAAAGATTGGCATTGGGATCAGCTGCCCCTGTGAATTTTGCCGCCTGAGGCAGTCACCTCACCTTGTCTCATGAATGGGCCAACCCTGCCTCTAGCACGGGGCAGATGGCGCTGGTCTTTCAAGCCCATTTCAGGCTAGCGCTGAGGGAAAATGAGCTCAAGAGCCTTGACGTTGACGCAAACCATAAAAGAGAGCTAAAGGCCGAACAAGGAAGCTGATGTGGCTGTAGCGGCAGAAGATAGAGATGAGCTTAGCAGGGACACTTTTCACTTGTGTTCATAAATGCTGTTCTGTGCACCCAGTCACATAATATTTGCAGATGCTTTTTTACATCTGTAGATGCAATTTCAGGAATCATAACTATCGTTAGAATGGAATTGCATCCCATCACGGTGGGGCCAAGACTGTGATCTGTCAACCTGAGTGGTGCCCAAGGCTGGTGAGACAGGTGGGTTTCCTAGTTGGGGCCTGTGTGGCCAAGGCACCCCAGACAAGTCTCCAGCACCCACATTTGCAGCATCTAAGTTGGGAGGAAGACCGGCCGCTCATCATGGCTTGCCAGAGAGCAGAGTTCGTGGAAGTGCTGAAGCCTATTAAAAGGTAAAGGGACCCCTGACCATTAGGTCCAGTCGTGGCCGACTCTGGGGTTGCGGTGCTCATCTCGCTTTATTGGCCGAGGGAGCCGGCATACAGCTTCCGGGTCATGTGGCCAGCATGACTAAGCCGCTTCTGGCGAACCAGAGCAGCACACGGAAACACCGTTTACCTTCCCGCCGGAGTGGTACCTATTTATCTACTTGCACTTTGATGTGCTTTTGAACTGCTAGGTTGGCAGGAGCAGGGACCGAGCAACGGGAGCTCACCCCATCACGGGGATTCGAACCGCCGACCTTCTGATCAGCAAGTCCTAGGCTCTGTGGCTAAACCCACAGCGCCACCCATGTCCCGCTGAAGCCTACTAATGTGCTTCAAAAGCCAGGAAGGTTGGACAAGCGATGCAGCAGTCCTCAGCACTCTTACATGGAAAGTAAGTCCTACCAAAACCAATCCCATTTATTTCTGCATAGACATCAGCCAGCGCTCAAATTACGGGGTCTTCCTTAAAAAAGGACAACTTTCGGGGTGTCCTGGTTTTTACTTTCTGAAATATGGCAACCCTAGTAGGGGGAGGCTAGCCCCCTTAAGCTGCTGGTTTTATAGGGTCCCTGGGGGGTGGCAGGGAGGAGTCAGGGGTGGGGTTTGAAGATTTTGTTAAGGGGTCCTCATAATTATTATTGTATTATTCCTCTTAATTAATGTTGTCAAAATAGGCTTCTAAGTGGTTTACAGGTATCATAAGCAATGACACAACATTAAAAGCTACAGGGAACCAGGCAGAGGACCTTCTCAGTAGTGGCGCCTGCCCTGTGGAACGCCCTCCCATCAGATGTCAAAGAGATAAACAACTACCTGACATTCAGAAGACATCTTAAGGCAGCCCTGTTTAGGGAAGTTTTCAATGTATGACATATTAGTGTATTTTTGGTCTTTGTGGAAGCCGCCCAGAGTGGCTGGAGAAACCCAGCCAGATGGGCGGGGTACAAATAATAATAATAATAATAATTTTATATATATATATATATATATATATATATATATATATATATATACACACACTGTTGTTTAGTCGTTTAGTCGTGTCCGACTCTTCGTGACCCCATGGACCAGAGCACGCCAGGCACTTCTGTCCTCCACTGCCTCCCGCAGTTTGATCAAACTCATGCTGGTAGCTTCAAGAACACCATCCAACCATCTCATTCTCTGTCGTCCCCTTCTCCTTGTGCCCTCCATCTTTCCCAACATCAGGGTCTTTTCCAGGGAGTCTTCTCTTCTCATGAGGTGGCCAAAGTATTGGAGCCTCAGCTTCAGGATCTGTCCTTCCAGTGAGCACTCAGGGCTGATTTCCTTCAGAATGGAGAGGTTTGATCTTCTTGCAGTCCATGGGACTCTCAAGAGTCTCCTCCAGCACCATAATTCAAAAGCATCAATTCTTCGGCGATCAGCCTTCTTTATGGTCCAGCTCTCACTTCCATACATCACTACTGGGAAAACCATGGCTTTTACTATACGGACCTTTGTTGGCAAGGTGATGTCTCTGCTTTTAAGATGTTGTCTAGGTTTGCCATCGCCTTTCTCCCAAGGAGCAGGCGTCTTTTAATTTCGTGACTGCTGTCACCATCTGCAGTGATCATGGAGCCCAAGAAAGTAAAATCTCTCACTGCCTCCATTTCTTCCCCTTCTATTTGCCAGGAGGTGATGGGCCCAGTGGCCATGATCTTCGTTTTTTGATGTTGAGCTTCAGACCATATTTTGCGCTCTCCTCTTTCACCCTCATTAAAAGGTTCTTTAATTCCTCTTCACTTTCTGCCATCAAGGTTGTGTCATCTGCATATCTGAGGTTGTTGATATTTCTTCCAGCAATCTTAATTCCGGCTTCGGATTCATCCAGCCCAGCCTTTCGCATGATGAATTCTGCATATAAGTTAAATAAGCAGGGAGACAATATACAGCCTTGCCGTACTCCTTTCCCAATTTTGAACCAATCAGTTGTTCCATATCCAGTTCTAACTGTAGCTTCTTGTCCCACGTAGATATTTCTCAGGAGACAGATGAGGTGATCAGGCACTCCCATTTCTTTAAGAACTTGCCATAGTTTGCTGTGGTCGACACAGTCAAAGGCTTTTGCATAGTCAATGAAGCAGAAGTAGATGTCTTTCTGGAACTCTCTAGCTTTCTCCATAATCCAGCGCATGTTTGCAATTTGGTCTCTGGTTCCTCTGCCTCTTCTAAATCCAGCTTGCACTTCTGGGAGTTCTCGGTCCACATACTGCTTGAGCCTTCCTTGTAGAATTTTAAGCATAACCTTGCTAGCATGTGAAATGAGTGAAATTGTGCGGTAGTTGGAGCATTCTTTGGCACTGCCTTTCTTTGGGATTGGGATGTAGACTGATCTTCTCCAATCCTCTGGCCACTGCTGAGTTTTCCAAACTTGCTGGCATATTGAGTGTAGCACCTTAACAGCATCATCTTTTAAAATTTTAAACAGTTCAGCTGGAATACCATCACTTCCACTGGCCTTGTTATTTGCAGTGCTTTCTAAGGCCCATTTGACTTCACTTTCCAGGATGTCTGGCTCAAGGTCAGCAACCACACTACCTGGGGTGTACGAGACATCCATATCTTTCTGGTATAATTCCTCTGTGTATTCTTGCCACCTCTTCTTGATGTCTTCTGCTTCAGTTAGGTCTTTACCACTTTTGTCCTTTATTATGGTAATCTTTGTACGAAATGTTCCTTTCATATTTCCGATTTTCTTGAACAGATCTCTAGTTCTTCCCATTCTGTTGTTTTCCTCTATTTCTTTGCATTGCTCGTTTAAGAAGGCCTTCTTGTCTCTCCTTGCTATTCTTTGGAAATCTGCATTCAATTTCCTGTATCTTTCACTATCTCCCTCGCATTTTGCTTGCCTTCTCTCCCCGCTATTTGTAAGGCCTCGTTGGACAGCCACTTTGCTTTCTTGCATTTCTTTTCCATTGGGATGGTTTTAGTTGCTGCCTCCTGTATAATGTTGCGAGCCTCCACCCATAGTTCTTCAGGCACTCTGTCCACCAAATCTAAATCCTTAAACCTGTTCCTCACTTCCACTGTGTATTCATAAGGGATTTGATTTAGATTGTATCTTACCGGCCCAGTGGTTTTCCTACTTTCTTCAGTTTAAGCTTGAATTTTGCTATAAGAAGCTGATGATCTGAGCCACAGTCAGCTCCAGGTCTTGTTTTTGCTGACTGTATAGAGCTTCTCCATCTTTGGCTGCAGAGAATATAATCAATCTGATTTCGATGTTGTCCATCTGGTGATGTCCATGTGTAGAGTCGTCTCTTGTGTTGTTGGAAAAGCGTGTTTGTGATGACCAGCTTGTTCTCTTGACAGAACTCTATTAGCCTTTGCCCTGCTTCATTTTGATCTCCAAGGCCAAACTTGCCAGTTGTTCCTTTTATCTCTTGATTCCCTACTTTAGCATTCCAATCCCCTATAATGAGAAGAACATCCTTCTTTGGTGTCACTTCTATAAGGTCTTGTAAGTCTTCATAGAATTGGTCAATTTCAGTTTCTTCAGCACCAGTAGTTGGTGCATAAACTTGGATTACTGTGATGTTAAAAGGTCTGCCTTGGATTCGTATCGAGATCATTCTATCATTTTTGAGACTGCATCCCAGTACAGCTTTCGCCACTCTTTTGTTGACTATGAGGGCCACTCCATTTCTTTTACGGATTTCTTGCCCACAGTAGTAGATATGATAGTCATCCGAACTGAATTCGCCCATTCCCGTCCATTTTAGCTCACTGATGCCCAGGATGTCAATATTTATTCTTGCCATCTCATTTTTGACCACATCCAACTTACCCAGGTTCATGGTTCTTACATTCCAGGTTCCTATGCAATATTTTTCTTTACAGCATTGGACTTTCCTTTCGCTTCCATGCATATCCACAACTGAGCGTCCTTTCGGCTTTGGCCCAGCCGCTTCATCAGCTCTGGATCTACTTGTACTTGTCCTCCGCTCTTCCCCAGTAGCATGTTGGACACCTTCCGACCTGAGGGGCTCATCTTCCAGCGTCATAACTTTTATATGCCTGTTGTCTTTGTCCATGGAGTTTTCTTGGCAGGGATACTGGAGTGGCTTGCCGGTTCCTACTCCAGATGGATCACGTTTGGTCAAAACTCTCCACTATGACCTGTTCATCTTGGGTGCCCTGCTCGGCATAGTTCATAGCTTCTCTGAGTTCTTCAAGCCCCTTCGCCACGGCAAGGCAGTGATCCATGAAGGGGTATATATACACACACACACCCATAAATAAAATGTAGAATAAAAGAACCCTGTTAAAACAACTCAGCGATTCAAACATAAAATTAAAACATTAGTTTTATTTGTATGCTACTTTCGCACAGCAAACCACGCCTCACAAAGGGAAAAAATGCATAAGATATAGCAACATTATCTTATCAATTCAATCAAAGCACACCAGTAACATTTTAATGAAACATAGCACCAAATTTGCAATCTGTCCATCAAAATATTTAACATATGGCACAAAGACTGAACAATCTGCTAATAATAAACACCAAAACCTGCCAATAAATGTTATTGCTTTATAAAAATGCCAATTCTCAACATTTCAGTTATAGTTTGGTTACACCTCTACATGCCCTTCAGAACGCACTCCCAATGAACCACCAGCACTGGCATTTAGTTGCCTGCTTAAAACTCCTTTGTTCTCCCAGGCTTTCTCTGCAGGGTGATCCAATTATATTAAGCTGATCTACAGACTTGTGATATTTTTCAAACTCGTTGCATGAATGTAATCTTATTTTACACATATATTGTGGATTTATCCTGTTCACTGTCATGGTGAATACACACACACACATTCTGGTACCACATTATTATTTTTTAATTTTGCAAATAAATAGAGCAGGACAAAGCTACCCAGGAATAGAGAAAACTTGATTCTCAAGCCTTTGACAGTGAGCAATTTATCACTCACAGTGGTGTCACTGAGTGCGACCCAGGAATGGGGAGCTGAGTGGTCCTCCGGACGCCTCTAACCACTGGTCCTGCCGGCTGCGGCTGACGCAGCGAAACAACATCTGCAGGGCCACAGGTTCCCTGCATGCTTTTAAGTATACTGCATGTGAATGCTTGCCCTTCATTCCTGGGGGAGGCTGCATGAAATTGGGTGGCTAATTTTGCACAACATCTATATAATCAGTGCCTGCGGTATTACATCACAGACATGCTCCGGAATTCTGGGCTGTGCGCATCAATAGACATACTATATGTGCACCACCCGCCATCATTCCAAGCCCCCTCGACAGCAGCCCCCTTACTCCCATTTTGTCACAACAAAAGGAAAATCGCGACTCCCAACATCCCCCTGCGCCTCTATCAGCCGCCACACCCAGCTCGGCCTTCCCCCTCGTTCCACCACGTGTCTCTTGTCGCCGCCATCCAATCAGCTCGGCGCCCCTGGGCCGTCTCGGCCAATCGGAGCGCGGGCCGCCCGCTACTTTATAAAAGCTTTGTCTGGCTTTCGCCAGCCTCCCTCGCTAACCTCTTTGGAACGTTCAGCTTCCGCCGCCGCGTTCGGAGAAGAGAACCTTGAGCTCCACAACGTTCTGTGTTTTTAAAAAAAGAGCAAACAGCGGCGTTTTAAGCGTACAAGCTAAAAGTGTGGGCAAGTGATTAAAAAATAAAATCCAAGCAAAATGAGGGAAATCGTCCACATTCAAGCTGGGCAATGTGGTAACCAGATCGGTGCTAAGGTGAGAATGCCATAAATATGTTTCTCGCGTGAATGCAACAGATACTATTTTGGGCAGGCAATTCGGTAAAAACGAGTTAAGGCACTTGCCACGGTGGCATAATCTTTCGCTTTGCACGTCGGCGCGCTTAATTTTAAAATAGGGCCAGTAGCAGGAGTCTCTGACCTTTTTTTTGTTTCTGTTTTCAGCGTGTGGTCGTTGCTTAATATAATCCGATTTTTCTAACGCCGTGCGGCGTTCTTTCGGTTCTTTAGAAAGTGCATAGGCTGCCTGTGTAGGCGAAGCCATTGTCCGGGTGAAGGATTTGGGTGGGAGGGTATCTGTGTCCGCCTTGGGGCTTGCTTTATAAAGCTAGCAGTGTTTACTGGTGTGTGGGTTAAAAAAAATAAAAATAAAGATCTTCCTCTAAAATAAGGAAGAGGGGGAGTGCCGTCCTCCCGTAATAAATGCCGCGATTTAAAATTAACGGGATTAGACTCTTCGGCGGATGAGTCAACCAGAAAAGCTGTATTATCTCCTCCCTCCCCATTCCCGCTCGCTCGGCGTGGTGGGGTTGAGCGAGCGCGCCAGTTGATCTGTCGGTCTAACGTTGCGTGTAGATTTAAGCGCCAAATCGGCTGCGGTACGAAGGTGCGATTTGAATTTTTTGGGAGGGGAAAGAGGAGGCGGGGAGCAAAAGCCCGGGCTGCTCCATCGCCACCGCGTTTTCCTGTTCTCAAGCTGGGGTGGCAATTGGCCCGAATAAAATGCACAAATATGCATGCATTGATCATTTAACCTAAAGGGATAGCGGGTGGGGTGGGAAGATTTTTTTTTCGGAGGTAAAAAATAGCGGCAGAGTAGGGGGGCAACGGTCTCGAATGATCGGTAGGCGTGGGGAGACAAAAACGCGCATGACACAGCTGGAGAAAGCGGGGGAGGGGGTAGGTCCAGCAAAAGGGCTTGACTCCCCCCCCCCAAAAAAAGACACCCCCCGCGGAATTGATCGAGGCTCAGCTCTGCCCGCTCCTTAAAGTGCAAGGCGCAGGATACGGTTTCTTTTTCTTGCAACGGAATGGACCAGATTAGCGCGAACCATGCGGTTGTTCGCCACACCCCGGCTTCCTTCTGGCTTTGGGAGGATTCTGTTTTTAAAAATATATATTTCGGGGTTGGTTTTTGTTTGCTTAACAAAAAGCCCCTCTGCTGCTCTCCCAAGAAAATGGCTTAAAAAGAACAAAAACCCGACACTGTTAGGGATATAAAAGCAGAGGGGCCGAAACTCGATCATGGGTGTATTTTGAAAAAGCTGCTATTTAGTAGTAAAGTAGGTTGGTGGCCGCAAAGCCGGGACCCCCCCCCCGGTCAATTGCAACAGCTTCCTTGTAATTTGGGAGGGTGCTTTTCCCACCCCCAGATTCAAAGGGGGGAGGTTTGCAGAGTTTGTGCTGTAATGCCCCACTACGTTTCTGCCTCTCCCAGCTTCGTGTTCGAGGAAACGTGGGAGCCGATCTTTCCCCTCCCCCACCCGGCGCAGTCAGAGAGAGTATCCTTTTGTTTGCAAAAAAAGAAAAAATGGGAGGAAGGAACCGCGAGGTCTCTGTTGTGATTTTGTTGCAACAATGGCCCGTCGAATGCTGCGGAGAACGATTTGGATTCTTGGTATCTTCTTTCATTGAAAGAAAACGCCTCGTGACTTAAAAAAAAAGAAACTAGGGTTTTTTTTCGCCTTTCCCCTCCCCCCCGCGCGCTCTTTCCCGTTTTCTGCTGAGCAAATGCCATTTCTGGCGCCGAGTGGCACGCCCACCATCTTCCACCTTCTTTGTCTGCGAGGCAGGAGCACATGGCTGGAGGGGCTGGCGCATTTGCTTTGCTCTTCCCCCCACTTTAAATTTCTGGGTGCTCTTTGATCCTTCCCTCCCCAGCTTCTTTCCCTCCAGTGTCGAGGCTCCCGGGCTGCTTCTCTCCCCTCCCATTGTTGCAAATTGCCTTGGAATGATGACTCTGTCTCGTAGCCACGACACCACTTTCCTCCGTCCTTTGTGCCTGTAATGGCTGCTGCTGTCTGGTTGGTTTGGGTGGGTCTCTAGCAAAAGGGAGGGAGGAGGGGTTGTAGCACTCTCTCTAGCACTACTTGCTGCAGAAACCAAGATTGAGCCTGTGTGTGTGACCTAAAAAACGGAGCAATCTTGTGGTTTCTCCCATCTGTCGGGAGCATCAAGATAAATCTCTCTCAATTTGCTGGCTTGAATAGTAAGAGCATCTTCCAAGCAAAAAAATAAAGGAGCCTGGTCAACTTCAGCTGGGCTTCAAGCCATACTAACAGAAAAAGAGAGCACTGTATAGTATTATGTACACAGATTGGAGGATAGCGGTCTTATTTGTATGCCAGGCAAGACCTGCAAGGAGTGACAGCTCTTAAGGTGTGTCCCTTACAGCAGAGCTGGGAACAATGGAAGGGCATCCTGTGGCGGCTGCTTGCCCTTCCCCACAATGCAAATGAAATGAAATAAAGGGGAATTTTGGATTTTCACTTTTCGCTTCTGTTCAAAGCAGGACCCTACAGTCCTCATGCTTTTTAAAGGGAAGTAGTAAATATTTTCCAATGCTCGCTTTCTGTCTGGTGTAAATCACAATCAGAATGGTGCTGAGCTATTGTGAGGTACATCTTTAAATGAAGGAATAAGCTTTTTTAAAAAATAAAAATTGGGTAGCTGATACGCTTCCCTAGTACAATAGGGGTAAAAGAAAGAAAGGACATCTTGTCAAGAGTTTGGTAGTTGTAAAAGAACTATGCAAGCTTTGGTTTTTCACATGCTTCTCCACATGGGCAAAAAAATATATATCTGCTGCAGTCCAAAGCTTGCATATTACTGTGTCAATCTACATTGCACCAAGGAACGATTTCCTTCCCACATTTTATCATCTTAAATGAGGGGTGCAGTCGTAATCCTAAAGGCAATATTTTTAGAGCTTTGCCTGCTTAATTATCTTCCATAAAACCATAGAATTGGAAGGGGCCAGATAAATGTGGGTGGATTTTACACTGGTCAGATGCTCCATATTGTGGGAGACTGGATGTGTGTGCAGGGACCATTAGGGGAGATCACAGAGACGTCTATACACATTGTGATGGGCAGAAAGCAGGGTTTGCCACCACTGCAAAATGAGTGACAGTTACTCATTAATATGGGGGTGAGGAAGAGCCACCAAACCCCGATGTATTAAAGGATGGTGTTAAGGGAGGGGGCAGGGGTTTAAACCTGACCTGCAAACCATGCTTGCTCTTATTAGAATGTGGTGGAATGTCAGTAAAGTTGTAGCTTGGGAAGGCTGCAAACTGACTTGTCTGGTTAAAAAGAATGGTATATTTTAAACACACACAGATTGAGTTTGAGGGCACAAGGTTGCAATTGCAGGCAAGAGTCATCCAGTTTGGTGCACTGCCCTGTAGATCTTTGTTGGGGGGGAAAGAAAAAGAGAATCTGATTAACCAGCATTCTTCCTGTTGCACTGGTCTTATAAAATACTATAGAAATCTTTTATACTAGGGGATTGTGGTCCCACTACCTGAATACTGAGCTGATGTGTAAAATGCTACCTCTTTTATGATGATGCTTGAAGATGCACCTAAGCCAGGCAACCCCACTGCCTGCAATTTCCCAGCTGCCCCACCCAGCTCACCTCTGGATGACCTACATTGCGGCACATTCTTTCGTAGGCAGGAGGGCGTGTTTGTGCATCTCTGCTGGCACCTGATGAATTAAAAAAAAAAGAGAGCGTATTCTGTCACCCACAGCCGGGTGCATTGTTGCCATATCTTTCTACAAGAAGAGGAGCATCGATTTTTGGAACGTGCCCCCCCATTTCCTTTGAGCAGAAACTTCCTACCAGAGCTACATATTCTGGAACCTCTTAGAGCTGCCAATTCTAGTAGGTGCTTAGCTTGGCTTTTTTTTTAAATGCAGTTTCTCTTCAGCTTGGATCTGCAGCGGGGTGAGGCCAGACCCAAGTGAGTCTGCCCCCACCCCTGGTGTATTTAAAAATTCATGGCTTTGCAGTGCCTTGGGTGTGTTTGGCCAGCAAATGGCACACACAGGCGTCCAGAGTTGCTTTGGCTATGCCTTGGCATAGACATCAAGACAAGAAACGAGGCCAGAGTCCTTAAGTGGGACAAATTGTAAGGCAACATAAGCTGTCAGATCTTTTGAACAGATCTTTTTTTTAACGTTCTCCATTTAAACAAGCAAACTTGGCCATAAAGTATGGATAAATTCAAGAGATTATTGTAAAACAAAAAGTAGCTTAGTTTCAAGTTAGCTTTTTGTGGGTTTTTAAAAAATGTTTTGCAAGGGTGCTAAATGTTTCAATTTGGTGTGACTCGCGCTACCTTTAAAGCACACTCTGGCCCTCAAAGAATTCTGGGCTCCACACAGTTAACTCCACACAGAGTGACAATTCCAATCAACCCTGAAAACTACAGTGCCCAGAATTCTTTGAGGGGAAGAATTTGCTTTAAAGGCAAAGTGTAAATGCTGCCTTGGTAACTTCGATAGGGCATTTGAAGAAGGGAGCTGTAGGGTCACACAGTTTTTGTTGCCTCGTTTTCTAACTTAACCAATGTTGGCCACTCAACTCTGGCTCTGAATTCAGCTGAGAGATTATTGTATACCAGTTAGATTTCTCTTCCATGCTACGTTTTAGATGTACGTCTAAAAATCAAAATGTGAGAAGCGATTGTGAGTCTTCACGATCTTGGGGAGGGAATTCTCTAAAGAAAATAGCGGGTGTTTTCGAATTGAAGTACAACTTCCTGCAGCAGTGGTAGAAGTAGCATTAGTACTTTTCTGACTCTGGTCTTCATGATGGAATGAGTTAAGAAAAGAAAATATTAGCATGCATTTTAGCCTTCCCACTGCCAGGCCTGGGGTTCTCCTCTCTTGCTTTGAGAACATTTTTGGTCACAACAAAATTCATTTTCTATGTACTGTCCCTCTCTTCCCTGACACACCCACTCCACTCCACGATAAGACAATATTAAGTTTGGAGTTGGGAAAGTATAGATGGTCTGTTGATTCGTGGTTAACTTCTCTGTTCTTCACTCCTCTTTCCCTACAGGATATACCTGTCCCTGAATGGTGTTTGGGGGGGATGCGACTAGGCCGCAGCCTGTCATGTCTGCACTGTTCCACCTTGACCTCAGGGCAGCTTTTACTTGCTTTTGTGTCCTCCAGTTGTGCTGTTGGACTGCAGGTCACATCAGCCCCAGCCATCTGGGACTTAAGGCTGCGTCCATACTAGGGATTCGAAACACTTGAGAAGATGAGAGGCTGGTTGGGGAAGATGATAATTGGATTCTGAGGACCATAGAACACAATTCCCATGGGAACAAAGGAAGCTGCCTTCTACTGAATGGGAGTATTGCCTCATCTAGGCAGAAGCTCTCCAGGATTTAAGAGAGGGGATCTTTTCCTAGCCCTCATTGGATATTCCATGGGATTGAACCAACTAAAGCCGTGCCCCATGATTCTTCGAAGCAAGCCAAGGCGGTGTAAGCCATATAAAACCCAATAATGGCTTTGGTAGTGCAAGCATTCCCTAACACACCATAAACTCCCTTCTACAATTTTTGTTCCGTTTCAGCTATTAAAGCAAGAAGGAATGAGGAATGCAGGTCCCTTTTAGGATATATAAATCTGCTAAAGCTCTGAGCATGCCCAGAGTAGGGCTAATGCCTTTTTTGGGGAAGGAATGACACAGAGTCATGGATATTTTCACAGTGCATCATCTGAGGTGCTCTGGGAAATAGGTTCCTGATAATGATTCGTAGGCAGTACAATATATAGCCTGCCTTGCTCCTAAACGAACCCCGCAGTTTGCTCTTGTTCATAATGGTGGAGCCTGAAATATTTAAAATATCCTTTTTGACGTAGATCCCTGTGAGATGCCTGCGAGCATTACACAGTGGCCTTGTCACTTGATCACATGAGGACTCTATGATAACTTTAATCGCCCAATAGCAGTAGCTGATACACATAGCAGGTGCTTACATAACCATAGGTCTTAATCTACCTTCTAGAACAAAAATGTAGTTAATGTTAAATATTAACCTATATGGCAGTGATCTCAAAACATGGGCATATAATGCTGCTGTTAAAAGATTAGAACAGCCACGTTTATGAGATAGTGCTGCATGATCACATAGCACTTTACATAAATTATCTCAGCGTCCCTTAATTGTCCTCAAAGTTGGGTAGATTAGTACTCTAATCTTCCCCCCCTTTTTGAGGAGGGAGCTAGAGAGAGGCTGAAAAAATTGCCTTTACACATCTGCAGTTGCCATGTTTCTACTTTGCATTAATCTGGAATAGCTACAGTCCCTTGTCCCACACGAGTTAGGGGGGGGGGAATCCTTTTATAAGCCTGGGAAATGTAGCAAAAGTTACTTCAGCCACTTTGATTGTGAATGACAGGATGACTTAAGTGGTAAGTAAGTCGCCTTAAAGTAATTGTGAGACCCTGATATGGCATTGGGAAATGGCCATGCCAATTCCTTGCTCTAGAACAGGCTTCCTCAACCTCGGCCCTCCAGATGGTTTCAGCCTACAATTCCCATGATCCCTAGCTAGCAGGATCAGTGGTCAGGGATGATGGGAATTGTAGTCTCAAAAACATCTGGAGGGCCGATGTTGAGGAAGCCTGCTCTAGAATCATAGCACTTCAAGGAGTCAGAAGCGATTATCCCAACCTCATACTTGGTGCAGGATCTTTCACCGACAGCACTCCCGGTTCCTATTCCTCCAGCGAAGGAGAGCCCACCATCTCTCCTAAGGCGGTCTGCTCCACTGTCTCAGCACCTCTTACCTTAAGGAAGCTTCTCCTAGAGTTTACCTGAAATATTTCATTGTAGCCTCCACCCATGGTTCTTGCCATCTGTTGCAACAGAAAACGAAGTGTGTGTTCTTCATGGGAGCCTTTCGGATAATTGAGGATGTCTGGGAAAGATGTCTTTAACTGAACAAGCATGGGAGGATTTAACTTGGCCCTTGGGCTCTCTCCCATGCAGTCAAGTTGGGCAGTTCTCTCTTAACTCCCTTCTTCCCAGTGTGAGCAGCGAGAGAGGCTCCTCCAGAAGGTTCCTCTCATAATCTGCTTCACAGGCAAACCAGATTGCAGCTGAGGTGCATAAGGAGAGAGAACTTTTGACACAGGAGAAAGTAGTAGAACCCTAGAACCCGTGGACATGCAATGAAGCTGAATGGTGAAGGATTCAGGACAGAGCAGGTGCTTCACATAGCACATCATTAAACTAAGAAAACCAATTGGATGGTTTCAGAAGAGGATTAGGCAAATTTGTGGAGGTTAAAGGCTATCAGTGGCTATTGACCACTCCCTCTGTAGTTGTACGCTCCGATCCAACAGGCTCTTAGTTGGCCAAAGAAGGCTTGTGCTGAGCTCCTGGCTGCCTTACTTCCCTTGAGTAGAAGCAGGCATTAATCTTGTAAATGTCCCCCAGAATTTAAAAGTCCTTCATGCTCTGTGGGAAGAACCCAGAATATGTCTCCCTTCATCAACGTTGGGTGACTAGATTTCGCACAGGGTGAAAGCCCCTTGAACTTTGGTAGCGCTGTTGTTGATTTTTCCGGGGCAGAGTTAAGGTCTGCTGTGTCCGCCTTCTCAGTTATCCTTTCCTTCCGAGCAGCTGTCTTGGTAAGAGAGTCCCTTGGGGGGCATGTGTGTGTGTGTGTAAGGGTGGTTTGGCCAGTCCGTGTCCCTCCAGTCAACCATTACCCTGGCGCTGAAAAATGTGTGGAATGTTTTGTCCAACCACTCACAGCTGTGGCCTAAAGGGAGGTGATGGGGAGGGAGGGGTGTCCTCAGAAATGGAAAATGGAGTTCTGTTTTCCCCAGACCATGAGATGGATTCCTGTGGCAGCTTAAGGGGCCTCCCTCCCCATTCATCACAGGGGATGGACAGATGGGGCTGTATAGTAACCCTTTCCCTGCTGGATTTGATTTCTATAGAACTGAAGGGCCTCCCTGAGGGATGTGGGCTGTGTGTGTGTGTAACACACACACACAGACAGGAATTTGCACATAATTTTCATAGTTTTTGTCTCCCGGCTCCTCAATGAACTCTGCTCTCTTCTCCAACATAGCAAGCTTAGGCAAGGGGGGCAACTCCTCCTGTTTGATGGATAAAGTGAGGATATAAATAAAATTTTATTATTATTATCAATAATTAGGGGTGCAGGCAAGATGGGTCATGATGCCATCACCTGTCATGATCACAAACTAACATCCCAGTGGTTCTGTAGGGCTCCAACTCCAGAATCAGGCTTCTGTTCCCAGATTAGAGGAAACCTTGTTCAGGATAGACAGCTGAGTCTATCCAATTCCTTCCTGCATCGCCCTATAGCTTCTGCTCTTATCTGGACCAGGGGGAAGGCACCAGGCAGTGCGGGATATTAATTTATCACCGCCAAACTTCCTCCTGTCCCTGTCAGGTTCCAAACCTTATCGCAGGATAAAGTAACCCCAAGTGCATATATATCTGTTGCATTTATGTACTACCCAGACAACCTAGTTCTGTGGGCGTTTTATATTAAGAAAACACAGCAGCGAGCTGAGATGCAGGCAAGTAGCACTGTGTAGTTTTCATGAACAGCAGTGGGGGCTCCGCTTTTGTATCTCGGCTGCCTAGTCTTGAATGTCTGAGTAGCTGACGGAAACCTGTGTTGCTGCTTGCACTAAGGAGAGGTTCAGAGCCTTTGGCTTGTCTTAATGTTTGGCCTTTGCTCCTTATCTTAATTCACAAGATACCTTTGTTTTTCTCTCTCTCCTGGTCTTAACCTGCACCCCCACCAGTGGAAACAGTCTTTTATTTCATTCACTCTGGCCTATGGGCATGTCTGTTTTCCTTCCTTTCGTCTAATTGGGCTCCCTCAACTAAATCTTCTCTCCTGTTTGGGACTTCCAGCTTCCAGAAGGAGCTCTAATCCCCGCCCCCCCCCCGCTGGGGAATTGATCCACAAAGGCCGGATACAAGCAGCTTAACCTCAGTCCTTTGCCATCTGTCCAGTCCATGCAGTTGAAAGCTTATTGGCATGTGTGAGAGACCTTGCTCATGTTCGAAGCAGCTGGCCTGAAGACCCTGAGGCTGGGGGAAGGGGGCGGAAGAGGCATCTGAAGGGGGGGTGTTGTCTGTCCCGGCTAGGTTAATGGGGATGGAGGTGTCTGGTGTGTAGTCATGTTGGCAGGTGCAACACCCATAAGTGTGTGTCTCGGACACATGCACCTTGTTAGAACCTCAGCCGCAGCAGGTGGCTTGCACTCTTGACGGGGTTATATTTAATGTCTGCATGCCAAGGATCTTAAGATTTAAATCGGGAGCTAGGCTGGTGGCTCAACAGGCCCGCAAAGTATTTCCTGATTGCCAGCTTGGCTGTGGGGATGGGTGAGGAGGCAGGTATGCAGAAATTGTGTTTTGGAGCAGCGTGTTACAAAAACTTGCCATGGTCTGTGGCAACACAAAATCGGGGGGCTAAGGAAAACTTGTCTCTTGTTCTTCTCCTGTAGAACACTTCCCCATCCCAATCAAGGCTTTCGGCCATTTTGGAAATTTCCAATAATAATAAATAAGTAAATAAAAATGATATTTATACCTACATACCCCACCCATCTGGCTGGGTTTCCCCAGTCACTCTGGGGAATTTAAAAGCACAATAAAAGGTCAAACATTAAAAACTTCCCTAAACAGGGCTGCCTTCGGATGTCTTCTAAAAGTCAGATACAGTGATACCTCGGGTTAAGAACTTAATTCGTTCTGGAGGTCTGTTCTTAACCTGAAACTGTTCTTAACCTGAAGCGCCACTTTAGCTAATGGGGCCTCCTGCTGCCGCTGCATGATTTCTGTTCTCATCCTGAAGCAAAGTTATTAATCCGAGGTAATATTTCTGGGTTAGCGGAGTCTGTAACCTGAAGCGTATGTAACCCGAGGTACCACCATACTTGTTTATTTCCTTGACGACTGATGGGAGGGCGTTCCACTACCGAGAAGGTCCTCTGCCTGGTTTCCTGTAACCTCACTCCCCTTTTCTGATATTAATACAATACTGATCCATTTCCCTCCTGCTCTTTACTGAGTCTCTCTTACCCTCCTGTTAGAGGACCCAAATGCATTGTCTGCTAGATATATAATTCTCTTAATTTTATTACTGCAATTGCTTGCTACAAATTCTAAGGAGCGGGAGAGAAACTATCCAAAGTGTTCAAGTTTATTTTTTTCAAATGCAATCAATCAAAACTCTTTCAAGACCAGGAAGTCGGGTGGAGGGGAGCGAGACTAATGGCAGGGGTTTTCAAGCTGTGCTTTGAGGAAAAGTTTTGTGTGTGGTTTGTCCCAAAGTACAGAGTAATGGTTGGATCAAGCTTCCCTAAAAAGATGAGTTGTCCACCCACACCAAGCTTTCTCTGCAATTTGAAACCGCAGGGGTGCGTTGGGTATGTCGTGGCTTTCGAAATGCCTGTAAATCACATGGAAATTGCAAGGCAAGATGTCACGTGAGGTAATTTACCGTAATAATATTTTTTAACAATCACCCTGCCCAACACTAGCATAACTTGCACTGCATGGCAGGCCACAAATGTGGTTCTAGGGCTGGCTGCTGAGAAGAGACATTTTGGAGGGGCGGGGAATGAAGTAGATTAGTCCAGCATCATGTTTATCCACTTAAAATACTTCAATACTGTTTTTGGGGTGGGGTGGAGGCTCTGAAGTTGGTGTGCAGTTACAATACAGTATGACAAGAAAATTGATAAATAAAGTGAAAATAAGCAACAAACATTCAGCCAAAAATACAAGAAAAACTATCAGTTGGACCACAGCTCAAGAAAAAGCAGACATAAAGGCTTTTGGGGCCTGTCAGATCACAGCTGGTAGTGTTGGGGAAATGTAGGGCCACTGCAGAAAAGGCCCCCCATCCCTTGTTAAATATGACCCCTGATCAGAATTGTCTCTGTTACTGAGGGTGGGCGATGGCTCAAGTGCAGGGCAAGATGGAGCAGCCTCCACTGTTGGAAACCGCTTGTTCTGGAGACAACAATGCAATTTAATGGGCTGGACCAGTACTGTGAAGACACACTGCCCTCTTCAGTGTGAAACTATCAGCCTGATGGATTTCACAAGGCAAGAGTTTGTAATTGTGGTTTGGAACGTTATTCGATCCCTGGGTTGGACTACAATTCCCATCACTCCTTAACCACTGACTTAAGTGGGGCTGATGGGAGTTGTAGTCCAATGACATCTGGGGCCCCACTGTTGAAGGAAGTTGGCTTTAAAACAAAATGGCGTCCCTCTGATTCCTAGCAATGGAGCAAGGCCTTCTGGGAGTGAGAACACAACTTCACTTAGGAGTGAACCGTAACTGAATAAAATAGAGAGAAGGATATATTGGGAGTGCTGCTTTCAGGGTATGTGTGTGAGACAGAGGCTCTGATTATGAAGTTTGCGCCCCCTTAGTTTCTCTTGAGAAGGGTGTTTACTTTTTCTAGATCGGGGGAAGCCAATGGACACTACTGAGCTGCAGCTAAAAGCCATTCCCCATCCATGGCTCGTCTTTCAGGAGAACAAGGCAGTGCTTGTGTTGGCTGCTGCAGCTGCTGAGTCAGCCCATCTGCCTCCGAGGGAGATATGAACAGTCTCTCCTTTAAGATGACTGGATGGGGGAGAGGAGCGGAGATGTTCCTTTTAAGGTAGTGTGGAAGGAGTCTAGCATTTTCTCTCTCTCTCGCTCTCCCACTCGTATTTATGCTTTCCCCAAATCTGTATTCCAGGTCTTGATTTCAGCTGACATAGGGCCACGGAACTAGATTTCAGTGTTCAGGTTCAACCTGGAACAGCCAAAAGTGGTCATGAGTAGCTCTTGAGCATGTGCAAAGTCCACTTCTCTTGCCACTGAGCAGCCGCTGTGCAGTAGAGCACTGCTGCTAGATGAAGAGTGCTGCGTTCCTGTCAATTAGGACTAGCAACCACGGAAGGCCAGTCACGCTGCACACGGTAGTCTTCCATGATATTGGTGCAGGAACTAAAAAGGCCCTGCCTCTTGCGATTGTCATTGTCCTCAACTGTGTCTCCAATCTTAAGTGGAAGGTCCTCTCCTTCTGATCTTGGAGAGTGGGCTGGGTAGCATGGGAGGAGATCCCACTGGTATCCTGGGCCTAAGCCATTTAGATAAATCACCTCTTTGAATTGTGTCGGGGAGCGAAATGGCGACCAGTGACAAAATGGCAGGATGGTCCTGCTAAACATTCTAGCTGGTGCATTCTGGATTCTTTCTGCTTCTGAAGGGTAGAGCACATTGCATTAACCCAGTCTAGATGTGGCTTCAGGGATGTGTTGCCTTAGCCAGAACTGATTTCCTGATGTGTTGTGGTCACATCGTGCTGCTTCCATGATTGGGCTGTATCCACGGCCATTAATTTGAATCTTCCTTTTCTTATTCCCTGCAGTTTTGGGAGGTGATTAGTGATGAACATGGGATCGACCCCACTGGAACCTACCATGGCGATAGTGACCTACAGCTTGACCGCATCAGTGTTTACTACAATGAAGCCACAGGTGAGTATTCATCTCTTTCCCCACCCCCAAGGTGTTCTGGAACATTTTGATTCACAAAGTTACATTTGAAAATAGCGTGCATAACCTGCCTTTTTTCTGGCTCCCTTGCCATTTCTTCTCATTATTGTGCCTTTTGTCCTAGGTATAAGTAGGAAAAGGGAATACAGTGGTACCTCGGGTTACATACGCTTCAGGTTACATATGCTACACACTTCACTAACTTAGAAATAGTGCTTCAGGTTAAGAACTTTGCTTCAGGATAAGAACAGAAATCAGGCTCTGGTGGTGTGGCAGCAATAGGAGGCCCCATTAGCTAAAGTGGTGCTTCAGGTTAAGAACAGCTTCAGGTTAAGAACGGACCTCTGGAATGAATTAAGTACTTAACCCGAGGTACCACTGTATGGAAAGTTTCCCAAGTGTGAAGGCATGTATACTGGATCTGTGCATTTCAGGGCCATACTGCCAGAGCTTGCTTCATGCCACCTTTTCAGTCTTTAGAGAATTTCATCTTTCATTGTGTTAGCTTTAAAAAATTATATATTGGTACCTCGAGTTACAAACGCTTCAGGTTACAAACTCTGCTAACCTGGAAGAGTTACCTCTAGTTGAGAACTTTGCCCCAGGGTGAGAACGAAAATTGTGTGCTGGCAGCAAGAGGCCCCATTAGAGAAAGCATCCCTCTAGTTAAGAACAGTCTCTGGAACGAATTAAGTGTGTAACTAGAGGTACCACAGTAATTTAAATGCAAGCTCCTAGCTCTTAGCTGCTGAGGGCGGGGAAGGCAAGCCTCAAAATGGAACTTGGAAAGGTGTTGCTGGACCAGAATAACCCAACCAGCAGAATTTTCGGGACCACGAGGGAGGCTTCCACCAGAATGAGAGGGGAAATGACTCAAAAGCTCCCTATGCTTTCCACGTGGGGATATGGGAGGCTATCCCCACGTGCAGGCAGTAAAATAATAGATGAAGCATCCTTGAGCTCAAATGAGCCTTCAAGCTGTGTCATCAGTCCCAGCTCACATTTGTTCACTGTCCAAAGTGTCTCTTTCAAACAGCTGGAATGTGCTTGTATTCTAATGTACTTTCCTTCTCAAAGCTCCTTGGTGACTTACTATTCCATTCTACTGAGAAACCTGAACGTCATTAAAAAGCTTGCATTTAACTTGAATGGATAGGAAGCTAGCAACATGGTTTCTGTTATGGAAGGGGACCATGGATGGGGAACCGCAGTCCTCTTTCTCAGGTATCCTTTGCCCTTCTTTCTCCCAGGTGGCAAATACGTCCCTCGTGCCATCTTGGTTGACCTGGAACCAGGAACTATGGACTCCGTGAGGTCTGGACCTTTCGGTCAGATTTTCAGACCAGACAACTTCGTGTTTGGTAAGATGCAATCCCAATCTTTGCTGTTTCTATCTGTAGTTGGGAGGGGGGGGTAGGACTGCAAACAAATGCCTCCCATAAACTAGTTGGGTTGGCCTTTTTTATCGTGGAAAGGAGGAGAGAATAGGTTGCTCCCGTGGAGAAGGTGTGGGTGTGCACTTTCGGTCAGTTTCAGGGAGAGTGGAAACGCCTCAATTCCTCTTCTGCTTCTGTTACTTTCCCCCCCAGTTGTGCATAAGAGACACCAGGCTTTGAGAGTAACAGGGAGTGATGCCCAGGAGCCATTTCTCACCACATGTTCTCTCCCCCTGTAATCACCCTGGCAAAGAAAGCGCTGCTGCGTGCACAATTTTTGTAGGCAATTGAGCATCTGTGAGCTGCCCAAAAGCACGGTGCCCAAACCAGCATTTTAAATGACTCTAAAAGACTTCCCAATGGCTTGAGCAGCGCATGTAGGGCAGGGCTGGGGGAACTTGCGATCCTCCAAAAGTTGTTGAACTCCCAACTCTCCATCAGCCTCGATAAGCGTGGGCAGCGGTCAGAGATGGTGGGATTTGCATTCCAGCAAAATCTGGAGGGCATCAAGATCCCCCCCCCACTACTGTAGAGGAGTAAGGCCCCCCCCAAGGTAGCACATAAACAACAACAACAACAATAAACAACAACAACAACAATAATTACATTGTTCCTTGTGGATATAGCCCCTTTGAGCTGCATCTCAGATCACTTCCTAGCATTGGGTGGATTGGTTTGTCCTTCCAACTTTTGCAAAGTCCCAACAGTCCATAATTACCGTCTTTCCTCCGTTTCGGGCCATATTCATGTCGCAAACTTCTTGGCCTTATCCAAGCAGAAGATGCATATGAGCTGCACTGGGTTGGTTTTCTTAAAACAGGTTGCGCAAGAGAGTTGTTCCTTACTACTGGGGGTCTAAAGGATCTACAGTTGTACCTTGGAAGTTGCACGGAATCCGTTCCGGAAGTCCGTTTGACTTCCAAAACATTCGGAAACCAAAGCGTGGCTTCTGATTGGCTGCAGGAAGCTTCGGACGTTCTGCTTCCAAAAATAGTTTGCAAACTGGAACAGCCACTTTCGGGTTTGCAGTGTTTGGGAGCTAAAACGTTTGAGAGCTGATGATGGATTTTTCGGAGCTAGCCGACCTAACTGGAAGAGTCCGCGACCAGAAGGAGGAGTAGTATCGGGAAGAGTGAAATAAATTTAATGATTATCTAGTTAAATTTGTTAAGTTAAATTAATTGAAAGTAGCTTGCAGATACTTAACTGGCTGAGGATTTTATTTATGTTAAGTGACGAATTAATATCTTTAATTCCTTAAGGTGAAGATTTAAGGATGTTAATGTTTAAGTTAAATTTCATAAGAATTGGGATTTGGAAAACCATTGCAATGAAATTCAACCAAGGGGAAGCGAGGAAGTCACTTCACAAAGTTAATAAGTGTAATTTTCAATAAGGCTATGATTTTTGTTTGTTTGTCTTGTGTGTGTGTTTGTTTATAATATTGTGAAAGCCAATAAAATTTTTGGAGAAAAAGCAACAACATTCAAGAACTAAGCTGTTCGAAAACCAAGGTACGGGTGTATCTAGTTTAAAGTTCAGGGAGACACAATGAATGTGAATAATGTGGGCTGGGAAGCTAACAGAAGAGCAGCCATGGGTGGTGGTGGGTGTGAGAATGAGCCAGCTTGGCCCAAGCTTCATGGTTTCTCCCCCCCTTCTCCTGCCTCCTCCAGGCCAGAGTGGAGCTGGGAACAACTGGGCCAAAGGCCACTACACAGAAGGTGCCGAGCTGGTGGATTCCGTCCTGGACGTGGTCCGGAAGGAAGCAGAGAGTTGCGACTGCCTTCAGGGTTTCCAGCTGACCCACTCCTTGGGCGGCGGCACCGGTTCCGGGATGGGCACGCTCCTGATCAGCAAGATCCGCGAGGAGTACCCCGACCGCATCATGAACACCTTCAGCGTGGTGCCCTCTCCCAAGGTGTCCGACACCGTGGTGGAGCCGTATAACGCCACCCTCTCCGTGCACCAGCTCGTGGAGAACACGGATGAGACCTACTGCATTGACAACGAGGCTCTGTACGACATCTGCTTCCGCACCCTCAAGCTCACCACGCCCACCTACGGCGACCTCAACCACCTGGTCTCGGCCACCATGAGCGGCGTCACCACCTGCCTCCGCTTCCCCGGGCAGCTGAACGCCGACCTCCGCAAGCTGGCGGTCAACATGGTGCCATTCCCTCGCCTTCACTTCTTCATGCCCGGTTTTGCCCCCCTGACCAGCCGTGGCAGCCAGCAGTACCGCGCCCTGACGGTGCCCGAGCTGACGCAGCAGGTCTTCGATGCCAAGAACATGATGGCGGCCTGCGACCCCCGCCACGGGCGCTACCTAACTGTCGCAGCCGTCTTCCGGGGCCGCATGTCCATGAAGGAGGTGGACGAGCAGATGCTGAACGTCCAGAACAAGAACAGCAGCTACTTCGTGGAGTGGATCCCCAACAACGTCAAGACGGCCGTCTGCGACATCCCTCCCCGAGGCCTCAAGATGGCCGTCACCTTCATCGGCAACAGCACGGCCATCCAGGAGCTCTTCAAGCGCATCTCTGAGCAGTTCACGGCCATGTTCCGGCGCAAGGCCTTCCTCCACTGGTACACGGGCGAGGGCATGGATGAGATGGAGTTCACGGAGGCCGAGAGCAACATGAACGACCTGGTGTCTGAGTACCAGCAGTACCAAGACGCCACGGCGGAGGAAGAGGAGGATTTCGGCGAAGAGGCCGAGGAGGAAGCTTGAGGCACGAGTCTGCTGGCAGTTCGGAAAAACAAAACAGAAAAGTCAATAAATCCGCACAAAAATAAAAATTGAAAACAAAAACCCTGCATCTCCACGTTCTGTTTCTTTTTCCTTCTTCTCAAGCCTGTCAATCCCTTCCTGCGTCTCTTAATGGGCCAGTCTCTCCATTTTAACCCTCTCTGCATTTCTTCTCAGTGGTGGGAACAGCCTGTGGCTGATTTAACAATGAAACGGCTGCTCAGAGAGTCTCTTGAGAGCGGCTGAAAAAGACAGAAGAGGTTCTGTCTATCCATGATTATATTTGGTCACTAGTGATGTTTGGTTTCCAGGATAAGCAGATGCTTCCCTTTCCATGATCTACCATAGTTAATCAAGTGAGCTGTTAAGCAACAAGGCCAAGAGCCTTTTAATTCCAAAAGGGTGTGAGGATGTTGGATCAGTTCTGACACGGGGACCCATTCCAGATAAAAGTAGAAAGGTAGCTGACTTTAAAATGGAAACATGTTCCTGAAAGGCAAGGTTCTTTCTTTCTGTCCAATCTGGCTTGAGTAGAAAATCATAATTTGACTTCTGCTAATCTGAGCCACAGGCCAGTGGTTTCAAAGTGCATTTGCTAATAGGAAGTTGGGGTTTAGTTTTGGGGTAGCCTGCACAATGGGTGTTTAAATGGTAAGAAGTCTGGTGGATTCCTACCCCAGTAGGGGTCTCTAAAGATTGCTTGGTCTGTATGTTTGTTTCTGAAAAATCTGCCACTGGATCATCTTGCCCCGGAACACATTAAAGCAACCAACATTAATGTAGAAGGCATTTGTTGACCAAGAGAACAAAATGCAAGTTCTCTTTGCAGGAACCACCGGGTTATATGTCTACCTACATGGTATGCCTGCAATATAAAAACACTTGGTATGCCAGGCACCTGCCTCTTCATTTAATGCTCATTGTCTGAAAGGTAGCTACAAATCCGAAGTACCCATGGCTTAGTTTGCTTTTGCTCACAGTTGTAAAAGTTGGCGGTAAGGCTAAAGGTCAATGAGGAGTGATGGAGGTTAGCACTTAAAAGGGCAGCAAAGACCTGCACACACAGAGCAGATGGGAGAAAGGTTTGTCTGAAAAGGGACTGGGAGATTCCATGTTTGAATATTTTGGGTGGTTGGGGAAAGAGGAACCGCATTAGGAAAGAGGAACTGAATTAGGTTTTGTTTTCAGTGAGCTCTTTATCCATGAGAATACTCAAATGTCTGATTTTTTTTTTTTTAAGCCTCTTTTTTGCTGTTGATGTAGATCAGTCTTCTGTTGTAGTATCCAACCTGTAGGAAGTAGCTAAGGAAGGCATGTTGTTCCAAGGGATCGCTGAGCCAGTGGAAAGGGACATCTAGTTCTGAATCTGCCTAAACAGGGTTATACATCTGAAAGGTCACACTGCCACCATGAAGCCTGGCTTTTTCAATCTCCTGCTTGTTGCCTCAGCATCTTTTTCCCTTTCGCTTCTCACTCATTTCTTCCCTGCCTCATTTTACTCTTTTTTAAAGGAAAAAAAAATCCCTGCTTTTTCATATTGAAAAGTTGTCTTGTAAACAAATAAAAGGGTTTCTTATGTTTTCCTTTTTGTGTTGAGTGTCCTCACTGTCCCTCTGCAGACCCTCATCCTTGCACAGTTAAATGACAAGGGGAAAAGGCATCTCCATAACATTAAAAAAACAACTATTTTTGCTGGTTTATGATGAAATGAGGCTGAGAGAAAACCCATTCATTTATCCCATAAAACAGGAGTGTGGAAGCTGCACCTGTAGATGATCATATGTGTTAATTCCTATTCCCCCCCAAAAAAACAAACCATGGGCCATACTTGCAGGGGTTGATGGGAGTTTAGAGTGCAACACTGGGCTGCTTCCACAGGTTTCCCATATTTTGATATAAAGGAAGCATAACATTGCAGGTGCATTTTGCAAAGTGCCGTATTTTTTGCTCTATAAGACTGCACTTTTTCCCTCCTAAAAAGTAAGGGGAAATGTGTGTGTGTCTTATGGAGCGAATGCAGGCTGCGCAGCTGTCCCATAAGCCAGAACAGCCAGAGGGATTGCTGCTTTTGCTGTGCAGTGATCCTTCTGGCTGTTCTGGCTTCTGGGATAGCAACACAAAGCCTCTTCAGGGCAGTGGGAAGATCGCTCCCCCTGCCCTGAAGAGGCTTGGCGTGGCTGTTCAATCCCTCTTGCTGTTCTGGCTTCTGGGAATCAGAATATTTTTTTTTCTTGTTTTCCTCCTCCAAAAACTACGTGCGTCTTATGGTCTGGTGTGTCTTATAGAGCGAAAAATACGGTACATTTTAGAGGTGGTGTTGAAAGGGTTGAAAATAAGTACCAAGTTCAAAAACTAGTCTGAGAACTAGATTGTATGTGTGCATGAGAGTTTATACCGTAACCTTTATTCCTTGTGCTGGAGGAGGAAGGAATATGAGTTGCGAGAGTGGGTGATTGACAGCTGCAGAGCAGTGGGTATGATGATGAGTGGCTGTCTTGGAATGAATTTTGCTTGGGGGCTGGTAGTCCCTGCAAAGTGTGTTGATTTGAGCTACAAAGGCAGCTAAAATTAGCCAGATGTACAGCAGTGAATGTGCATGTTGAGTTTAACAGTAATTTCCCTTGTTTCTGGGCCCACCTGGATACAGTCGTACCTCGGGTTGAATGTGCTTCAGGTTGAGCACTTTTTGGGTTGTGTTCTGCGGCAACCCGGAATAAATGGAGCGTGTTGCTTCCGGGTTTTGCCGCTCGCGCATGCGCAGATGCTCAAAATGATGTCACATGCATGCGCAGAAGCGGCAAAACGCGATGCGGAGTCGCATCTTACATTCTATTCAGGATGCGAACGGGGCTCTGGAATGGATCCCATTCGCATCCCGAGGTACCACTGTACTTGAAAGTATTCTTTGAACTTTTCTGTTCAGAGCAAAGTAGGATGAATGCGGTCATGCTGGTTAATATTCACCCAGCCCGAATGTCCTCACGGGAGATTACAAAATAGGCCTTGCTCATTAGGATTTGTGCTGGGCACAGAAAAGTGAAGCGAAACGCCCTCTGGTTAACAAAGCCATTAAATAATGAACGTAAAATACTCTGAAAAGCAGTAGTGTCACTAATATCAGTTGAGCACCAGATGAGATAAAAACATTTAAGCGTTTTTCTTCAGTTCATAAAGCAATAAACTGACAAAGTTAAAAATCTCCACAATAAGATTGATGTGGGAGCTAGATGGACCAATGGCCTAACTTGGTATAAGCAAACTTCCTATTGCTCCTGGGCATGTGAAGAGTGCCTCCACTCAACACACAATGGACGACTTCACGTAACTTCCTCATGTAGTGGTTGCTGCTGGGTGAATGGGTGACTTGCCTGAGCGGCTGGGCCAGAACATACTAATGGAACAGAAACCATGTGTGGCTGAAATTGGGACCCACAACTACAAGATTCAAAAGCGTTTGAGTGAAAGGAGTACAGTGCACAATCACACACAAGTGCCGCATTTACCCACTAGGAAGGAGCTGCAGCCTGTCCTGACCCTTTCATGTAAATGAATGCCAGTGTGGTGTAGTGGTTAGAGCAGGGGTCAGGAGCCCATGGTCTTCCCTATTAAGCCATGCTGCCTGCGACTGATGGGGGAGTCCCAACAACATGCGGAGAGTCTGGAATTTAAATAAGTGTTGGGATTAGGATTTGGGATATCCAGGTTCAAATCCCCACTCAACCAGGAAGATTACTGGGTGAGGTTGGACCAACACAATGGCGTAGCGTGGGTTGTCAGCACCTGGGGCAAGGCAAGTAATTTGCGCCCCCTAACCCGTGGATTTGCGCCCCCTAACCCTAACCCCCAGATGTTGCGCCCGGTGTGGCCGGCCCCCCCTGCAGCCCCCACGCTATGCCACTGGACCAACAACTACCTCTGCCACCCCTTAGAGTGGCAAGGATAAAATTCATGAAAGGTTTGAGAGCTTGCAGGAAAGATGAAATCACTAAATGAGCAGATAAATAAAAAGCACTGGCACTTTGATTTACTCCCAGCAGTATTTGCCTTCCTTTCCTTCACACGTTGTCTCAGCTTTAACCCGATTTGGAATACCCTCACCCCGTGGTTGGAGGAGGAGGATGATGATGATGATAATAATAGGTGTATATAAAAAAGGTAACTAATAACCCATAAAGCTCGCGCATGCCTGGAATCTACACGGGAATCCCTGCCCCCGTGGAGTGCCATGAGGCAAATGCACTCTGCACATGCTCAGGGGCAGGCGGGAAGGCCTCAAGTCTCGGAGGGAACCATTTCCCCCAGTTCTCCCGCCTCTCTCTTGCCTCAACGGAGGCTGCAACGTTGCAAAATGCAAGAGAGCGGCGGGTGCACGGGCAGCCGTCGAAGAAGAAGAGCAAAAGCGGGCGAGGAGGAACCGAGGGGGGCGGCGCCGCTCGACGTGGCAGCGCGGGAAAAGGACGGGGCCGTGCCGGGAGGAGCGCGCGCGGGGCGCGGGGGCGTCCTGGACTGGACTACTTCGGGCTTCAGGGAGCGGGGGTGGGAAATCATCTTTCTAAAACAAGCAAGCAAGCAACACTGACCGCTCCTCCATGTAGTAAACCGGCACGTCACGGAGAAATGTTTCCCCAAAGGGCAGCTTTTATTCCACGCAGGGAGACTGACTGACTAATGATGATAATAATAATAAGCCCGCGCTGAAATGGTACAGCCCAGACTCCTGCCGCTTTCGTCCCGCCTGCTGCAAAGGGAACGTGTAATAAAAATAATAATTTATACCCAACCCATCTGGCTTGGTTTCCCCAGCCAGTCTGGGCGGCAAAAGTAATAACAGTAGTAGTAGTAGTAGTAGTAATAATAATAATAATAATAATAATAGTAATGATGATGGTGATGATGATGATGATAATAATAATAGCAAGGCTTGGCCGCCTAATTTCTTATGTTTGTTGAAACCTCCGCAGTACAGAGACTACCCGCGCTTTTCTTTTCGTTTTCATTGTTTGCAAAACGGAACAGAAAGAGAAACGCAATGGATGTACCTATATTGGTTCTTGGGTTTTTTTTGAACCCCCGACCCCGACCCAAAGCATTGTGCACTGACATAAGCAATTAGGATACCCCGCCAGAATTGATATCGTTTGTTCAAGCTTCCTTCCAAGAATGAGAGATGCTGCGTTTTCCTGCTGCTGCGCGGCAGGCAGAAATCCAACAGGTGTGGCTCCCCAAGGCCTTGCCTCCGGCCCAGGCAAAACAGTCACGCCTGCTGGTTTGTTGCCTGCCAGGCGGCTGCTTAAGGGAGTAGGAGTCTGGCAGTGGGAGAGAGAGTAGGGAGGCAAGGTTGTTTCGTGGCAATCCTAATCGGATCAGGCTATTCTAGGGGACACGGAAATCCCTGTCCTGTCTTTCTCCCAAGGTTTTCCACCTCTCCTCACTTCCCGTGTCTCCTCCGCAGATTCATTGCACACAATCCAAATCCGTTTCTGATGAAATTCATTCTCCTTAGTCCAGCCCAACTCCTTGGAGGAAAGATGAGGTGTAAATGTAATAAAGACATACGACGGATTGTTTTGGCTTGGTATATTTTTGTTCCAAAAGCTTTTTTTAAAAGTGTCTATGCTTTTCAGATTTCCATGAGATCTTTGAAGTATCTGGTTTTAATGTCACTTTTTTCTGATTTAGTTAAACTCATTATAGATAGAATAAATACAGAATAGATATAGATACAAACGATTAAGATAGCCATTCTTAACATATTTGTTAATATGCTAATAACACATGCCACTGGCACAAATTACTGATTTCTGAATTTTTTAAATTATTCATTAAATTTGTAAAATGTCCTTTATCATAAGATCACAGGCTTGTTCACTACAGAAAAATACAAAATGATAATTTGTTGTTGTTGCTTAGTCATTTAGTCATGTCTGACTCTTCGTACATCCTATGTCCGTGCCTTTTTCCACACTGTGGATTTTAGGTTCCCAAGGGCCTTTTCTCCATCTGGGAAAACAAGGCAGCGGATGGGTGGACCCAATCCCAGAGCATTTAGTGCCTTGCACAGAAGGCACACATTCCCCCTGGTTTCTCACCTAACAGGCAGGAACTGAGTTTGCCGCAGAGTCACAGAAGCTAAAGGAATTAGCGAACATCTGCAGCCACAATTATTCCTTGCAGAATTCCTGAATTGCGTTTTAAACACAAGGATTTGGGCAGCCATATGGATAAGGTCAGCGAGTGTTTTGCGACAGACAGAAGGGAGCCAGCCAGGGCTGGAGGAAAGCGATGTGCCAAGGAAGCTGCAAATGTTTGATGTTTGGGTTTTAGGTGGTTTTTCCATTGGAAAATACAAGCTTTAGCTCCTTTTTCCCCCTGGCAGGCTCCTGTCTCTTGGTTCTACAGGAGCAGCTTTCTTTCCTGGTACGTCCCTGGGGCAAGGAAAGCTTTATTGTTGAGTCTCTGCCTGCCACGTTACATGGGGATCCGCGAGACAGAAGGTTCCCGATAACGGCTTCGGTCGAGTATACCTGAACAAGCGTCTCCACCCCCATCGTTCTGCCTGGACACTGAGGTCCAGCGCCGAGGGCCTTCTGGCGGTTCCCTCGCTGCGAGAAGCCAAGTTACAGGGAACCAGGCAGAGGGCCTTCTCAGTAGTGGTGCCCGCCCTCTGGAACGCCCTCCCACCAGATGTCAAAGAGAAAAACAACTACCAGACTTTTAGAAGACATCTGAAGGCAGCCCTGCTTAGGGAAGCTTTTAATGTTTAATAGACTATTGTATTTTAATATTCTGTTGGAAGAGTGGCTGGGGAAAGCCAGCCAGATGGGCGGGGTATAAATAATAAATTATTATTATTATTATTATTATTATTATTACCCCTGCTGGGACACATTATATATACAGTGGTACCTCAGTTTATGAACAGTCCGGTTTAAGAATGATTTGGTTTACGAATTCCGCAAAACCAGAAACAGTGTGCCAGTTTGAGTACTTGACCTAGATCTAAGAACGAAATCCGAACGGTGGAAGGGCACCGGCGGCGAGAGGCCTCATTAGGGAAAGCGCGCCTCAGTTTAAGAACGGTTTTGGTTTAAAAATGGACTGCCGGAACGGATTAAGTTTGTAATCCGAGGTACCACTGCATAAGGGACGTAAACAGGTATTTCGCTGAGATAGGAAAAGGGGGTAGGCCATAATTTGTTTCTGTTAAAGGAAAGAAGCGAAGGGTCAAGCTGACTTGAAAAATATTTATTCTCCAAAAAGAGCCCACCAGTGGTAGCACCAGGGCATGTCTTTGAGGGAGAAGCCCAGGTCCCCACTCAGAAGAATGAGCAGCAGGGTCCCAAACACAGCAGGCTACCACATTTCGAAATGGTGCGAGGCGAACAGCATTATTTAAACACACCCACACAAAGTCTTATTAGTCATAGGTTACCTAACTGCAGTCACTTCCAGATGACTGCAGGTTTATTGAGCATTCCTCTCGACTTGGTTTCTTTTAACTAACTTTTTAAATTGAACTGGTATGCATTCACGTCATTGTCTTTGTTGGCAAGTCCACGAATGATGGGTTTTAAAAACATTGTTTTGGTGTTTTCTTTACATTGGAATGAATATAGGTTATGGGAATAAATGATGTAGGATTTGGCAGAAACTGAGCTGCAGTGGAAGGGAAACAGCGGTCATTGTGATGAACACAGAGCCTGGATGGAATTTGCTGCCTTTTCGCACCCCACAGCTGGGTGCTGCTTCTGCTGCCTGAGGCAATTGCCCCATCTGCCTAATGGCAGGGCCCATGCACGCTGCTTGTGGCTCTGAGTCAAAAAGCGAAGGAGCCGCTTTGTTCCTTGCTATTCTTGACCGAAGCCACACTTGTCAAGTTCCTCCCAACAGGGCTGCTGTCAAACCAGCAGCTCCTTCCAGCTGGCGTCTAAATAGCTGGACTGTAGTCACGCAGTCGCACGCTCAGCTCCGGCCAGACTATCGCATCATCCCGCTGAGAGGAGCACAGCTCCATCGAGTAAGATCAGCATGGCTGGAGGCCAGATGTGGCTGGCGCTGACCTTTGCAGCTGCTGCTGCTGGATCCGGGAAGACAATGGACAATAGACACACTCAGGGTTAGCGGCGGAAGGAAAAGCAGGATTAAAAGGCAGCTGGACAAAGAGAGTCTTGCGCTGAGGCCTGCATGTATTTCTCACCCCAGTCAACATGGCAGGGGTGAGCAGATCAGGGTCTGCTGGTAGGGTGATCTGTATCTAAACAGCATGGGTCCCTTTTTGTGTGCAAAAACTTGAGATTTATTAATGGGTTTACGTATTGACACCATTCATAACTGTTTTAGTATGGTTTTTTTTTAATTGGCATAGCAGTTGTCCATCTGGCATGTTGAGAGCCTCTTTGGGGCAGTTTTTTCTTTGAAGCGTAGCATACAAACAGATGAACCAAATTGAATTAAATTAACAATAATAATGGCGGCGGCAGCAGCAGCAACAGCAAAATGACTTTTTGTTAGGCTGCACAAACGAAGAAAGCTAACCAGGAGTGCGACTTTTTGTGTTAAGGGACGAAACTGAGCTTTATGTATTTATCATTTCATTTATATCCCGCCTGGTTAGACTGAGAGGCAGTGACTGGCCCAAGATGAGCTTCGTGGCCAAGTGAAGATTTGATCTCCTAGGTCCTACTCTGGACACTCTAACCACCACAACACAGCAGTTGTCCCTGCAGGCTTGCTGGGAAAGCACCTGCACTTCCAAGCCTTTTCAAAATTTAGTTACGAGCTCAGCGTTACTAATTGTGCTGATCTTAAACCAGAATTTCAATGCAGACAAGTCTCCCAGGCCACCTTTTCCAGAGCTAGCAGTCCTGGCATGGCAGCAGGGGCCCAGAGCGGTGCTAATGTACCCCCTGCCTCTGCCTGGGGCAATTAATTGTTCACTTGCCTCACTGAAGTGCCACTCTGCAGCTAATGGAGCCAGAAAGACTGCAACTATTTCCTGGAGGTCAGTGGCAAAGTTGCCAGGGGGACGTCTTCTCTTCGGTTAATCAGTGATAAATGGCACAAGGTTCTTATGAGATAGTTGGAGATGACTCATCCTTCGTTCCCCCCCTCCTCCAGCCAGAGGGAGGGAGAAAAGCAAGAAAAACAATCAAAAGCATTTCGGGAGGCAGACTAAAAGTTTTTCAGTAAGATTGGCTGGGAAAGAGAGACTGCTGGACACGTTTTGAGGTGCTATCGACACTGGCGGAGGAAGGGGGTGCGGTCCGCACCAGGTGTCATCCCTGAGGGGGGTGACATCACCGCACCCCCCCCGGATGCTCGCTGCGGGTGGTGCCCCCCTGGGACATTAGCCCCGCCCCAGGTGCACAGCAGCTAGCTCCGCCTCTGGCTCTGGACGCATTTTGAGGTGCTCTAAACATTTTTAGTTTTGGAAGGCAGGGAGGAAGAAAAAGCCCAGCCAGGGTGGGCTAAACAAACACACACAGAGAGAGAGAGAGAGAGAGAGAGAGAGAGAGAGAGAGGGGCACAGGCAGTAATCTTGGCTTTTATTATAAGCGGAGTGTCTTGGTGGCAGAAAGGACGATGGGGGCAACTCTTTCTCCTTGGCAAAGAGTCAGACAAGGCACGGTGCTGAGGCCTTACTACACAGCAAGCAGGGCAAGAGGTGGGATAGGCACAAACAAGCGGCTTCTCCGTTAGGTACAGGGTCAGATGTGCTCCACCTACAATCAAGCGTGCTTCATCTTGGGAGTGAGCAGCAGGCAAGCGAACATGATTTGCGGCACGAGGGGAGAGGGCAAAGGCGACACAGCGGAGTCTGGCTACTCGCAGCTCACTCTGGGAAGCTCAGACATGGCTCAAAACAGCTGAAATGTAAGGACAAGACCAGAGTCTGGCAGCGGAAAAGTGGATGGGTGAGCTCTTTAAATGGTCCTTTATTGGGGTTTCTCATCCTGAATGAAGCAAGAGCCGATTGTCTCTGTTTTGGCAGCCATTCTCGGAGGGCCAACCCACCTCACGGCAAAGATTGCCAAGGCAGATCTGAACGCAACAGGTGAACCATGTGGCGCAGAGTCTTCATGTCCTACTGTGGTTGGAATGCTCTCCTTCAGGAAAGCTCCCTGCATGCAGAAAACTAGCATGTCAAGGGGAAAGGCTAGGCCAAAGCCACAGCCAGGTTTCTGCAAGTACCATATAACCCTCTTGGCCCAGAATCCAAACTTGTAAAAGGACAACAGCACCTGTCATCTTGATTGTGTATCCCACAAGCCCATACATGCACCCGCCTCCTATTCCAGCCACGGGACTGGTGGCAACGTAGGATTGTTCCAGAAGCTAACATAGATATAAGGCACAATCAGATGTTGATTTTAAAGGGGGGGGGGGGAATAAATATGCATTCATTACACATCTTGTCTCTGTTAATACGCACCTACCAGAACAGTGTTTGGCCACCTGCCCACTGTGCCAAATGCAGCGTGGAACATGCCTTTGGCTTCGTATACTTGTGGCTTAGTGCAGAGTGGCCGTAAACACATGCCCCTTGAAAAAGCGAGATAGTACGTGTGTGTTTTAAACAAAGTATAAGAGCAACAACAAAAGGGAGCAAGATTATTTGAATTTTGCCAAGTGGGGGCATCTCAGCCATGCCCAAGAACTATGGCACAAAGGGAGAAGGGGCTGAATTAGCGTGGGCATACATACACAGAAAAATATAAGTGGTTTTAGGTCTATGGAGCTAGCAAGAACTGTGTCCACGCCCGTTCTTTAAGCATCGGTCAATAGTGTAGGACTGGCCCTCTAAAACGTCTCCACTCGCTGAAGGCAGTTCCTTAGAACATCCACTGGACCCACCTTACATAAACTCAAAACTCTTACAAGTCCTTGTTGGCAAAGCACCCGGGAACCAACCAACCTCTAAAGGGCAGGCCTTGGATCCCCCTTCCTCCCAGATTCCTCCTTGCTGCCTCCCCAGTAATTCCAGCAGCAGATCCTTCCTTAAATTCTCCAAGAGAAGTCACTTGCAGGAGGTACACGGTGACCCGACGAGCTCAGGCAACAATGCAAAGAAGTGGCGTCAACGGGTGCAGTTGGTGGGGGAACGAGCGCAACAGAAGCATGGCATGACAAGCGGCAATGGGTGCCAGGGTGCTTACAAGGTACACGTCGGGGTTGACACTGGGAGACAGCAAGGGTGACAGACCTCAGCAGTTTCAAGGATTGTTGGCCAACATGCAACAGTCGAGTCCATTCAAGGTTTAGCGATTACAGGAGGGCTCAGGATGGGGAAGAACTCTATATATGGACACATACAAGATGACGAGGGTCACGCTCAGGAAGGATTTCCCCCTCTCCCTCCCCCTCCGCAAGTCTTCCGCATTCAGTTCATCCGTCTTGGCTTCTGCTGATTCATCTGCTGGTAAGACGGAAAAGACAAAGTGCGACGGATTAAGCCCACGCCGTAGGAAAAGGGGAGGTAAGAAAAAGCACCCGAGGTTCCTCAAGTCCCACTCTCTCCTTGGATAACCGAGGAGCTGCGATTCGAAAACGCCCATCCCCACGATCTTTCCTCCTTCCGCAGAATATGGCTCCCAGGTTCCCTTTGCTGGTGTTGGGGAGAAAGGGGGCAGGGATGGCTCCTTACTCGTGCTTCAAAACGCCTTCCCGCTGCAACTAGAACGTTGCCAGTGACCAAAGCACCAGATAAGTCTTCTCTCCCTCTTGCCCTCATCTAAGAATCAGTGGAGGCTGGTCTGTTAGGGTAAATGGGGCACTGCCCCACCAAACTCAGCTACCTGCCTGCCTCCCCACTTACAAACTGCCCAAGATGTGCTTTGGCTGTCGGCTTCCTCCTCCTCAGCGTTGACTAGGTAGAATTCAGCTGGGAGGAAGATGGGGAACAAAACCAGGAGTTGGCTCCGCCCACCATTGACTCTGGCTCCGCCCACTCTCTGCCACCCTGCCATCTACCCTCCGGGGGGGGAGGGGAACCAGCCCCCCCCGTTAAGGACCTAGCAGCTCTGGCTTGGTACCTGAGAGATGCTAACGCCTGTGAGTTTCTCCACGGTGTCAGGCAGCCTGCTCATGATTTCCAGCACCTCCCCAGTTATCTTGGCAGCCCCCATGTCCCCGGGTCCGCTCGATACCATGGTGATCTTCTTCACTGAAGTCAGGGGCTTGCTGATCTCGTCGGCCATCTGTCGGCAGAAGGAAACAGTAGAATGCAGTCGTAGCTTGACCCCAAACACCCTGGAACTCGGGACGTTTTGGCTCCCCAACGCCGCAAACCCAGAAGTGATTGTTCCGGTTTGCAAACGTTCTTTTGGAACCTGAACGTCCCATTGGGCTTCCGCGGCTTCTGATTGGCTACAGGAGCTTCCTGCAGCCAATCAGGAGCCACAATTTGGTTTTGGAAGTCGAATGGACTTCTGGAACGGATTCTGTTTGACTTCCAAGGTACGACAGTATGCACATTTACATGTGTTTGTTTGTATGTGTGTGCGTATCTCTCTCTGTATATTTATCTTTTTCTTTCTCTCTCTCTCATATTTGGCAGAGAATCCGGTAACTGGCACAAAACTGGAAAACTGGACAGCTCTGCCAGAATCATGAGCCTCTGAACAGAATCAAGAACAAAAGCAAACATCTAAGCTCTAGAATGCTGCGACGTTTAGTTGATTAACTGATAAAAAAAAAGGACTGGCTAAGAACATCTGATTGGTCAGCAGATATATATAATAAAAAAATTCCTTCCCGTAGCACCTTAGAGACCAACTAAGTTTGTTGTTGGTATGAGCTTTCGTGTGCATGTTCATACCAAGAACAAACTTAGCTGGTCTCTAAGGTGCTACTGGAAGGAATTTTTTTATTTTGTTTTGACTACGGCAGACCAACACGGCTACCTATCTGTAACTATATATATAGTTTTCATCCCCAAAAAGTTTTTGATTTGAGTTTCTACTGAAATGAGGCTGCATTTTAATGTTGTATTTTTATCTTGTTTTTAAGTTGTATTTTAATCAATTGTTTTTATACCTGGTGTTAGCCACCCTGAGCCCGGCCTTGGCTGGGGAGGGCAGGGTATAAATAAAATATATGATGTATAAACACGGTCCAAATACATTTTTTACCAGAAGGAATTATAAAAAACGGAATTATACAAGAAACGGCAAACAGGCTAACTTTCTGGACCAGGTTTTGCTCTCTATCCTGCTGCCATTACTGACACCTCCCGTATTTGTTTGAAGTATAGTGTCCCCTTATTGAGAGAGCGGGGCCTCACCTCTGGAATCTTCTCCAGAAGCATGTCCACCATGGCTACTTCCTGGTACTGCTGGAAGGCCTCTGCCTTCTTTGACATCTGCTGGGCATCAGCCCGGGCCTTGGCCTCAATAGCGAAGGCCTCAGCCTCACCCTTCACCTGCAGACAAGGAGCAAAAAGGACCATGAGTTGGCTTCCATCCCTCCTGCCTGGAAACATTCCTCCCACAACACGGGGGAACGGGGACACACACTCACCCGGATGGCCTCTGCTTCAGCCTCCGCCTGCATGATCAACTGTGTCCTGTTAGAGAAGAAAGAAGGAGGGTCTTCATGGCTGCTCCCTGCTCCCCACAGCCAAAAAAGGGGGGTCTTATCCGCAACCTTTTTGCCTCACAAAACGGAGGTCGAAACCAGGAGGGTCAAGGATATAGCAAGCTCAGGGTTTGGGAACACATTATTATTATTATTATTATTATTATTATTATTATTATTATACCACCCTTTATCCAAAGATCTTAGGATGGTTCATAGCATATCAGCATACCATACCTTAATATCTATCTATCTATCTATCTATCTATCTATCTATCTATCTATCTATCTATCTCTGTATAGAATTGTGTGTGTGCACATGCATGTAAGGATTTTTGTGTTTTGTGCATAATTTGGCAGAAAACTTAATTGCAAATCTCAGGAAAAGGAACAGTTTACTTGTCTGGGGAGAAGAATGGGTACGGGGGGGTTGGTGGTGGAGAGAAATGCAGTTCTCCCTGCTCTGAATTATGAAGAGGCTGCAAATTAATATTTAAAGATTTAAAAAATAATAATCCTGAGGGGGCTTTTTACAAAAAACAACAAGAAAACACCCCCCCAAGTTTATATGTATACAAATATTGATACACATTTGTAAATGACAGTGACTGTGCATTTTGTAATTGTTGAATACTGCTCTTTTAATATCATTAGATAAATAATACAATGTGCTAAGCAGCTCAGCTAGCTGAAGCCCAGAGCAGGGGTTCCCACGAGTGCAGTGGGGCAGATTTCCACCCTGTACCCCCAACAAAGGTGACCCGGCAAGGGTCAGGAAAACCCCCAGAAAAGCAGAAGGAGCAGAGGGGGGAGCTGAAAAGCTCGCTCTGACAGAACAATAGCTGTAGTGTAACATCGACTTCCTCCCACGGAAATGAAAAGTATGCATTATTTCCGGGCAAATGATACCATCCAGTGCCATCTATATCTCCAGGGGGATTCTGCATCTGTTTTAGTGTCTGGTAAAAACAGAAGCAGCAGCTCCAGCAGCCTCTGCACAGAAAAAGATGGAGGGACACGCCCTGCGTTGAACCCAAGGTGAACTGTTCCGGAAGCACCATTTTGGTAGTCAACCCCACAATTAATTGGTAGTCATAGTAACTGTGAGCTCTTTGTTCTCACAAGCGAGTGGGAAACAAACTGCGTACCGTCAATAGATTGGTAGTTGTTGCAGAAACAAGCTCATAAATGATTATATTCGCTCGCTCCAATGTAGTCTAATTGGCCTGTTTTGATGTTAGGCTTATCTGCAGGACTGGGGTGCTGGGCTCTGAGCCCAGAAAAGGGGAGCTATCTGTAAGATTTGGGCATTTGCCACTTACGGCCTCACCTGGGCCAAAGTGATGTCCTGGCCAAAGGGCTTTGTGTAGAAAGAATATACAGTGGTACCTCGGGTTAAGTACTTAATTCATTCCGGAGGTCTGTTCTTAACCTGAAACTGTTCTTAACCTGAGGTACCACTTTAGCTAATGGGGGCTCCTGCTGCCGCCGGAGCCCGATTTCTGTTCTTATCCTGAAGCAAAGTTCTTAACCTGAAGCACTATTTCTGGGTTAGCGGAGTGTGTAACCTGAAGCATATGTAACCTAAAGCGTATGTAACCCGAGGTACCACTGTACAGTGATACCTTCTGTTATGGACGGGATCCATCCCGGAGGCCCGTCTGTAACGTGAAATGCTGGCAACTTGAAGTGTTGCGTCTGCGCAGGCGCGATTTGGTGCTTCTGCGCATGCACAAGCAGCGAAACCTGGAAGTAACCTGTTCCGGTACTTCCAGGTTGCCGTGGGACGTAACGTGAAAAGACGCAACATGAAGCGGACGCAACACGAGGTATGACTGTACAAATATTTGCTTGGGCACAGACAAACTATCTCCTTGCTGCAGTGTCCATCCCACATCTGCAAAGGTTGGGAGACCTTGTAGGCTGATTTGCTCTACAGCAGGGGGCCGGTCCACTGTCCCTCAGACCTTGTGGGGGGCCGGACTATATTTTGGGAAAAAATATGAACGAATTCCTATGCCCCGCAAATAACCCAGAGATGCATTTTAAATAAAAGCACACATTCTACTCATGTAAAAACATGCTGATTCCCAGACCATCCGCGGGCCGGATTTAGAAGGTGATTGGGCCGGATCTGGCCCCCGGGCCTTAGTTTGCCTACTCATGCTCTACAGCTTTCTTTAAAAATACATACATACATACATACATACATACATACATACATACCCTGCCCATCTGGCTGGGTTTCCCCAGCCACTCTGGGTGGCTCCCAACAGAATATTAAAAAGATAAAACATCAAACATTAAAACCTTCCCTAGCAGGGCTGCCTTCAGGTGTCTTCTAAAAGTCAGGTAGTTGTTTATTTCCTTGAAATCTGATGGGAGGGAGTTCCACAGGGCGGGTGCCACTACCGAGAAGGCCCTCTGCCTGCTTCCCTGTAACCTTGCTTCTCGCAGTGAGGGAACTGCCAGAAGGCCCTCAGAGCTGGACCTCAGTGTCCGGGCTGAACGATGGGGGTGGAGACGCTCCTTCAGGTATACTGGGCCGAGGCCGTTTAGGGCTTTAAAGGTCAGCACCAACACTTTCAATTGGAAACGTACTGGGAGCCAATGTGGTGGTTTTGACAATCCTGCTTCGGTATCCCTGCGCCCAACTCCTCCCAGGAGCCCTCCTTTGGGCCTTCGAACGCTGCCTGTACCTCTCAGCCTCCGCCAGTTTCTCCAGCCGGAAACGCTCTGCCTCGGCGGGCTTCTTGACCTTCGCCTCCAGCTCGCGCTCCTTGCGGATCATTTCCTGCTCCTGTATCTGAATCTGCTGGGCTCGCTCCACCACCAGCACCTGCATCTTCTCCTCCTCGATCTTCTGCTTCGTCTTGGCTACCTGCAGAGCATGGAAGAGACACAGAAGGGAGAGGCTCGGGGTCAGGGAACAGCTTGCGGGGTTTGGTCAAGCGGGCAGTGCCTTGGAATCTGGTGGAGGCAGAAACTACAGAAGCAGGAAACTACAGTTTAGCATGCCAAGAGTGAGCCTACTGTTCGCTTGGGCTACAACACTCTCTTCACCTGGTGTGGATGTGAGGACAAGTTCAGAGTTTGAACCGTTCTGCTTGTCCCAGGATTGTCTGAGTAGTTTTCTGTTTGACCCATGCTTTCTAGACATGGCTCCAAGCTGTTTTCTCCTGGTCCCGCTCCTTCCCCAGGGAAAACCTGCTCTTTAGTTTTAAATTGGAGCCAATGGCAATCTGGAGAAAACCCAAGTTGCTGTTTGCTCCGACTGAGCACTAGAGAGTGGTTTTCTGGGGGGGGGGGGAGCAGCATGACAGGAGGAAGTGGTTACAGTGGTACCTCGGGTTACAGACGCCTCAGGTTACAGACACTTCAGGTTACAGACTCCGCTAACCCAGAAATAGTACTTCGGGTTAAGAACTTTACCTCAGGATGAGAACAGAAATTGTGCGGCGGCAGCGAGAGGCCCCATTAGCTAAAGTGGTGCTTCAGGTTAAAAATAGTTTCAGGTTAAGAACAGACCTCCGGAACGAATTAAGTTCTTAACCCGAGGTACCACTGTACTCTTAACTGCATTTGGTGGAAACAAGTCAGCTTGAAAAAATTTCTCCTCCTCTATCTTCCTTCAGATTTTTCTTTCTTTTCCTTCTCTCTTGCTTTCTCCTTCTTTAAATCTCTTTTTTTCTTGTGTTTTCTCCCTTCTTTGCTCTTTTTCAGATTAAGTAGTTGTTTTATCTCAGTATGTTAGAAATAGATATTTTGTAATGGGTATGTATTTCTGCGTACTGTATCTCTGAATAAGTATCAACTTTTAAAAAAATGGATTGTTTTCACTAACTGTTAATTATGTATATTTTCAGTCACAAACATCACAAACCTAAAGAAGAGGCTGCGCCAATAACATTCCTACAAAAACAGAACAAATGGAAGGCAAGGAAAAGGGCATTTAGGCAGGATCTTTCTTGGCAAAGGAAAATGTTGAGATTTGGGACATCATTTTACATTCAGCAGAGAAGGGGAGGGCAGCCTTTTTCAGTCCATTTCTGGAATAATAAATTTTCAGAGTACTTCTTACAACTATATCAAAGATTACTGATTTGATTATACTGTTAGAAAAACATAGACAGATAGTTATGAAATTATGTGAGGTTTAATAAGTTAACTGTTTATATTTGGACAACTTTTCTACTGTACTTTATTGGAGGGAGAAAAATAATCATTTCCTTAATAAAAATGTAAACGATTTATTTAACTAAAACAATAACATTACAGTGGTACCTCCGGTTGCAGACGGGATCCATTCCAGAGCTCTGGCCGGATCCTGAGGTTTCCGCAACCAGAGGGACCGCTTCTGCACATGTACACACGGTGAAACCCCCAAAAAATACTTCCTGAAGGATACGCAACCAGAGGTGTGCGTATCCAGAGGTACCACTGTATAGCATATGTATCCATGTTTGTTAACTGATGTGGTTAAACAAACAAGAAAACCAGACTTGAATTTTAGCACACAAGAAAAACTTAAAACAAATCCTTATTTCCTGATGAATAGCCTTTGGCTACAATGTAACTTAAATAGAAAACTATCTTTAGAAAGGTTTTCTCTCCAGAAGCACTTTATTTTAAGAATCTGATTTAAATAAACAAAAAAATTTAAATTTTAAAAATCCAATTTCTAAAAAAACCATTGATTTTTATCCACCCTGCTCCTGTGACTTATTTCCCCTTCCTCTGCCCATCACCTTCCATAACTAAAGCTTGCCTCACCTGGAGCTGATAGGCCAGGTCAGACTCCGCTTTCCGCGTGTTCACCTCGTAATCGTAAGTGGCCTTCTTCAGCTCATAGTCCCGCTGGGCTTTGGCCATTTCTGTTTCGCTCAAGTACTGAGCAGACAATTTCTCCTGCTTGGCCTTTGCTTCCTGCAGACGGAAACAGGGGCGACAGATCAGTTTCGGACCTTCCACTTGCATCGGGTTAGATGGGTTGGGCACAGAAAGAGGCAACTGGATTTCCCCCCAAAGACGGCAGGAAAGGGAACACATACCCCGCCCAGAAAAAAATGGCTCACCTTTAACAAAATAATAGCAGCAAATAAAATGCGAGGAAACTTTTAAATGGGGGTGAGGCCCACCTTGGGAAAACTCTGACCTTCTGCCTGGAGGAGAGAGGCCTCAGGTGCCGAATTCCCAATGGGAATAGTGACGAGAGAAAATGTCTTGCGATGCAAACCTGAATAGTCCCTGACAACATCACCAGGCAGGAGATCTCAGCCCTTTTTTCCACTCTCCTATTTGCACGATTTGAAAACTTCCAAGCTCCAAACAGCTGCACATTTCAAAATGCAGTGCAAGTGCCGTATGGCCAACTCACATTTTAAAATGTGAGTTGGGTTTTCCTTTCGTATCTTGGTTCTCGAACGCCTTGGTACTCATATGTTTTGGCTCCTGAACGCCATAAACCCGGAATTAAGTGTTCCGGTTTGCAAACCAAACGCTTTTCGGGAACCGAATATCCGACGCAGCTTCAGTTTGAGTGCAGGAAGCTCCTGCAGCCAATTGAAAGCCGTGCCTTGGTTTTCAAATGGTTTCGGAAGTTGAACCGGCTCCCGGAACAGATTAAGTTTGAGAACCAAGGGACCACTGTACTTGTTTAGGTGAGTGATTGGTGTGTGTGTGTGTGTGTGTGTGTGAGAGAGAGAGAGAGAGAGAGAGGGGCATAACGTTGGAGGAGGGCCTTTGCAAAATATCTCAGCTCCCCCACGGCGGCTGGGAAGGGCAACGAGGGTGACACTTCTCTAGCGGTTTAATTACAAGTGATTCTAAAGCGCTGCCCTGTTCAGGGAAGTTTTTAATGTGTGACGTTTTAATGTATTTTTGATCTTTGTTGGAAGCCGCCCAGAGTGGCTGGGGAAGCCCAGCCAGATGGGCGGGGTACAAATAATAAATTATTATTATTATTATTATTATTATTATTATTAAAGATTATCGTATCATATCGTATTGTAATGTGTTTTTTTTAAATTGCTGAAGTGGTATCCAAAAATAACACTGAAGCAATAACCCAAGAGGAAAAAGCTCCAGCATTATAAAAAAATGGGAATTCAGAAATAAAAAGGAACAATCTTATGAGTTAAGTAAACCCAGAGGAAAAAAATACGTGCAGGATTCACAAAAGGAGCCCTGAAGAAGGACTTCTGCTTGCACAATGGGCTAATAAGAATAAGAATCTTATTACTTAAACCGAGCCCATCTGGCTGGGTTTCCCCAGCCACTTTGGGCGGCTTACAGCATATATAAAACAATAGTAAAACACAAAGCATTGAAAATGTCCCAATACAGGGCTGCCTCCAGATGTCTTCTAAAAGTCAGGTAGTTGTTTATTTATTTGACATCTGATGGGAGGGCGTTCCACAAGGGCAGGTGCCACCACCAAGAAGGCCCTCCGCCTTGTTTCCTGTAACTTCGCTTCTCACAGGGAGGGAACCGCCAGAAGGCCCTCGGAGCTGGACCTCAGTGTCTGGGCAGAATGATGGGGGTGGAGACGCTCCTTCAGGTATACTGGGCTGAGGCTTTCCTCCCCTCTCCTTTCACTGTACACCCCTGGAATTTTTCTCTGGCGATGGGAAAGGAAAACCCAACCCAAAGGCTTCACAAGATGTCTGAAGCAGCTAACAGGTGGTGGTTCAAATATGGCAAGCGGGAAGGGCATTCCACAGTGCATGAGATACAGCCAATCTCACAGAGCCACTTTCCTACTTTCTGGTGGGCATCTCCAGAGTAAATAGAAAAAATCCAAAAGACCAAGATTAGCAGGAGAGGCCGGTTCACTCTAGGGGCCTGGTCCCAGAGCTCACCTTGATACCAGCATCCCTCTTAGCTTCAGCTTCTCCAATCCTCGCATCCTTCTGCACCTGAGCCGTCCGAGCTTTCCCCAGAGAGTGAAGATAGTCCTACAGTTGGCACAAGAGAAGGGGTTAATATTATGGACAAGAAGTGCAAATATACCAAGGCGCCTTTGATACTTTGCAATACACTCTTGTTACGTTCGGTTCAGGTTGCGTCTTTTCAGGTTGCATCCCGAAGCGACCCGGAAGTACCGGAAAGGGTTACTTCCGGGTTTCACCGCTTGTGCATGCGCGGACGTGCAAAATGACGTCACACACATGCACAGAAGCAGCGAATTGCAACCCGTGTGAGCGCAGACGCGGGTTGCGTTCCTTTCAGGTTGTGAATGGATCCCGTTCACAACCAGAGGTACCACTGTATACTGATTACCACTTGAACCTTTTTTATAAAATGCCATTTTTGTCCTGGTATGTAATAATAACAAGAGAAGATGGAACAGCCAATAAAACCCTGGGTGCAGTGTTCAAAACTCCCATTGCTCCAGGAGCATTTTGCGACAGGGAATTGCATTTGTGTGAGCTGTTTCTGAGCTCTGGGCGCAGTGCTGCGCCTAAGATTTCCACTTAAAACTACAGAATGGATGGAAAAAAGGACCTTTTTCTGTCTCCCCACTTCCAGCTGCTCTCTGAAGACTGGAGAAGAGACCCTCTTAAGAATATTAGGGCGGTAAGCAGGGGAAGGACTAGACCATGTGAAAAATGAACATAATATTCTAACTGCAGTCCACTCATTTTCAGCTTTGTATTCTTGTTATAAAAAAGCGTGCCTAGACATTCCATTGTTGCACCCATAACCAGGTTTAAGGTTCCATTTAGCTCCTAGCTTTCATATCTCAGTTCCTAACACTCCCTGGATGCTACCCTGGGCTCCTTTGGGAGGAAGGACAGGATTATATATGTAATAAAAATAAACAAAACAAAGTAACATTTTGCAACAAAGCACAGAGGAAATAGAGAGCCTTGTTTTGTTTCACCAGTGCCGCTGATGAAGTGAATATCAGGAAAAGTACCGTATTTTTAGCCCTATAGGACGCAATTTTTCCCCTCCAAAAATGAAGGGGAAATGTGTGTGCGTCCTATGGGGCGAATGCAGGCTTTCGCTGAAGCCTGGAGAGCGAGAGGGGTTGGTGCGCACCGACCCCTCTCGCTCTCCAGGCTTCAGGAAACTCTGCGCAAGCCGCGGGAGCCCTCCCCCGCCTTGCGCAGAGCCGCCTCTTATCCCGAAGCCCCGGCGCGCTGGGCAGTCACGCCGTGGCTTCGGGTAGCTCAGCGCAAGCCGCGGGAGGGCTCCCCCGGCTTGCGCAGAGCTGCCTCTTATCCCAAAGCCCCAGCGCGCTCTGCAGAGCGCAAAATACGGTACTATTTTAGTGCACCTTATAAATCCTATCTTCTCTTGTTCTGCGTTGGTGCATTACAGAAATTAGGAAATGTTCCATATTCACTAACAAAAGAACTATGTTAAGGTTTTTATTGTTTATTGACGTCACCAATGGAATTCTAACCCTAGTCACTTTATGGAAAGGGACCAAAGCCCCTGAAATGATATTGATATACCTAAAGCTAGTTCCTAGAGGGACAAAACAGTGGGAGAGAGAGCTGTTACCTTCATGCGGAAGTGGCCAAAGCTCAGAGGTTGAGTGTCTACCTTGCATGCAGAAATTCCCAGGTTCAGTCTCTGGGTAGGGCTGGGGAAGAATCCCACCTGAAGCTCTGGAAAGCTGCTGCTTTCGATGCAAAGACTAGACTGAGCTCTGGGTGGACCGCTGATCCGACTTGGTACAAGGCAGCTTCCTGTTTTCTTACCTGGTCATCGTGTATGTCTTTGAGGGTGTAGCTGACCACACTGATCCCCATGTTGACCAGGTCAGAGGAGGCAACTTTGAAGACCTGCTCGGAGAACTTCTGCCGGTCCTTGTATATTTCCTGACGGGCAAACAGAGACAGCAGAGGGTATTATACCCAGAGAGGGAAAAGCAGCCAGGAACAGGAATCGAGTCCTAGGCTTGCCCACCTTTCCATCCCAACCGGGTCCATTTATTTCAGACTTCCAGGACTTGGTCAGTTCCTACAACCGCTCTCAGTTCCAACCTGATAATTGCCACCTGCCCAGATTTTAACTTGTCTGAGTTACAGTGGTACCTCGGGTTAAGAACTGAATTCGTCCCGGAGGTCCGTTCTTAACCTGAAACTGTGCTTAACCTGAGGTACCACTTAAGCGAATGGGGCCTCCCACTGTTGTCGCCACTCAACTTCTGTTCTCATTCTGAGGTAAAGTTCTTAACCCGAGGTACTACTTCTGGGCTAGAAGAGTCTGTAACCTGAAGCGTCTGTAACCCGAGGTACCACTGTAATTTTAAGATGTATTTTAATTAATTGATGTCTGTTTTTATGCATATTGTGTTGTTTTTATGATGTTAGCCACTCTGAGCCCAGTCTCAGCCGGGATACAACAACAACAACAACAACAACAACAACGTTGTTTAGTCGTTTAGTCGTGTCCGACTCTTCGTGACCCCATGGACCAGAGCACGCCAGGCACTCCTGTCTTCCACTGCCTCCCGCAGTTTGGTCAAACTCATGTTCGCAGCTTCGAGAACACTGTCCAACCATCCCGTCCTCTGTCGTCCCCTTCTCCTTGTGCCTTCAATCTTTCCCAACATCAGGGTCTTTTCCAGGGAGTCTTCTCTTCTCATGAGGTGGCCAAAGTATTGGAGCCTCAGCTTCAGGATCTGTCCTTCCAGTGAGCACTCAGGGCTGATTTCCTTAAGAATGGAGAGGTTTGATCTTCTTGCAGTCCATGGGACTCTCAAGAGTCTCCTCCAGCACCATAATTCAAAAGCACCAATTCTTCAGCGATCAGCCTTCTTTATGGTCCAGCTCTCAATTCCATACATCACTACTGGGAAAACCATAGCTTTAACTATACGGACCTTTGTTGGCAAGGTGATGTCTCTGCTTTTTAAGATGCTGTCTGGGTTTGTCATTGCTTTTCTCCCAAGAAGCAGGCGTCTTTTAATTTCGTGACTGCTGTCACCATCTGCAGAGATCATGGAGCCCCAGAAAGTAAAATCTCTCACTGCCTCCATTTCTCCCCCTTCTATTTGCCAGGAGGTGATGGGACCAGTTGCCCTGATCTTTGTTTTTTCGATGTTGAGCTTCAGACCATATTTTGCGCTCTCCTCTTTCACCCTCATTAAAAGGTTCTTCCAATACTTTGGCCACCTCATGAGAAGCGAAGACTCCCTGGAAAAGACCCTGATGTTGGGAAAGATGGAGGGCACAAGGAGAAGGGGACAACAGAGGACGAGATGGTTGGACAGTGTTCTCGAAGCTACCAGCATGAGTTTGACCAAACTGCGGGGGGCAGTGGAAGACAGGAGTGCCTGGCGTGCTCTGGTCCATGGGGTCACGAAGAGTCGGACACCACTAAATGACTAAACAACAACAAAAACAACACACATTTCCCAGCAGGGGGCAGCATTATGTATACACAGTGACCGAAACTCATCCCTTCCAGCAGAGGGCAGCAAAGATTGAACATATTCTGGCAAAGCTCACCTCTACGGTCATGTGGGCCATGATGGCTCTCTGGTGCCCCTCTAGCGTTTCCAAAGCAATCTGGGCAATCTCGAGCTCTGATTTGCCCAGAAACATCTGGCAAGCAGCTGCCAGCATCTCCTTGTTCTGTCCCTGGATCTTCACCTATGTTGGGGGTGGGAGGTGGGGCGGAAAGAGAAGAAAGCTGAGAAAGAGAAAGGATTGCCCCCCCGCCCCAAGTTTCCTAACAACTCTCGCATCCTGTTTTAGGTAATCGTCAGATTGGAGACATTTTCCCTTTAGGAGGAAGAGCCGTTTCTGGAATTTCTGCAAGCAGGGAGCTGCTGCAGCCCAGAACATCTTGCTTTTTGCTAGCCGTTAAGTTGGAGGAAATTTAATTCAGCGAACATCAGCACAAGGCTGGCGTCGTACTCTAGCATTTATTTAGATGATTATACACTGCCCCCTTTCGCAAGCCACAGACTGGTTTGCAACAAAGGCAAATGAAAAAACCCCCCAGAAAGCAACACAGTTCTTAAAATACAGACTGCAGGCCTTGGCTTTGATCTATGGGCTTCTTTTAAAATGAGGCTGCATTTTAAATTGCATTTTAACCTGTATTTTAAATTGGTTTCCCCCCCCTATTATGTTTTTACTGTAATTTTATTGGTGTTAGCCGCCCTGTGCCCAGCTCTGGCCGAGGAGGGTGGGGTATAAATAAAATTTATTATTACTATTATGGAAGAAGTGTGGTTTTGCAAGTATTTGGGTCCCAGGCTGTAATGCTAAACTTTGAATCCTCCCACTCCTGCCGCCAATATTGTGAGGGCCAGGGGAAGAGCCAAGGAAAATTTTGGAAAGAGGAGAAAGAAAAAGGAAATTAAACCGATCCGATCCCCTGCAGGGGGTGGGGGTGGCCAGATCTGTGGCTGGGGAAACCAAGCCAGATGGGCGGGGTAGAAATAATAATTATTATTATTATAAGAGGAATATAAAATCGTTCCAATGGAGGAAATCAGAAATTGCCTTTTCCACAGAACAGGGGTGAGCAACCTGCAGCCCACGGATGAATTTCATGTGGCCCTTGGCCGACGTTCTTGCAGGAAAAATGGTGCATGTGTGTGACAGAACGAAGATAGAAGGGAGCTGTCCCGAAAAGGCAGCCCACCCACATTTTGATTCTGTCCAGGCCACTGCCAGCACATGCCCCCTTCCTCTGAGCAGATGCCCCCTCAAGGAAATGCTCTAATTAAAAGGGGGGGTGGCAGCACGCTGGGAAACGGTTACCTGGGCAATGCCGGTGACAGAGATGGGGACCCCATGTCGGGTGTATACTTTTTCACTCTTCACATTCAGGGTCAGAGTATTCAGTGAGATCCTGCAGGCAACGGGAAGGAGAGAGCCAATAAAAAAGAGAAAGACACATACACCCACGTACTTCTCAGTGGTGACCTGGACTCCAGTTGAAGTTGTCCTGAGAAGCCCAAGCCAGAGGGAGTCAATGTGGCAACCTCCAAATGTTGCTAGACTACAACTCCCATAGCCCCTGTGTATTGGCCAAGCCGGCCGGGGCTTCTGGGAGTTGTAGTCTTAACCCCATCACCCTGGCTCTCCCTGGGCCTAAGGTTGCCAGTCAGATATATATTGTTGACACCGCCAATGTGGCACAACACGCCACTTCTATTCCTTGCTCAATTCAAAGGCCTCTTTTACTGACTGTCCTTCACTTTCACAGGTTTTGTCCCCCGATTGTATTTTTTTTAATTGGAATTTTATTTACAACATAACATGACCCCCCCAGCCCCCAATACAGAAATCCACCCTCATTAAACGTGAACATCACATACAATGAGCATAACATACAACAATACAAACAACCAAATAAAAGACTTCCTTTATCTTGTATCTGGCCTCCTTATTTACTTCTTATAAACCGTTTCCTTTATGAATAATTATTAAGATTTTTCTAATTATAACTTAAATATCCACAAAGTCTCCTGCAGACATTAATCGAAACAAGTCCAGGTATGTATTTTAGGGCACTGTTTTGTGAAGTATTCTCTGCATTTTCCCCATGCTTTTTGAAACTCTTGTCTAGTGTGATCTCTAATTGCCAGGTTTTATCCCCTGATTGTAGAAACCAGGGATGGATGGATTGATGGATTCAGTACAAACACCTCACTACAACCCGGTGATGTGGGTTAAGATGAGAGCGAATGAGCGAGCATGTGATTCACCCAAAGTCACCAAGTGAGATTTATGGCCCAGTGGGGATTTGAACCCAGTTCTCCCAGGTCCTATTCCAGTACTCTAACCACTATGCCATCATGGATCCAAGTCAAAAGACTTCCTTGGGCTGTTCTGACTATTCTCCTGCCATTTCTTCTACGCAAACTGCATTCTTCCCAGAATCCCTTGGCTGGAGGCCCAATCCTGACTTAGATCTAAATCTTGGCTTAGCTGTAACTGAACAACACATCTCTTTACAAGCAGGAGTTTTCATTTTTCTGGTGCTCTTTTAAGCACAAGAATTCAGTGCAAAATCTAACAGGCAGTGATGTTTGGATTTGAGAATTTAATTGTTGTTGTCTAAGCAGGGTGTGTGTGGAGGAGAGCTTGTTTCTAGCCCTCAACAGAAACTCAAAAGATGCCGTTTCTAAGTGCATATTTTTGGTGAAAGAAACTACAGCATGCCGGAGCGGAGTAAACAAAAGCCATTGTGTTGCAATATTTGGGCTATCTGGCTGGGGAGACTTTCACTCAGCCAGGTTTAGTGCATGGTAAGGGACGCGGATGGCACTGTGGTCTAAACCACTGAGCCTCTTGGGCTTGCCAATCGGAATGTCGGCGGTTCGAATCCCTGCAACGGGGTGAGTTCCCGTTGCTCTGTCCCAGCTTCTGCCAACCTAGCAGTTCAAAAGCACACCAGCGCAAGTAGATAAATAGGTACTGCTGCGGCGGGAAGGTAAACGGCGTTTCTGTGTGTTCTGACTTTTGTCAGAGTGTCCCATTGTGCTAGAAGCGGTTTAGTCATGCTGGCCACATGACCCGGAAAGCTGTCTGTGGACAAACGCCGGCTCCCTCAGCCTGAAAGCGAGATGAGCGCCGCAACCTTATAGTCGCCTTTGACTGGACTTAACTGTCCAGGGGTCCTTTACCTTTTGTATCTTTTAGTGCATGGTAGTGCTTTGAATGTATGGAGCAGATGAGGCCTTACTGGTGTCCCTCAGAGAAAGGACTCAAGATCCAAGTAGGAGAGGATTATGTTCACATTAGCTAGCCTTCAGCATCCTTGCCAAAGTCCCCTCATCCCTCCCAGGGGTTCTGCCCCAGAAGAACTCACCTCTGGATCTGTTGAATACATGGCATCACAAACACGCGTCCTCCAGCTATCATGACAGGGGGACTGCGGCAGAAACCTGAGAGGAAAAGGTTGAATTGAAGCACCTTAATGCAACACACCAAAATCACTGAAGTAAAGGGGCCTACAGTGGTACCTTGGTTCTCAAACGCCTTGGTACTCAAACAGCTTGAAACCCAAACACTGCAAAACCGGGAGTAAGTGTTCCAGTTTGTGAACTTTTTTCAGAAGCTGAATGTGCTCCGTTTTGAGTGTTACGCTTCCGATTTGAGTGCCACACTTCCATTCTGAGTGTTACGCTCAGGTCTGTCTGTTTTTGCTACTTATTTCGAGTTTTTGTTTTTGAGGCTCTTTTTTCTTTCGTTTTTGTGACTGTGTGGAACCCAGTTCAGCTACCGACTGATTGATTGTGTGACTGCAGTACTTTGATTATTGTTTTCATTTTATGGATCAGTGGTCTCGTTAGATAGTAGAATTCATGTTAAATTGCTGTTTTAAGGGTTGTTTTTAAAAGTCTGGAACCGATTAATCCTTTTGCATTACTTTCTATGGAAAGCGTGCCTTGGTTTGGAAGGCTTTGGTTTTGGAATGGAGTTCCATAACAGACTGAGTTTGAGAACCAAGGTACCACTGCACTTCCAAAACAACAACAACCTGGCTTGTTTATGATCAGGGGCAGAGAAGAGGAGAGAGAGAGAGAGAGAATCATAGAACTGTAGAGCTGGAAGGGACCTTGAGGGTCATCTAGTCCAACCCTCTGAAATGCAGGAATCTCAGCTAAAGCATCCCTGACAAGACGGCCGTCCAACCTCTGCTTAGAAACCTCCAAGGAAGGAGAGTCCACAGCCTCCCGAGGGAGACAGTTTCACTGTCAAACAGCAAATGAAAATTGCAAAGGAGGGGATGCCCAATATGATTCCCTGGAAAACCCTAAGCAGGGTGGTTGGAAAAATGGAAGGGGGGAAAAAACAACCCAACCCCTGAAATGATTCTGGGGTGAATGGATGGAAGGGCAGAACTACAGCCTCTTTTGAAATATAGTACCTTCTGTAAACAGGTTGCCAGAATCACTGCCCCTGTAACAAGCTTTCCCCATAACTGGGATGAGATGCGCAAAAGGGAGAGGGCTTTTCTGGGGGGGGGGGGGTCCTCTAGGGAACGATACTTAAGGATATAAGCAGAGCCTGTGGGATCAGGCCAAAGGCCCATCTAGGTCAGCATCCTGTTCTCAAAGTGGCCTGGGGGAAGCCAGGAAGCAGGAACCAAGCGTAGCAGCACTTTCCTTTCCAGAGGTTTCCAGGAACAGGGGTTTGTAAATTTCTGTGGTATTCACATTGACTTTTTTGTTTAAGAGGTTTCAACACCGCCCATCACCAAGAAAGACAGCAGGGTGGACTTACAAAAGCAATATAAAAAAACGCGGCACATAACAAACAGAAGTACATTAAAATAATTCTCACAAGTTGCATGAATTCCAACATCATGAAAACGACTTAGCCCGTCAGCCTCTTAAAGCCCAACAGAAAAAGCTGGGCTTTTAACCTTGCATTGAATAGAATTTGAAGGTTATATAATTCGTATACAGTGGTACCTCAGGATGCGAACGGGGCTCCGGAACGGATCCCGTTCGCATCCTGAAGCGAACGCAGTCTGTGTCTGCGCGTGACGCCATTTTGAGCGTCTGCGCATGCGCGAGTGGCGAAACCCAGAAGTAACGCGCTCCGTTACTTCCGGGTCGCCGCGGAGCGCAACCTGAAAGCGCTCACCCTGAAGCATATTCAACCCGAGGTATGACTGTATACCTTTATGAGTTTGTGGACGCCAGACCCATTCAAACCCCTGGACCCAGCAAGTGCTAAAATACAGGCCAGACTTGCTTCCTGTGTCCAGGCAATCGCCTTGGTGATGTGCCATTAAGAGAACAAAGGAAAGAGGCCTCTGTGCCAGAAGAGAAATGGGTAGGGCCCCTCCTCCAGCTCTTAAGATAGTGAGAAGGACGCAGGTTGGTTGTATTGTGACCTAGAAGCAAAGTTGTAGGCTGGAAAGCCAAAGAGGCAGAGAGCAATGTTTGATTTCCGTCTGAATCCAAAGCTGCAGATATGGGAGAAACAAGATCGATTTGGGGGTCTTGATGCTGTGAACCCCTCCATCATAGGCTGAGGTGGTATATATGTGTAAATAAAATATAGATCATAAAGGAACCAGAGTTTCTTCTGCGCCTCATGTCTGAAAGGAAACATGAACTCTGGAACTCCCGGAATCTCGTACTGCTCTGAGATTGGGGTGGCATGAAATAATATAATAGTGGGACCTATTACACCTATTATTACCTTTACCAGTGGGAGTATATACAGTTTAAAAGAAGAGAAAAAGAGACCTAAATGCAGACACACGCAGCCCGCTAACCTTCCTCATGCAGTATTTTGTCTTATTTAATATCCTGCCCGCATATTGACCACTTACAGGCTAGCCTACAAAACAAAAGAGTACCCAAAAGAAATCAAAATGTAATCGGAGCAGCAGAATATAAACAGATTAACTCAATTAAAAGGTTGTGAATAAATCATTTTAAAAGGCTGTTATAAGCTCAAGGAAGCCCACATAGAGCAGAAATAGGGGGGGGGGGGAATCAAGTAGGGAAAAGAAATCCAAGGAGACAAGAAATTCCCAAAAAAACCTCTTCAGCGAAGATGAAGTGTCCTCATTCGCCATGCAATAATGAGCATTGGAGGGAGAGGAATGGTATATCCTGAAAGAAGCCACAGCTGGAACACTGAAGAGGCATGTTCCATGCTGCAACATTTTGTTGCAGGTCCCAGGCGGACCCACCTCTTTGGTAAGAGGGAGGAAGAGAAAGTGTAGAACTCACCTGAGACAACCATGGCCTCATTGGGGCCACAGGTGAAGAACATCCTGAAGCCTGGGGGGTCTGAAAAGGAAGAAGAAACATGGATTATTTCCATGGAGTCCCACCATTCAGCTCATAATAATAATAATAATAATAATAATAATTTATTTATATCCTGCCCATCTGGCTGGGTTTCTCCAACGACCCGAGGTGGCTTCCAGCAAATATTAAAATACAATAATTCATCAAATATTAAAAGCTTCCCTAAACAGGGCTGCATTCAGATTTCTTCTAAAAGTCAGAGCGTTGTTTATTTCCTTGACATCCGGTGGCAGGGCATTCCACAGGGCAGGCGCCACTACCGAGAAGGTCCTCTGCCTGGTTCCCTGTAACTTCACTTCTCACAGTGAGGGAACCACCAGAAGGGCCTCGGAGGAGGACCTCAGTGTCTGGGCTGAACGATGGGGACGCTCCTTCAGGTATACCGGGCTGAGGCCATTTAGGGCTTTAAAGGTCAGCACCAACACTTTGAATTGTGCTCTGAAACATACTGGGAGCCAGTGTAGGTCTTTCAGGATCGGTGTTATATGGTCTTGGCAGCCACTTCCAGTTACCAGTCTAGCTGCCGCATTCTGGATTAGTTGTAGTTTCTGGGTCACCTTCAAAGGTAGCCCCACGTAGGGTGCATTGCAGTAGTCCAAGTGGGAGATAAGCAGGGCACGCACCACTCTGGCGAGACAGTCTGCAGGCAGGTAGGATCTCAGTCTGCATACCAGATGGAGCTGATAAACAGCTGCCCTGGACACAGAATTAACCTGCGCCCCATGGACAGCTGCGAGTCCAAAATGAGGCCCAGGCTGCACACCTGGTCTTTCAGGGGCACAGCTACCCCATTCAGGACTAGGGAGTCCTCCACACCCGCCCTCCCCCTGTCCCCCCAAAACAGTACTTGTCTTGTCAGGATTCAGCCTCAATCTCTGAGCCGCTATCCATCCTACAACCACTTTCTGGCCTCCCAAATGTACTAGTTTGCCCACTCAGCTTAAATTAGGCCTGGAAATAAACTGAATGCCATTTTGTCCCAGGGGAGAATGAACGTGCAGTGAAGGCCAAAATGAAAGTTAAGGCGTGGCTTAACTTAAGCTCAGCTTTAAAGACAGCGTTGCAAGAACCGCCAAGCTGGATCAGACCAAAGGCTGGATCAGACCAAAGGCGGTTTTAAAACTTGCTGCAACAGGGGCTTACAGATTCATTAGAGGTGTACTTGATCCTCCTCAATTCAGAAATGGCTGAATTCACTAATGGAACTCAGATTCCTAGAAGACTCGACCAATGTGATCTGGGTAGACCATGGTTAGGATCGGATCGTGTGATCCCTTTCCAAGGGTTTCCGAAAGCTGCAGGGTTGTCTGGTAACGGTTTTGCTTCCTTGTTGTCTAAAAACCTCCAGAACAGTTTATTCTGTCACCCACAACCTGGAACAGCGATTGCAATTGGGGCTTTGAACACAACACAGCAAGTTGCCCTGGGACTATATGGGGGTGGGGGACATACAAAATCTGGAGCCAGCCATGTAAAAGGTGCAAAAACAAACAAACAAACAAACAAACAAACAAACGGAAAACACTGTTAAATAAAGAGAGGCAGTACAGCTGCCCTTGAGCCGCCTTGTTCCCATGTAGACCTAGAAGGAACCAGATTTTGTAGCCGCAGGGGAGTTTTGGGCGTTTTATGGGGGGGGGGACTTTTTGGCTTCCATGGGTCAATGGTGAAGCCCAGCAGGCCTGAGACCAGCACAGCCTCATGGGTTGGCTTTTGTCCTCAAGGACACATCCCAAAATCCTCTGCGCCTCACGGGCGTTGCGGTGGGGCCTACGGAGGCTTCCTGACAGGTGACTCGACGTGGAAACGGTTAATCCTTTTCAGGCAGGAAGCCTGAAAAACCAAGACTTCTGTGGGCACCTGTAGAATGGGCACATCTCGAAAAAAGCTGCAAGCAGAGGGATACAGCTGGAGACTAGGGAGTGGGGGAATGACGGCAAGATACCTGGGGCAACTTTTTGAACATTTGCTTGTTCAGGAGGCCATCTGATCATGCCTTTTGGGAAGGGTCTCTGGGCAGGCAGAGGCTTCTTACAACATACGTCTAAAGCGTGCACACACACACACACATACATCCTGCCAAAAAACTAATAATACTCCTGGGAACTGTAGTGTGCTAAGGGTGCTGGGATTTGTAGCTCTCTGAGGGGCAAACAACAGCCCACGGGATTCTTTAGGGGAGTGCAAGGGAAGTGTGCGTTAAATGTATGGAGTAGGCAGCCAGGCTAACTCTGGCCCCAAGCTGTTCTTATTGCATTTACAGTGGTACCTCAGGTTACAGACGCTTCAGGTTAGTGACGCTTCAGGTTACAGACTCCGCTAACCCAGAAATAGTACCTCAGGTTAAGAACTTTGCTTCAGGATGAGAACAGAAATTGCACGGTGGCAGTGGGAGGCCCCATTAGCTAAAGTGGTACCTCAGGTTAAGAACAGTTTCAGGTTAAGAACGGACCTCCAGAACAAATTAAGTTCTTAACCTGAGGTACCACTGTATATTCCACGTGTTCCCCAAAGAGCTCGCTCAAGATGGTGTACACACTCCCCCCCCGTCCCGCTTTATCTTCACAACAGCCCTGCAAAGTAGGTTGGCCAGGCAGAGGGTGACTGGCTCCCAGTCAACCAGTGGGCTGAGCAGGACCTTGAACCCTGGTCTGCCAGGTCCTAGTCTAGGGCTCTAACCACTACACCACAAAGGATCCTGTATACCTGAAGCAGCGTCTCCACCCCCATCGTTCAGCCCGGACACTTAGGTCCAGTGCTGAGGGCCTTCTGGCGGTTCCCTCGCTGCAAGGTTACAGGGAACCAGGCAGAGGGCCTTCTCGGTAGTGGCACCTGCCCTGTGGAACGCCCTCCCAGCAGATGTCAAGGCAATAAACAACTATTTTACTTTTAAAAGACAACTGAAAGCAGCCCTGTTTAGGGAAGTTTTTAATGTCTGATGCCGTATTGTTTTTAATATTCAGTTGGAAGCTGCCCAGAGTGGCTGGGGAAGCCCAGCCAGATGGGCGAGGTATAAATGATAATATTATATTATTATGGCTGCTATGGGGAACCTGACACTGCTGGGCCTGCCCGTATGGGTCATGGGGTCAGGGATGATGGAAGCGGCAATACCCTACGGCCGCACACACCTGCCCTGTAGGGCTTTGAAAGGAATAACAGAATTTTAGGACGGCAGAGGTGGAAGGGACCTCCGGGGTCATCTATCCCACCCCCCTTGCGATGCAACTATATGCGCGGGAAGCACCAGCACCTTGAATTGTGCTGAACTGGATCAGACAGTGGAATCAGCACAGCTGTCCTTTGATCCAGTTTCCAGGCAGCCCCACCTACACAACGCATTACAGGAGAGCCACATACACAAACCCATACAAACAAAGGCACACCCAGCAGCCTTTGACAGCTTCTCAATCCATGCTACATACAAGGATCCCAGAATTTCCCCGCTTCCAAAAAAACAGACCACACTTTTTCAGTAAATGCTTCCAAAGGTCGCCTCGGGCTGCGCATTCGCTCCGGGCGCGGCTGTGTTATTTATTTCCCTTGAAAAGGTGTAATTATTCGGATTGCTGCTGCCCATTGCGCCGGGGGGCTTTTGAAGCTTTCCTAAAGCGCGATGAGGACTAGCGGATTGAGGCGCGATGTGCAGGACGGGGGTGGGGTGGGGAGGCCAGCAGGAGGTGGTCTCCAAAGAAAACAACAACAACAAGGCCAGCAGGGCCAGGGCCGTTTTAACAGATATATATGCATGCTTTAAAAAGAGAAAAAAAGATTGCAAAGGGCGCATGCGAGATCGCAATGCACGAGGGAGCGCGTGGGTTCTTGCCAGCCACGCACCCGCTTTGCAAATCGGCGCCCCCTTCTCACTCACCCGCTCGCCCGCTGCAGCTGAATCTCCGCTTGTTTCTTCCTGCCTCCGCCAGGCACACCCTTCCTGGCTCTCTGACACCACCACTTTCCCATCAGCCCGCAGTCTGCTGTTTTCTCTCCCCCCCCCCCCCGCTTCGCCGGCAGGATCGCACGGAAGAGCAAAGAGGATTTGCAGCCACCTGCTGGCTGCTGCCTCGCAGTTGCAGGCGCTGCTGAGAGAGAAGAGACCACAGGGCAGGGAAAGGTCTTTGCTTTGGAGTGGGGGTTTTTTTGGGGGGGGGCTTCTGTTCAGTTTGATTGGAACCATGCGCTCTAACCAACTGAGCCATTAAGGTTTGGTCACTTTAAAAAAAAGAGGGTGCAACTTAAAGGCTGCACGGCAGGCAGAAAACCAACAGGTACAGCTTTGTTTAAAACTGGGACAGACTCTGCTGCACAACAGGCGTGAACAACAACAACAACAACAACAACAACAACAACAACAACAATATTAATTTTTTATTTATACCCCACCCATCTGGCTGGGCTTCCCCAGCCACTCTGGGCAGCTTCCAACAGAATATTAAAATACAACAACCTATTAAACATTAAAAGCTTCCCTAAACAGGGCTGCCTTCAGATGTCTTCTAAAAGTCTAGTAGTTGTTGTTCTCTTTGACATCTAGTGGGAGGGCATTCCACAGGCTGGGTGCCACTACCGAGAAGGCCCTCTGCCTGGTTCCCTGTAAATTGGCTTCTCGCAGCGAGGGAACTGCCAGAAGGCCCTTGGCACTAGACCTCAGTGTCCGAGCGGAACAATGGGGATGGAGACGCTCCTTCAGGTATACTGGACCGAAGCCGTTTAGGGCTTTAAAGGTCAGCACCAACACTTTGAATTGTGCTTGGAAACGTACTGGGAGCCAATGTAGGTCTTTCAAGACCAGTGTTATGTGGTCTTGGCAGCCGCTCCCAGTCACCAGTCTAGCTGCCGCATTCTGGATTAGTTGTAGTTTCCGGGTCACCTTCAAAGGTAGCCCCACATAGAGCACATTGCAGTAGTCCAAGCGAGAGATAACCAGAGCATGCACCACTCTGGCAAGACAGTCTGCGGGCAGGTAGGGTCTCAGCCTGCGTACCAGGTGGAGCTGGTAGACAGCTGCCCTGGACACAGAAAACAAACAGGTCAAGTTTTGCTTTAAAATTGAGACAGATGGGCTCTGTGCCTTTAATGGCTGTGCTACAGGCGGGTAAACAGCAAGTCAAGCTTTGTTTTTGCAGTACTGAGCTCCAGATTACCGTTTTTTAACATCACTTACTTACTAGAAAATGAATACATTTTCTAAATAAGATTATGATGTGACTGCAAGATTAAAAGTTACGGTAAGTGCATTTTCATGTTGTGTGTATGTGTGTGTGTGTTACATAACCTCCAGTCAACTCTATGGTTTTTCTGTTCCCCATTTAAGCACGTTCAACGCACACATGCACACACACACACAGTCCTGAACCCACAAGTGGCATGAATGAATGAATGAATGAATGAATGAATGAATCTTTATTTGCATCAGCCATCGGCCATAGCAACGAAACAGCAATGCAATATACAAAGAACAGAAATAAAAAGTTGATTATATAAAGCACACTTTAGGGTCCTGAATCAGTGGTCAAATAGTCATAGCTGTCAACGTTTCCCCTTTTTTAAGGAAAATCCCCTTATTCCGAATAGGATTCCTCGCAAGAAAAGGGAAAAGTTGACAGCTATGCAAATAGTGGACTTTATTCTGACTGCCCCAGCTAAAAACCTTGCAACCTTTGCTGCCATCTGTTCCTCTGGATCTGTCAGGAGAAAGGACACTGTGGCAATGGTTGGGCGACCCAGAATGGACAATAAGAGAGGGGTGATAATCTCATTCCTTAAGTCTTTATAAAGAGTGCAAGCCAGAAGGGCATGCGCCACTGATTCGGGACTGCCATCTCCACAGGGACATAAGCATTTTTTGTGTGGAATCTGTAGGAATCGTCCCTCAAGTATAGCCGAGGGCAATACATTCAATCTTGCATGGGTAGAAGCGACAGGTGGCATGAAAAGAAGAAGAAGAAAAAGAAGAGGAGGAGGAGGAGGAGTTTGGATTTGATATCCCATTTTGTCACTACCCGAAGGAGTCTCAAAGTGGCTAACATTCTCCTTTCCCTTCCTCCCCCACAACAAACACTCTGTGAGGTGAGTGGGGCTGAGAGACTTCAGAGAAGTGTGACTGGCCCAAGGTCACCCAGCAGCTGCATGTAGCGGAGGAGCGGAGACGCGAACCCGGTTCCCCAGATTACGAATCTACCACTCTTAAACACTACACCACAATGGCCCTAAAAGAGCACAAAAACAGCAAAAGTGGTGCAAAAACAGCATTTTGCAATCCCAGGAACAAGAAGGTCATGGGGATGCCCACAGATGAGTGCAAGATGCAGAATATTTTACCACATGCTGAGTGGTGAAAGTTCCTGAACTATTTGCATAGGAACTCAATAACAATTGATGAGAGTCAAGCAGCTAAGCTGCAGCAACTAGCTTAGACCTCCTGACACAATGAGCTTCTCTGGTAGACTGGAGGGGGAACAAAAGCTTGATTACCTAGTTCCTCCCAAGGTGGGGTAAGCCTGGCAGGACAGCTTGCTCTATGGCTTTAACCCCTTCATGCATTAATTAGACCTAAGCATGTTGGGACGCGGGTGGCGCTGTGGGTAAAACCTCAATGCCTAGGACTTGCCGATCGTATGGTTGGCAGTTCGAATCCCCGCGGCGGGGTGAGCTCCTGTTGTTCAGTCCCAGCTCCTGCCCACCTAGCAGTTCGAAAGCACTCTCAAGTGCAAGTAGATAAATAGGGACCGCTTTATAGCGGGAAGGTAAACGGCGTTTCCGTGTGCTGCGCTGGTGCTGGCTCGCCAGCTGCAGCTTCGTCACGCTGGCCACGTGACCCGGAAGTGTCTTCGGACGGCGCCGGCTCACGGCCTCTAGAGCGAGATGAGCACGCAACCCTAGAGTCGGACACGACTGGCCCGTACGGGCAGGGGTATCTTTACCTTTATGTTGGTTATATGAAGCTGGCTACCCCACATTTCCTGGGAATGCTGATATCATCACATGCTCTTATCATCACATATAGACTAACCTCACCATGCTCACCTGCAAACATTACTTTTCTTTAGTTCCAGAGCTGTATCCTGGTGATCCATTTTTCCTCTCTTTTTAAAAATTTAATTTTAAATTTAAGTAACGAACGATACCCAAAAAAGCTGTACAGAAAAGAAAGAAAAACGGCAGCTGATGGTTGCAGTTTTAGACTTTCTGAGAAAGGCAATCAAATGAAAATATCTCTCCATAAGATTCCATGAGTTGATGGAGGGTGAAAACCACATTTGATTGCTTTAACCAAGTCAGTAAAAGGATACTGGTCCTTTCAAACTCTACAATTCTATGATTTTATGTTGTATAGAAGGGTTGGGTCTTCTGATCGCTATTCCTTTTGTGAAATGGTTCATTTGTCCATAATTTTTCCCATGCTTGTGAAAACCGAACTTCAAAACAATTTGCATTTAAAGTTTTTCCTTCCTTTTCCTTTCTTTCTTGCAATCACTCAACTAGCTGTGGTTAATAAATGGCGGAAGAGACCTTTATACATTGTGTTCTTCATCTGAGTAGGGTTAGGGATAGTAGGGATAATTTTGGGTCTGGTTGTAGTGATTGTCCCATCGTTCGGTTGTTTGAAAAACTTTTCCCCAAAAGGGAATATAATCTGTGGGCAAAACCACCACATGTGTACCAGAGAGCCACATAAATTGCATCCCCATCATCAAAGGTTAGATGTCCTTTGATTAATTCTATTTCTTCTTCTTCTTCTTCTTCTTCTTCTTCTTCTTCTTCTTCTTCTTCGATCACTCTTAGCCGAGTAGGATTGTCTTCCATAAATACAGTTTTAACAATGAGTCCGTAAGTGACTGTGGAAGCCAATTCTGGATCCACACGTCCTTCCACAGTGGGGACATTGGTTTCCAAGCGGGAGTGGATCACGGTGTAGATTTGTCAAGCGTGCCTTCCTTTTAGCACGTTTCTCCCTTGCATCCTGAGTTCGAGTGTCTTCAAAGCCCATGACACCTTTGGTAAAGGCTGTTCTCCAACTGGAGAGCTCACAGGCCAGTGTTTCCCAGTTGTCAGTGTTTATACTACATTTTTTTTAGATTTGCCTGGAGACAGTCTTTAAACCTCTTTTGTTGACCACCAGCATTATGCGTTCCATTTTTAAGTTTGGAATAGAGTAGTTGCTTTGGAAGACGATCATCAGGCATCCGCACAACAGGACCAGTCCAACGAAGTTGTTGAAGAATCATTGCTTCAACAGTGGTGTTGAATTCTATATAGTTCTGCTGGGCACACATGTACCAGTGATCTTTTAAAGCATTTTCTCGAGTTCTAATTGAGATAGATCCAAACGGTAGTTTGCTCGAGATTTGTTCCCAGAGTTGTTCCTCTAATGCTCCAGTCCATTTTTCCTCCGAACTTTTCAGACCAAGAGATAACCAGTTCTGTACCTCTGATCTACATTCTATCCATCTTTCGGTGGCCATTGGGACTGGCAGGATGGAAGACAGCAAAGCCAACAGTAGGTGGCGCCAGAGCCATTGACAGGCAGAGCCAACTCATTTTTGTCCCCCCTCCCATCCCGCTCCCTGCTGAGTTCTGCAAGGGGAAAACTGAGGCCAAGGAGGAGGAGGCTGGATAGGCAGGCACACGCACACACACACACACACACACACACACACACACACACACACACAACACCAGCTGAGGGTAGGCAGGACAGCATCCACTGCCCTATTTGAGGTGCAAATAAATGTTATTTTTTAAAAATATCTTTGTTACACTTGATGGGCGTTTGGTGGAGGGCAAGGAGAACCATGGGGCAGGGTAATGCTCAGATTATTGCCACCAGACCTCCCCTTTCATGATGTAACCATGATGTATGAGTGATGTAGTTTGGGGGGGGTGTAACATGGGGATTAGCAGCTAATAAAAGTTTGGGGGGGCTCTTTTGTTCGGGGCTTCCATCTTGCTTTGTCTTGCAGT